AAAATTAATTTTTTAAAAAAAAGACCGAATACGTTTCACAGCGAGAAAAAAATAAAAGGCAAGATAGAATTTTCTAGACATAAAGAAGTTGTTTACCGAGTTTTAGCTCTTATCTCTAACAAAAATTAATTTTTAAAAAAAAGACCGAATACGTTTCACAGCGAGAAAAAAATAAAAGGCAAGATAGAATTTTTCTAGACATAAAGAAGTGTTTACCGAGTTTTAGCTCTTATCTCTAACAAAAAATTAATTTTAAAAAAAGACCGAATACGTTTCACAGCGAGAAAAAAATAAAAGCAAGATAGAATTTTCTAGACATAAAGAAGTTGTTTACCGAGTTTTAGCTCTTATCTCTAACAAAAAATTAATTTTTAAAAAAAAGACCGAATACGTTTCACAGCGAGAAAAAAATAAAAGGCAAGATAGAATTTTCTAGACATAAAGAAGTTGTTTACCGAGTTTTAGCTCTTATCTCTAACAAAAAATTAATTTTTAAAAAAAAGACCGAATACGTTTCACAGCGAGAAAAAAATAAAAGGCAAGATAGAATTTTCTAGACATAAAGAAGTTGTTTACGAGTTTTAGCTCTTATCTCTAACAAAAAATTAATTTTTAAAAAAAAGACCGAATACGTTTCACAGCGAGAAAAAAATAAAAGGCAAGATAGAATTTTCTAGACATAAAGAAGTTGTTTACCGAGTTTTAGCTCTTATCTCTAACAAAAAATTAATTTTAAAAAAAAGACCGAATACGTTTCACAGCGAGAAAAAAATAAAAGGCAAGATAGAATTTTCTAGACATAAAGAAGTTGTTTACCGAGTTTTAGCTCTTATCTCTAACAAAAAATTAATTTTTAAAAAAAAAAGACCGAATACGTTTCACAGCGAGAAAAAAATAAAACTGTACACTGATTTTCATTTTCATTTCCAGTCAGTTTACTTATTATTTTTTTCTTTTTTTCATTTTAATTATAAATTATTTCATAATACGTTTATTTACGTTACCATTTTCTTTATTCTTTTGAATTCCATACTAGACACTTATAGAATATTTTGATTGTTAACATACTTCATTAGAATGAATCCTTACAAAGGGTATGTCGATCGAATTTACCTAATTGGTATTTCCAATCAGATTGAAGAAGGTAAAATGACATGGGAAGAAGCTTGCACCCATGTTCCCATCGCCCCAACCCTTCAATCAAATGATTTCAAATATTTAGATGTTTTCAAAATCTTTTTTACAAAATCAATTTAGCTTACAGAATATCCCATTGCCTAAAGGCAAGAAAGATCGTAGGGTCAATCCCTACGACCAAATCAAAGCTCTTGCTGTGATACATGACCACTGGGCCTTTCCCTGTGGTCAAACAAAACAATGGAAACGTTTGAAATTACAACAAATTGATGTATCTTATAGAGAAGTACGCAGATACTTCAAAGAAAATCATTTCACCAAGACGCGATTAGAGCATGCCGGGCCAGAAACAGCAGTAAGATATTGGGCGCTTTCACCCAATCTTATCTGGCACGCAGATGTTCATTATTTTAGGGGTGTTCGTGGCCAGTATATTTATGGCATAATCGACGATTTTAGCCGCAAAGTCCTAGCGTGTATACAAATACCAGATATGCTGGCAGCGACGACAGCGAACGTTGCGGCTTCCGCCTTCATTGAATTTGGCGCCCCTTATTGTTTCTGGACCGACAACGTTCAGAAATAGGGCGCCTTTCAAGATCTACTTGATCTTTGGGGCGTCCAATGGCGGCATACAGACTCTCATTCTCCCTACCAAAATGGGAAGATTGAGAGATTCTGGCCGACATTGGAGCGCTGCCAAAGCATTCAGGCTATTCCTGCCTTTATTTGGGAGTACAATAATAACACACCGCATGAAGATTTCCCAATTAATCCATTAACTGGAACAAATTACACGCCAAATCAAATGTATCAGCTGAAACCGAAATACACAAATGCAGATACAGAAAGGTTGTGGCAAATATGGGATACAGATACAGGCATGACCGCTGTTGACACATTCACAGCGTAATAATAAACATAATTTTTTAATTTCATTTTTAACAAGTTTTTTTAAATGTATGTAATGAATAATTCATTAGAATATGATAATGCACATTGTAACAGAATAGAACAATCACCAATTTTTTTTTTGAAATTAAAAAATAAAAGTAAAAAGTATAAAGTAATCTAACCAAAAAAGATATTTAAAAGAATTTTGGAAAAAACAGAATAAGGATAATGATTTATTTTAGATACACAATCGATGTACTGAAGAATAATCCGGTAAAATGATGATATAAAATTAGATTATTTTACAAGTAGCTAAAAGAATAAAACTATAATATAAAATAAATGAAGTTTAATGAAACAAGAAAGGTTAAATAAATAATAAAGATTTTTATTTTATATCAGTATTGAGAAGAAGTAACAGCTGACACTTGGTAGACAACTTCTTTATGTCTAGAAAATTCTATCTTGCCTTTTATTTTTTTCTCGCTGTGAAACGTATTCGGTCTTTTTTTTAAAAAATTAATTTTTTGTTAGAGATAAGAGCTAAAACTCGGTAAACAACTTCTTTATGTCTAGAAAATTCTATCTTGCCTTTTATTTTTTTCTCGCTGTGAAACGTATTCGGTTTTTTTTTAAAAATTTTTTGTTAGAGATAAGAGCTAAAACTCGGTAAACAACTTCTTTATGTCTAGAAAATTCTATCTTGCCTTTTATTTTTTTCTCGCTGTGAAACGTATTCGGTCTTTTTTTTAAAAATTAATTTTTTGTTAGAGATAAGAGCTAAAACTCGGTAAACAACTTCTTTATGTCTAGAAAATTCTATCTTGCCTTTTATTTTTTTCTCGCTGTGAAACGTATTCGGTCTTTTTTTTAAAAATTAATTTTTTGTTAGAGATAAGAGCTAAAACTCGGTAAACAACTTCTTTATGTCTAGAAAATTCTATCTTGCCTTTTATTTTTTCTCGCTGTGAAACGTATTCGGTCTTTTTTTTAAAAATTAATTTTTTGTTAGAGATAAGAGCTAAAACTCGGTAAACAACTTCTTTATGTCTAGAAAATTCTATCTTGCCTTTTTTTTTTTCTCGCTGTGAAACGTATTCGGTCTTTTTTTTAAAAATTAATTTTTTGTTAGAGATAAGAGCTAAAACTCGGTAAACAACTTCTTTATGTCTAGAAAATTCTATCTTGCCTTTTATTTTTTTCTCGCTGTGAAACGTATTCGGTCTTTTTTTTAAAAATTAATTTTTTGTTAGAGATAAGAGCTAAAACTCGGTAAACAACTTCTTTATGTCTAGAAAATTCTATCTTGCCTTTTTTTTTTCTCGCTGTGAAACGTATTCGGTTTTTTTTTAAAATTAATTTTTTGTTAGAGATAAGAGCTAAAACTCGGTAAACAACTTCTTTATGTCTAGAAAATTCTATCTTGCCTTTTATTTTTTTCTCGCTGTGAAACGTATTCGGTCTTTTTTTTTAAAATTAATTTTTTGTTAGAGATAAGAGCTAAAACTCGGTAAACAACTTCTTTATGTCTAGAAAATTCTATCTTGCCTTTTATTTTTTTCTCGCTGTGAAACGTATTCGGTCTTTTTTTTAAAAATTAATTTTTTGTTAGAGATAAGAGCTAAAACTTTGCAGACAACTCCCCATGTCTAGCAAATTTAACATTCGTCTCCCATTTTTATATATTTGGTTTAGAATGTTCTAAAATGCGTAATATGGTCATGAATATTAATTGAAAAGAACCTTGAATTAATTCAATCTGATCTCACAAAATATTTTAAATTACAAACTTTGTAGTTTGAATAGATAATTGGTATTAAACTCAAATAACTAGTTTATTTTTGAATAAAAATTATTTGAATTCATTCAATTTTGTGAATTTTCCTTCAAAAATCAAGTTTAAATATCTTATTTACCATATAATTATAAATACAATGAAACATATTCGAAATTGAAAAGAATGACTTTTTCTGTTCTTTCAATCATTCAATTTGAATTTTGCAATATTGGATTTCTCATTAATAGCTATTAAAAACAACAAGCAATTTAACTTACATTCAAATTTATTTGTGTTATATTCAATCTTCTCAAAACTTATAATTTTCGGCTATAGCATGATTATATGCTATATAATATAATAAACCTATAATAGTATCATTCTTTCAATTATTTGAAGAGAAAACCGAAAAAATCTATTTTCGGTCTATAACATAGCCGATAACCAAAATAACGGATAACTTTTAACGTACAATATCAATTTCAATCTTCACAAAAATAAAATTTTTTTTATAAGGAACAAAAATTTTTTTTATCAATTAAACATTAATGAAGAACTTTGAAGAAATAAAAGTTATTGGAGACGGTGGCTTTGGCATAGTCACTAAATGCAGAGATAATGATACGGGGCAAATTGTTGCTATCAAGAAAATGAAGCAGAAATTTGCGACTTTTGAAGAATGCCTTCAACTCAAAGAAGTTAAATCTCTTCGAAAAATCAAATATGATAACGTTGTTAGATTAATGCAGGTATTTAGAGAAAACGAATATCTTTATTTAGTCTTCGAATGTTTAGGAGAATCGTTATTAAAAACTCTTCAAAATAGAACAGGACCATTCACGGATGCCGAAGTTAGATACGTCATGCATGAAGTTTTAAGCGGTCTGGCCATAGTTCATCGTCAAGGATTTTTCCATCGCGATATTAAGCCCGATAACCTGCTTTGGGCTGAAAATGGAAAGCTTAAGATTGCAGACTTTGGTCTGGCTCGAGAAATTAGAGTAAGCCTCCTTATACAGAATATGTTGGAACAAGATGGTATAGAGCGCCAGAAATCATCATTCATCATCCTTTTTATAATTCACCCGTTGATATATGGTCCGTTGGATGCATAGCTGCCGAACTTTACATGCTTAAGCCACTTTTCCAAGGCACATCAGAGAATGACTAACTTTTTAAGATTTTGAATATTATGGGTACACCAACTCAGCAGGAATGGTCAGATTTTAATACGATTGTTAGAAAACGTGGAATTCGTCTTCCACAATGTTCTCCACAAGATTTATCGACATTAATTCCAAATGCATCCCCAGAAGCCATAGATTTCATCAAGCAATGTTTGACATGGGATCCCATTAATAGGCCAAGCGCAAATAAAGCACTTCAACATAGATTTATTCAAGGAGAGAAAATTATGCCTCCATTATCAACAAATGTACCAGTACAGAAGGTCTCTACAGTTCAGACAGTACCATCTCTTAACGATGATGATATAAATGTCATTCCAGAGCAATCAAATTCGCCAAACTTTTTCAAGTCAAGATTTCCTGATACAAATCCAAATATGTTTGATGAAGTTGGATTCAGACAGATACAGAACTCTGGAAAGAATATATATAAAGATCCTCTTGGCAAATCTCCAAGACATAATCAACTGTTTAATGCGAGAATCGGATTTGGCAGCCAGTCTAAGTTTTAAATATTGTTTTGTTTTGTTTTTTTATAAAATGTTAATTATTAATATGATTTTTGTAAAATCAAAAGTTTTCAAAATCAAAATTTTATTGTAAAACAAAAAAACAAAAGAAATTAGAGTTCATCTTGGTTAGGAGTCATCTCAGCTTTCAAAGCTTCAGTTCCATCTGGAGAACTTAATACGATAACGGCTGGCGTTGATACAATGGTTGGCTGAGCAGGTAGTTCCATGCCTTCTTGCCATTGTTTGCCTTCTTTTCCTAAATTAAATTCTTTGATATCGTCCAAAGCGACTTCAATCGAAGAAGTTAAGTTTGAATCGCCTACCATTGAGTATCCAGCAGAATCTGTAGCTCTAAGTCTGAAAATACAGCCAAATGCTGTTAATATAATTATTTCAGAGATATATTGGAGAGTTGCCGATGCCCATAGCGGTGCTTCTGTTACTGATGTAATAACCATGCAGACAAGAGCTAATATGCACCCTAAAATTATAGTTTTTTGTAAGAATGCGTACATTCTATGTTTTAGATAGACTGGAGTGGATTCTGCATCAATTCCTTCGTTCTGTATAACTAACAGATGGGCCATAATATGCAATGATGCTTGGTTGATGCTTTGTACAAGTTCATAAATAAATAATGCAATGAAAAGAAGAGCTACAGCCATAGCGTATATTGCGTATTTTCCTAAGTAGATGTACTCGATGATCTTTTGTAACGACATGAACAAGAAACTGCATAATAAACTTGCAGCTATTTCTCTGAGGTGAATAGTGTCTTTTATGATACACCAACCTTTGGCAGCGAGTAGCAATGTTGAGAAGAACATGCCTCTTGACAATAATGAGAAGATTATTGAAAAGATTTGGAGACCAAAATCTGTATCATGGTGATTGAGTCGTAAAAGTAGAATGAAATCGGTAATAAACATCATGTATGTCGTAAAGAATGTGAGTGATATGAATAAATGTAATCTAATGAAAACATTTTTGTGGCTATACCAATTATATGACCAAAGTGCAATTAAGATAGTGCAAACTAGTAATATTGCTGGTAATATCTTTAGTAATGGTACTTGTCTGATGTCTAAATTGGTGGTTGGATTATGGAATGAAAAAACAATATGATAGTCGAGTTTTGATGATTTAATTGTGGAGTTGCATGTAGCAGCAATTGGATAGTATACTCCTGCCTCGTCAATTTTTCCCGATAATGTTTGATTTTTTACGGCTGCATTGAAATATTTGTATTTATACGATTTACTTAGATTACACAGCGCTACTGAATCAGTAATAATGCCTGGAAGTTTTGATCGTTCTGCTTTTGTCAATAAAAATAAAGATATTTTATCATTTCCTGAGACTGAATCTAAATATATGGAAAAATCGGCACCTTTCTCGAATCCAAAGTCATTGAATAAAGTAAAATTCGCCTCGGAATATATGTGTTGTAATTTGTAATAACTAAGGAGAAATGCAAGCATAAAAATGACAAATATTTACTATATCAATAAAGTTTTAGTTCAAAGCAAATGCACAGTAGATAGATAAATTGCATATATCATCTTAATTTTCTATAGTGAATCCATATATGCATCCTCTATCATGATCTTTATTATTCACATTAGTATAACGTAGAAACAATGATAAGCATCATAGTTAAATATCAATGCTCATTGAAGGAACACAAAATGAATTCGCAATTTCATCCAATCTCTTTGTTTATGCAAGGAACAAACATTCGCATGGACGATAGTAACAATTTGAAACCGATATGGGGTGTACTACGCAGGAATCTGAATCTGAACAGCTAAAATTTTGATCACTCTCAATTATTTTTATTTCAAATCTTGAAATTTAAGTGAAATCGTTTTATTATATGATGCGAATCTGATTTTATTCGACCAAATAACCATTCGTAAAAGTGATATGAAATGGCAAAAATTTTGTATGAAGCGGTTCATTCAAAATGTTCTTATTACTGCAATCAGCATTAGCTTTTTATGTTGAGAGGCCAGAAACTGATGAAGAAGTCATTAAAAACCTAGATGATCGCACGATGCGTGAGACAATCAAGAAAGATCGTTCTGCATTTGTTCTTTTCCACGCGGACCATCAACGTGTATCTGATTCTGCATATCTACAGTATTCATCAATAGCCAAGAAGTATAAAAATGCCTCTAAATTCTATGTTGTCCCTGCATCTGTTGGCCAAGATGTTGCAAGAACATATGGAGTTGTTGGCTACCCATTCTTATTCCATTTTAGATACGGAACTAAGACAGGAAACCATTTCGGAAGATATACACGCTCTTCAATTGAAAGATTTATCGCAAATCATACGAAAATTGCCTGCCTGGAAATAAATCCAACAGGCAGCCAAGGCGATGTCATCAACCAGATCGCTAACGAGTACATTGATGCCTCAGCAATTGTCCTTGTTGTTTCAGATTCAAATAATGAGTTTGGAAAGGCAGCTGACAAGCTCATTGACGAACTTGCACCATTCATGCCATTCGCACGTATCAAAGATGAGGCCAAAGCTATAGAAATCGGTTTCGAAGCTCCATCTTTGATTTTATTAAGAGCAGACGACAGACAAACAGTGAAATACGACGGCGGTGCAGATTCTGACGAGATGTTCTTATGGATCATGCACAACTCCATTCCGAAATTCCGTCCTCTTAATCCACAAAAATTATTCTCACACGATGGAGTTAGTTTAGACGCAGTCATTGCAATGAGTTACGGTGTTGGCTCAGACGATCTCTTCATCTCTCTCGAAAACATTACGAACCAAGTTCCGTGGTTAGCAGCGTATTACGTTGATTTGACTGAGATGCCAACAATTGGAAGGATGATGAATGTTACAGGTGAATCTCTTGTTTTCGTGAGAGCGAACTATTCTAAGATACAGTTTTCCGTCCAGTCTTCTAAGTCACCAGAGAAAGCTCTCGATTTCGAAGAAGACAAACTCGAAATGAAAACGATCGAAGCACCTCCTTCTCTCTACGGATACGTTCGAAAGATCACAGAACCAGAGTTCGAACGACTTGAAGAGAGAGGAGAAAAGTTTGTTGTTATGTTTGGTTCAGCGTTCTGTTCTAAGTGCAGAAACATGAGAGAATCATACTTCGATGCAGCGATGGCATTAGGAAGACAAGGTTCTAAAATCAGTTTCTCATATTGGGACATCACAGAAATGACACCATCTTTCAGTCGTGATAAAGACATCTCTGTCCCAAGTATATTCGTTGTATCAAAAGGAGATGTCGAAACAATGGAACAGTACACAGGACCAACAAACTTCCTTTCGATCATCGAGTGGTCATCTGCACTGATTGGTAAATCTGATGATGCAGACAAGATGATCAAATCTGAACTTGGTTCTGAATTCGACGAAATTTAATTTTTCCCTCTTTATTTTGTTAAAAAATATATATATCATTTGGATAGATTTTATATTTTTATTTTTATACAACTGAAGGCAATGTTATAAGTGAAACGATTTGTGAATATGAAAAACTTGTCGCTCCACATCCATGAATTTTAATATTTTCGTTATAAACATAATCTAACAATGTGATTTTGATTGCTCCATTTCCGTAATGGATACCACTTTTCGTTGATGCTTTACTCAAAAAATATTCTCTCTTATATTTGTATCTATCTGGTTTAAAAGAAGTCGAAGTCAATACATATCCTGAACCGCCCCCAGCACCGAAACCATATGCCCCAGCAGCATCGCCACCATACCAACCTCCCCCACCACCCTCACCACTATCGCTAGAATAAGATCCAGAATATGATCCACCATTGCCGAAATTTGCTTTTGTTCGAGTTTCAAAATTTATTGATGCTCCTGTATTAGATTGTGTTCCTCCATACCCTACGAAATCTAAATATTTAGGATTAATTGTTCCATCACCACCTATAAAACCTCCTCCTGGGCCTCCTGGATTGTGATATTTATAATAAGAGTCACTATGGAAATCATCAATAGTTTCTGTGGAAGATAATCCATGTCCTGACCCCCCTCCACCACCGGCAACTATTATTCGATTGAATATTGAATCTATTTCAAGGCGGATATCACTTGCACCACCACCTCCAGCCCCATATATAGGGCTTGAATATTTTCCACTTCCACCACCATTAAAGCCTCCAAATTGATTGCCAGAAGTTTCTGTTGCTGTTCCTTTTCCACCAATATAAAAAAATGCTTTAGTATCGTTTTTTAATGAAAGAATTCCTTTTGAATACCCTCCTGGGCCGCCATTATCATTATAATATCCACCTCCTTGTGCTCCCCAGACTTCAAGCAAATATCGGCCTGGTGGAAAATAAACTTCATATGGAACGCAATCATATGTATTTTTACATGGATATTCAAATGTATATTCGTAGTCGTTATCTATATATACTTTAATATCACCTTTAGAAATGTCTGTGAGGTTATATTTGAATGACAATATTAAATATTAGAAAATAAATAAAAATAAGGCATTACAAAGATAAATATTAGTTAACAATATAAAGAAATTAATAATAAAAGGAGTTGTGGTTTGAGCTATACGGTGAGCTGAATATTGACTTGCCAAAAGTCAACTTGTCAGGGCCTCGCTTTTTGATGATAAGAATACATATGAGCAATTGTTGATCTAATTGTTTTTTATGGTATGGTTATTCTTTGATTTTCGATTAATAAGAAATTCCCCTTTCAAAAAAAATAATCAATGGTCAAAAAAAATTCAATAAATTGAGAACGGATCTGAATATTGAAATAATTTATATTTGAAATTTATTGGTTAGATATTGGTCAAATATTAGTATCTTTCTTAAATTAAAAGCTAACAGTAATTTTTCAAATTCATTCTTCATTTTTTTTTAAACTCTCTCTCTCTCTTTATATATATATATATTCATCTATTTCGGAAACATTAAAAATCAAGTACAATATTTGGCAGCGTATTGCGCTGATTTGACAGAGATACCGACAATTGGAAAGATGATGAATGTAACTGCGAACTACTTTTATTTAAAATTAATGTTTTAATAAGAATTATATTTATACTAAATAAATCTAGGAAACAATAAAAAGTTGAATTATGAATGAGGTTTGCAATTATGCTATTGAAGGTAAAGTTATTAGGGAAACAAACTGGGAAAAAGAAAAGAAAGAGGTGGCACACCCACGAAATTTAAGATTACCGTTATTAATATTATCTAGTAATGTGATTTTTATCATACCATTTCCATATTGGATTCCATTTTTCGTTATTGCAGAACTCAAATAATAATCTCTTTTGAAAATATATCCATTTGGTTTAAATGAATTTGAAGTCAATACATAACCTGATCCACCAGCTGCAGCATACCCAGTACTGACTGAAGCATCACCCCCAAACCAACCTCCCCCACCACCTGCACCAGAATTTGAAGATCCCCCATATCCAAATTGAGCTTTTGAGCGACTATTTTCAATTATCGCAACTCCTGTTCCAGATTGGGTCCCTCCAAACGAGGAATATCTTAAATGTGTGGTATTTGTTGATCCATCACCTCCTGTATAGCCTCCTCCTGTACCTCCTGGCATATGATCACTAATTTCTACATTGACGGTTTTAGTGATTTTGGTATTTGGATCGGTAACGTATTGGTAGCCCGTATATGATCTATATGTTGAACCTGCACCACCACCTGCAACTATGACTCGAGTATTAATATGGTCTCTTTCGAGGCGTATATCGCTTGCCCCGCCTCCACTACCCCCACAATTATTGCGATTATCAGAATGTCCATTTCCACCGCCATTGAACCCTCCTAGATTTTGACCATTGTCGTTTACTATTCCTTTTCCACCGACATATAAAAAGCCTTTCGTTTCATTTTTTAGTGTAAGGATGCCTTTTGAATATCCTCCTGGACCGCCTTTCTCATTAGTACCTCCTCCTTGTGCTCCCCAAACTTCAAGTAAATATTGACCTGATGAAAAATTGACTTCATAGGGAACACAAATATGTGTATCACTGCATGGATATTAAAATGTATATTCATTCTCTTTGTCTTTATATACTTTAATATCACCTTTAGAGATATCTGTAAGATTATATTTGATTGACAATTTTAATTATTAAGCAAGAAAAAGAAATAACTTATTAAAAGATAAGTATCATTTAATAAAATAAGTAAATTGATAGTAGTGGAAGATGAATTTTGAGATAATCTTCGAATCTTTTTGGAAATAATAAAATCGCGATTTATCAGGGTCACGTTTCTTAATGGTAATGGTATTTGTCGGTAAATGTGAATCGAATAGTTTTTTATGCAGGGTTATTATTTGGTTTTTGATATATAGCAAATTCTCAACTTAAAAAATGGATTGAAAAATATTCAATAAATTGATAATGAATCCGAAAATGCAAATGAATTATATACCAATAATAATTTGATGAAATACAAATAAATCGGATACAGCGTAAAGCTCTCAATTAATTTGTGAATAACTTAACTGTAATAGAAAAGAAATTATATTTTGATATGATTCACATTTAAGTAATTTCATAAGTTTAAGTTTAATTTTTAAGAATAAAGTTTTCTTATGGAAATCATATTTGAATAATTGAATTAAAATTTTAAATAATTTTCCTTTCTCTAAACAATTATTCTAAATACACTCAAAAATATTATGAAAATACCAACCTCTAATTTGATTATTCGCCTCTGTCTCGGAAACAATACGAATCAAGTGCCATGGTTGGCAGGGTATTAAGTTGATTTGACAGAGATGTCAACGATCGAAGCACCTCCTTCCCTCTACGGATACGTTCGAAAGATCACAGAACCAGAGTTCGAACGACTTGAAGAGAGAGGAGAAAAGTTTGTTGTTATGTTTGGTTCAGCGTTCTGTTCTAAGTGCAGAAACATGAGAGAATCATACTTCGATGCAGCGATGGCATTAGGAAGACAAGGTTCTAAAATCAGTTTCTCATATTGGGACATCACAGAAATGACACCATCTTTCAGTCGTGATAAAGACATCTATATCTTAATAAATGAGCAACATCGAATTTGATTTCCTTATTTATTGAAAAAATTGTATATCATTCTGAAAGATTCTAGATATTTATTATACAAAATATAATTTACTAATATATATAGAGAGAACAGTATCTTAATTGGGATAGATTTTAATGATAAGATTTATATGAGAATAACTAAACACTAACATGTATAAATATCAATGTATACTTTATTTTTTCCTTTAGAGACATCTGAAAAGTTATATTTGAATTGCAATTTTAAATATTAGAAAATAAAAGGAAATATGGTACTAATAAGATAAATTTTGTTCAATTATATAAGTAAAATAATGATAAAAGAGGTTTTATTTTGAATTAGCGAAATACAACTTGTCGGGTCTCGTTTCTTGATGGTAAGAATGCTATGGATGTTTGGTGATCTAAATTCGCTTTGATTGTGACTCTGATAGCAAATTGATCAAACAAATTGACCCCATAAAAAATAAAATATTTTCAATTGTCGAAAAAAAAATATTTCAATTAATTGTGAGTGAATCCGTCAATTGAAATATTTTCAATTAAATCTGAAATTTTATTGTTCGATTAGAATTTATTATAATTGTTTTATATTAGTTTTTGAAATCGTCTAAAAACGTTTTTCCCAATAAAGCATGAAGTAAAATGATATGATTTAAATAACAATAATTCGAATTTATGAAATGTTCATTACAAGCACGTACAATTTCAAGAGAGGAGAATATTTTGATGTTATGTTTGATTCAGGATTCTGTTCTATATGCATAAATATGTGATATTCATATTACGATCCAACGACAGAACTCAGGAGATATTATATATACAACATTTGGATAAATTTTATCATTTGAATAAACTTTGTATTTTAAATCTGGAAAAATTATACAACTGAAGGAAGAGTTATTAGTGAAATAAGCTGTGAAAAAGAAAAATCCGGCGTGCCACATCCACGAAATTTCATATTATTATCTTTCCCATTATAATTGAGGACTGTTATTCTAATTGCACCGTTTTCATGTTTGACACCGCTAGTCATTGACGCTTTTCTCAAATAATATTCGATTTTATCAATATATCCGCTTGGTTTCAATGAAGATAGTGTTAATACATATCCTGAGCCACCTGAAGCGCTCAATCCCCATAGGCAAGAAGCAGCGCCTCCAAACCAACCCCCTCCACCCCTGGATCTGAAGTGTCATATTGTACCTTAGTGCATGAACCGCCATATCCGAACTCGGCTATTGTACGATAATAATTGTATTCTGCAATTTTTCCTGGTCCAATTTGCGTACCTCCATAACTCCAGTATTGAGGATATTGAGAATTAATGGTTCCGTTGCCGCCTTCATCCCCTCCTCCACAACCTCCTGGATTATAATAATTAAAATTATTAGAATCAGTTGCAGAATATCCATGCCCAGACCCCCCTCCACCGCCCGCAACTATAATACGGGTATTAAATGAGTCTGTTTCAAGTCGAATATCACTTGCACCACCTCCACCACCTCCATATGTATAGGATAAGTCATAGAAGGATCCATTTCCACCACCATTAAATCCTCCCATTTGAATACCTTTCGTTTGGTTTGCTGTTCCTTTCCCTCCAACATATAAAAATCCTTTAGTTTCGTTTTTCAAAGAAAGGATTCCTCTTGAATACCCACCAAGACCATCATTCATGTTATTATACCATCCACCTTGTGCCCCCCCAAACTTCTAGTAGATATCGTCCACGTGGAAAATTAACCTCATATGGAGAACAATCATATGTAGCATTGCAAGGATATTCGAATGTGTATTCATTATCAACATCATTATAATATACTTTTTCTTCTCCTTTAGTTTGATCTAAGAGATGGTATGTAAATGGCATTTTTATTTATTAAAAAATAATAAGTGATTCGATAATTAAAAGATTCCGTTTGTATATGATAATGTTATGAAAACATAAAATGCTGAATTTATTGTATAATAATATTATGAAATTGAGTTCAATAAGGTTATGCGTTTAGGAACAGTTGGATATCATGCTTATTTGTATAGTGTGTTTTATTACTAAATTCGAGTGTAGATTTTAAACAATATATCGAAATTTTAGAGGAAAAAAAATCATGAGTTGAGACATTTTTACCAGTTTTTGGTCACGTATGAAATAGTATCAAGCTACTATTAAAATAAATATTCATAGTTTTTAAATGTCGACATTTCCCTCAAAACATACATGTTTTCAAAATTTGAATTGATATAAAAATTCTATCAATTCATTTTTGAATTTTTTTTGAATAAGTTATTATAATATCCATTAAAACTTTTTATGGGCAAAGTAATAAAACATTTATTGGATTTCAAAAAATACATGTTTTCAAAATTTCAGATTGATTTCCACAAAAAAATAATATTAAGCATTAGTAGGTAATGTGATAAAGGAGATTATTTTAGAAAAAGAAAAATCTGGGGAACCACACCCGCGAAATGGTAGGTTAAAACAATCGCTCCTAAAACTACCATTCGTAGCATTCTCAATTTTTTAAAATAAATATTAAAATCACCTGGATTTTAATACGCACCTTGTACTCCCCAAACCTCAAGCAAATATTGGCCTTGTGAAAAATTAACTTCGTATGGACCAAAATCATATGCAGTTTTGCATGGATATTCAAATGATATTTGTTATCTTTATCATTATACACTTAAGTTATATATGATAGCCAAATTTAATGTTTAGATATAAATATAGGTTATTGTAATAAAATGATCATGTTTGTTTAGATGGAAGCATTCTATAAGCAATATAAGTCATAATTTATGGAAATTATATTCATTTTGTTTAGAATTTGATATAAAAGCTTATTCGGATCTCGTTTCAAGATAAACAGAATATCTTGGAGTAAATAAATAATTTATTGAAGATTTCCAAAGCATTACTAAATCTGGATTTTCACTTAATTGCAAATTCTCCCTGCAATTATACGGGTAGTTAATAAGTCCATTTCAAGTCGAATATCACTTGCTCCACCTCCACCGCCACCATACATTTCTTTTGCACTATAAAAATATCCATTTCCACCTCCATTGAATCCTCCCATTTGAATTCCTGGAACAGTAGTTGCGGTTCCTCTTCCGCCAACATATAAATAACCTTTTGTTTCGTTTTTCAAAGAAAGAATTCCTTTTGAATAACCACCAAGGCATTCATCGGCTTTATTATACCAACCTCCTTGTGCTCCCCAGACTTCAAGAAGATAACTTCCTGGTGGAAAATTTACTTCATACGGAGCACAATCATATGTACTTGAGCATGGGTATTCAAATGTGTATTCATTTTCTTTGTCATTAAATACTTTATTAGTCCCTTTAGAATGGTCTGTGAGGTTGAATGTGAATGGCATTTTGAAAACTTGGCATTAAAAAGATAATATAATATAGGGTGTCCAAAGGTGCGTTTAGCACAGCGCTCTATATGAGACTATTAAAGGAGATATATGCTGATTATAAATATATAATAAAAAATATGAATATATGTATATGATGAGTATGTTGTATTTTGGCGCCATGCCGGGATATAAAATGAATTTTGAGACAAGAGGCGGTTTCGCGGGAAATTTTGGCGGGATTTTTTTCATTTTTTTAATGAATCATAAAGAAAACATCCTCGCTCTTGCAAAAAAATGCAAAGACTGTAAAAAAATCTACGAGACATTGGTAAAATGCTTCGGTATGGATGCTCCTAGCTATTCCACTGTAACGTATCATGTTAGGATGTATCACTTCATGAACAAAAAGGCGCCCATCATAAAAATTGACAAAAAATTGCCGGATCAAAGAAAAATCAAAGCAATTCTTCAAGCGCTAGATGAAGACCCAAGAGCATCACTCAGAAGGATAGAGGAGATGACAAAGATACCACGTACAACAGTCAGTTATTATCTGCACAATTATTTGAACTACAAACTAGCGTATACACGTTGGGTTCCGCACAACCTTAATTCAGTTCAAAAAAAATCTAGAGTCCAATCTTCGAAAGAGCTCCTCTCTATATTGGGTGCGTATCAATCCAAGAAGTTTCGCTTTTTAGTAACAGGGGACGAGTCTTGGTTTCAATATGCAACAGAAGCCAAAATCATGTGGATCCCGAAGGATGAAAATCCGCAAACATTCCCGAAGAAAAAAATTGACACACCAATGATGATGTTGTCGGTTTTTTGGGGCGTGAATGGCATCATCGCAATTGATATTCTTCAAAAACCTAATACGATGAATGCTCAGTATCTAATTGACAATGTTCTTACTCAAATTATCAATTCTGATGAGTTTGAGAAATCCAAACAACAAAAACAAAAGTTTGCAATTCATTTTGATAATTCAAGAGTTCACAAAAGTCATAAGGTAATGAATTACTTGGTGGAAAACAATGTCAAAGTTGTTCCAAACCCAATTTATTCACCTGATATTGCACCCTCTGACTTTTATTTATTCGGCACGCTAAAAAAGAGAGCTGAAGGACGCGAATTCGCGAGTCCAGATGATCCTGAAAATTTTGTAAGAGAGCAATTTGAGCAATTTTCTCATGATGATTTAAAGCGTGTCTTTCAAGCCTGGATCGATCGCTGCGAACGCGTGATTGAATCCATTGGTGATTATATTTAAATAAACTTTATATATATGTAACTTGTTTATTTCTATTCGCAGTATTCAGGTTTGTGCTAAACACACCTTTGGACACCCTATAATATGAAGAAAGAATTTTTCAAATGAATATCTTTGAAGAAATATTAATTAAATATTTGGAAACTTATTGAAAAACTATTGAACATTAAGAAAACAGACTTATCCGGATCACGTTTGGTAATAATCATTATGTCTTTGAATATTTGTTGCTTTTGCACTACTTTCTATTGATAATTTCTCGTAGAAATGAAAGTTTACAGAATTAATATTCAAAAAATAAGAATCAATTGAATTTTTTCAGAGAATATTTTATTTCAATCGATTGAATTATAAATTGACAAATGAAAAATGATTCTCGAAATTATCAAAAAAATAAAATTATCATCGTTTTATCTCAAAAGGTGTATTTTTCTGAGAGGAAAAAAAAACTTGAATGAATTTCAATGTACTCACAAAAAAAGTGTTTTGGAATACAATTGATTTTGAAAAACAAGAGGAGAAGAAAAAATCACAAAATTTATCAAAAATAACAAATAATATGACCTTAATTTAATTTCGGAATAAAATTTCAGAAAATGAGAACCAAAAGAGTAGAAATAAGGAGTCATTTAGGGATATATTATTGTTATTGGTTTATCAAAAAAATTCTTCGTTGAATTTGGGAAATTAATTCATTAGAAGCACGGAATAAATAGATGGTTGAGACTTCGTTGGGATGAAATTTTAAAATTATAAAATAATAGATAATTTGATAGGAAAAGGTATAAAAGAGGTTAAATTTAGGTTATCAATTTCTAATTTCTTTGGATATTGTTAAGAAATTTCAATATTGAACTATGCAACTAATTTCGATTGATGACAAGATAATTCACATTTTCTCCACTCATTTAAAAATTCTATATTGATAAACTTCGATTTTTAATCATATGAAGACAAATTTAAAAAAAAATTATTATTTTTGAAGGGAAAAATACTATATAACACAAGGTAAAGTTATAAAAGAAACTAGTTGTGAAAAAGAAAAGCCAAGCGAGCTACATCCACGAAATTTAATAACATTATCTTTCCCAGCATAATTTAAGATTGTTATCTTAATAGCACCATTTCCATATTGGATGTCATTCATCATTGAAGCTCTGCTTAAATAATACTCTCTTTCAGGAACGTATCCATCTGGTTTAAAAGAATTTAATGTAAGAACATATCCCGAACCACCTGCACCACCAAATCCATAATATCCGGAAGCAGCACCTCCAAACCAGCCGCCTCCGCCGCCAGAACCTGGATCGCCACAAGTATAACAAACATTTGAACCTCCATAGCCAAAATCGGCTTGAATACGAAAATTGTTAAAACCGCCTGATTCCCCTGGATTTATTTGAGTTCCTCCATAGGCTGCATATTCTGGATTAGATGATTGATATACTCCATCACCACCTTTTATACCACCTCCTGAACCTCCTTTATTATAATATAGAGAACTTGAATCACCTCCTATCCCGGAACCCCCTCCACCGCCCGCAACTATAATACGGTCGTAATATGAGTATCTTTCAAGGCGAATATCACTTGCACCACCTCCACCACCTCCATAATAATTGGAATTCCAATAATATCCACTTCCACCGCCATTGAATCCTCCCATTTGTATTCCATGTGTATCATTTGCAGTTCCTTTTCCACCTATATATAAAAAACCTTTTTTTTCGTTCATCAATGAAAGAATGCCTTTTGAATAGCCACCAAGGCATTCATCTTTTTTATTGTACCAACCACCTTGTGCTCCCCAGACTTCAAGAAGATATCTCCCTGGTTGAAAAATAACTTCATATGGAGCACAATCATAAGTAGAATTACAAGGATATTCAAAAGAATATTCGTTAGAAATTTCATTATAAAATACTTTTTCTTTGCCTTTAGAATGGTTTGTGAAATTATATTTGATTGACAATTACTATTAAACTTATTTAAAAAGAAAAAGATAAATATACTGTAAAATTTATAATACAACTAAGTGAATACGTAAACATGCTAGAAGACTGGTAATACAATTTTTTGCGAAGGATATGCTTTGTTTGGAGCTTATATCCTAGGAAATAAGAGAATATTGTATATATGTTGATTTTTAGCTTGTAAAATTAAGACACGAGCTTAATTATGAGCAGCAAAGGAAAATTCATTCAAAAAAATTGAATTGATACAATTTTATGAGAGACAATTTTTAAAAAATTTGGATACTATCACTGAAAATTGTGAACTGCACAAAATATTTCTCATAATATTAATAATTAATAATAATGTTTAATAATTAAAAAAATAAAGCTACTATTTCAATCCCCTTACAATTTTGTAAAAATAAAAAAACTGAAGTATAATGTTGTGTAACATATTCGATAAACAAGAAATTATCATACTTGAAAAGTTTGGTAAACATAATTCAGAATAGAAGTTACTTTTACTTCTAGATCAATAAAATGTGGCATGAAAGCCAAGCTTTGAGGATCATCAAAAGCATCATACCTACTTTATTCATTTTATTAATAAAAAGAAAAAGTCATGTGGAAGCTAGTGCAACTATTATCAAAAATAACAAATAATTTTTACTTTTTTCCGATGAGAGGAAATTTATTATGCTTATACAGCATTGATATTTTCCTCAAGAAGGATGAGTCTCTGAAGTAGAACAGCTGCCTTTCTGTGTTGTGTTCCCATTATCTCTAAAACCCACTTTGCGTTTTCTCCTTTCTTTATTGCGTTGTACGCATTCAACAACACTTCTGTTCCCAGTAGTTTCTCAAGATACATTCTCATCTGTTCTATCTCTTCCAGTGATTTCTCTGCTGATGAAGCTGCAACGTTTCCATTCATGAAATCTTCATCTGATTTTGTGTCCGTGTTGATGTGGTAACTAGTTAGACATGTAGGAAGCTCAGCAATTGCGTCCTCTTCACGAACAACGCGTCTGTTGCTTTGTATCTTCGACTTTTTCGTTAATGGATGACCAGATTTTCTGACATTGAGAACATGACGGTCTTTTTGGACATTTGCTTTGATCTGTGCTTGTGACTCATTGGTCTGAAGGTTTGTAACCATGAGACAAAGACCAATTTCTTCTTTAGGTGGAATTTCAACTGGTTTTTTCTCTTTTGGCTGGACAAGTTTGGATTGTGGTCGTTTCTCTTTGATCTTCTCGTCAGACATGCGATGTATGACCACTTGGGAAACAGATGAAATAGGTAGAACTGGTTTTAGGAACGAAAGACTGAGAATTTGGGTAATTGTGGGTCTCCTGCATGGATTCTTCTGTAGCATTGAGTCAACAAGGTTGGAAAGATCTGAGGAATACTCGCCTGGTATAGGTGGCTGCTCTGAACGAAGGATTTTCATGACAATTCCGCCAATACAGTCACCACTGAAGGCAGGAACTAAAGTACACAGCTCGTATAGCACGCAACCGAGAGACCATATGTCTGTCTTAGCGTTATATGGTACTCCTTGACAAATTTCAGGTGATAAATAAAATGGACTTCCAACGACTGTTTCTGCGAACTCTCCTGTCTCTTCAAGACATTTAGCTGTACCAAAATCGCCTATTTTTACGTTTCCATCTGCATCTAGGAAGATATTTTGTGATTTTATATCTCGATGTAAAATATGATGCGAATGTATATATTGTAACCCTAAGCACATCTGTGCAAACCATGAAATAATCACGAATTCGGGGAAATGCATACCCTTTGCCTCTGCAATTTTCGAAGCTATATCTCCTCCTGCTGCGTACTCCATAACTGTGCACAATACATCGCCTTCTAGGAAGGAATCGTAAAAACGAATGATATTTGGATGATCTAATTCTGATAACAAGTTCGATTCCCGTAGAGAAGCTTCTTGAATTGTTTCATTTTGCTGACTTAAGTCAACTTGCTTAATAACACGAAGTTCCTGAGATTCTATATGCTTGACGAGTAATGCTTTACCAAAAGAACCTTCGCCAATGCATTTAATGACTTCGTAATCTTGCATCAGCTAAAATTTTGTCGGTTTTTAAAAAAATTTTTAGCTGAGTGAACTAATAATGTAACTAGTCTCACGTCATCCAATATTCGAAATTTTCTCATATAACTATAGGTTAATTTTTATGATAAGATATTGAAAAAAAATCTGTCACTGGATTTGGCTAATATCGCCATGGTAGAAATAAATCAAAGAGACTTCTAAAGTAAAGCGTTTAATCAATGACCTGTAAGCATTGACAGAATGTCGTATTAAAAGTAAAAATGAAGCAGATGTTGATTTTTTGGAAAGAATCATGCTAAAAATTGGATATGTAGTATGTAAAAATTAATATAACGAATTTTCAAGTTAGAATAGAAAAACAGAATGATAATGAAACGAAATCATTGATTCAATTAAATAATGAATCTGTAAATGTGTAGAAAATGATTTCAAAAGCAGAGATATTATAGTGAGAACGAGTTACTTTGCTTTTTCTTTAAATTTGATAAAACTATTTGATAATATTACGATTGTTGATAGTAATTAGCAGAAATTCTAGAGTTAACATAGTAAGTAATACCCAAAGCCTTGGTATGTATGTGCCAATTGCGTGATCAACATTAATAATGTTGAAAATTTATCGTAAGTTACAAGCATTTCCTTGATACATAAGTACGGTACTGGTTTGTGACCACGGATTCACATTTGTTTCGAAAAAAAATTCCGATTCGAGCCGCCACAGCAAAGGTTAATGTTGAAATGTCAGATATTTCATACTTCGTGTGTGATCATTATTTTGGGACATGAAAGAATAATCTGTATATTTATCTATAGTATGTTCAATACCACGTTTTATTATCTCATAAATTCCATTGGATTCGTCTAAAATAAGTTTTTATCTTCAATATCGAGATTTTTTTCCAAATTTTTTTCAGAATCTAAAAAATGAAATTCAACTTCGGGAAATTGATCTTCATTTTTTCAATATTCTAATTTTTTTTGGAAATTTATTTCTTAGATATAGAGTTATTACAACACGAATATCATTTCCACCGCTCAATTTCGAAATCTGACAAAAATTGCAAAAAACGTTATTACAAAATGTTTAGCTCGAAAGTACCTCATTTATCATTACCAATCTCAGATAAAAATGAGGTTCCTTTCATCGTTTGGGATCCTGCGCTGGAAGATTTACTTAGCACACCAATAAATCGAAATTTGACAACTCCGAATGTAAAATGGAAACCTTCTACTGCACTAAATAAAACAGATTTTATGAGGAGTGACAAGAAAAGAGCAAGGACTCGTCCTGCCACTCCTACAATGCATGTAGAAGAAAATTCTGATATGCGATCACGAGAAATTATGATTCATAAAATGATAACATCCCCTTTATCTCCGAGGAAACCTACAAAAATACGAGCTAAAACTAAATTCCATGGAATAAAGGACCAACACACACTTGAAAAAGTTATTCATCAACGAGCAACTCGGTCGATTGCAAATCAAGATCTAAATGCTAGGAAGGTTGAAAAACAAAGCCTCGTAAGGCAATTTTCCATTCCTATTCGTAGAGGAGTTACTTCCCCGAATCCTTTTCTTTGAGAATAATTTATGTCTTTTTCTTGGCCGGACAAAATTATATGTCCTTGAGATGCAGTTTTCTATTCTAGAGATAATTGCATTCTCGTATAACTTCTTTTGTTTGTAAATACGTTTGGTATATAAAAAATGTACGAAAAAAATTGGATATTTAACTGCAAAATAATATTATTACAACTCTTTATTATATAAACAATATTCTATGACTACTCTATTGGCGAGGTTCTTAAACAAGAATCTCATTGTACATAAAGTTTTCGACAAATGATCCGACAAATGGGACTTGTGTTGAAGAAAACATGTACTCGAAGTCTGTATCGTCTGCAAAATCGACGTCTTGTTCAGTGTAAGTAATTTGTGAATCGGAGGATTCTTTGTCTGGGTAATCCTCAATAACAACGTCATCATACGATCTAAACGAAGGCCGAGCTTCGTTGTTTGATTGTTGTGACTGCTCCTGTGTTGAGGATTGGACACTAGCTTGGGAAGACATCTGGAAAATCTAAAATTTTTTAAGGGACGTGGCCAGTCAGAAAAATTTTTCAAATGTTACTGTACATGGGAATATATGCATATAAAACTAAAGATTGACATCGGAAATTTTCCTTTCAATTTATTAATTGATATGAAAATAGTTAATTAGATATAGATATGCAAAAGTGTGAAATATTGGCTGGAGCACGTTTTAATTTGAATAGTTTTTGTTCACATTCAATTCATTTATCAATTGAATTATATTATTTGACACGTTAGAATAAATTTTATCAGTGATTATTATTTGATATACATCTATATCATATTTCATAATTATTTTCTCAAGCTTTGGATTTTATCAATTTATCGTTGGTTTATGCTGGTTAAAATACATTCATTAGTATAATTTATCAAGTTTTTGTTTTTGTAAAAAGCGTTGGAGATTGCACTTTCTCCTCTCAAAAGTTCTTTGAATTTTAATAAGTTATTAATGACTGCCTTTTACGTAAGCAGATTAATCATCTTTAACGAAATATTTACACAGGTTTTCTTTTTTGAATTCCAAATTTGTCCTTCAAAATTTTTTCGTTGATTTTGCAATTATCTTATATTATTGAAATTTAAAATCATTTCCAATATAAACGTGTTTCTCGATTTTGTAAATTTACCTCAAACTTTTGAGAGGGTCGATATACTAATGTTGTTTATTTTACTTTAATTTTTATCTTCCTCCATTAATATATTAATTTCTTTAATTGAATGAATTCAATAGAGATTTTTCATCGTATCGATTTTTTCTTTATGTTTTTCCAACTTCTCCATATTTATTCCGGACTGTTTATTTTAATCATAATATGTTAATAAATCATTTAATGATATTCTTATCTGATTATACCCCTTTTTGATTAAATTTATTTTCCCAACTAAGACCATTCCAAATTGGAATAAAAATTCCGTATTTCCTCAACAAGAGGGGCAACGAAATATACTTTTTGGTCACACCAATCAAATAAAGTCAAATTGAGTAACTTCTCAGTCGCAGCTTTTATTATAAAAAAGAAATCAGCAATGATATTCATGCATTTCCTGAATAAAATTTTCTTCAAATATTTTTATACTCATCTTTTTTAACGATAAGGTTCTATAACTTTGATCGTACTTTGGATGTTCTACTTTGTTCAATACTCCATTAGTACTCATTAGACAGCAGCAATCAAAAAATCGGAAAAACACGAGATAAAATATTAAATTTGCGTTTATTTTAGCCCATGGCCATTGTAAAAATTAACGATGGAAGAGATATAAATTATTTTGAATGAAATATAGTTGAATAGCCAAACAAAATATGTTTATTTTAAACAAACACTAATAAAAAAAAGTCAGTAAAATAATTGAAAACAAATTTATATAATAACACGGTTAAGATTACCTGATCTTGTGACATACCAGATAACTCTTTCCTTTTCTCTTATACATAAGAATTTTGGATCGAAATCTTCCCATAATTTCTTTGAATCGGAAGATTTCAGCCAATCCGTTCCATCCGCTTTTTTGCAGAAGAATTCCAACCTTTTTGCACCTAATGTCACTATCATTAGGTATTCGTTCGACCTCAAAAATCCAGAATGTAAACCGACAACTTCACATGTAAAATTCGAATTTGACAAAATATTTCCGTATAAATCATAAATTGCGACTTGTGTGTTCAAGTTCTCGGACTCGCTTGATATTATTAATCTGGCGTTGTCGCAGATGCATATATTGTGGAAGACAGTTTCATCATTGCATTTGACTTTGAAGGACGAAAGAACTCTTTTATCCGTCAAAGAAACAACGAAAACAATGTGATTCGTGTCGATTGAACAACAAATATCTAAGACAGAGCTAGTAGTGATCGAACAAATCGAACTGGAATGCAATTGCATGGTAGAACTGAGCACGATCGAGTTGTTCTTCCATTGCCAGATGTACAAGAAACAGTCGTTTCCGCCAACAATTAATTTGTCATTTATTCCTTTCATGCATGAAATTGTTGATGAAGAATGAATCAATCTTAATGGACTCCATGGTTTGTTGAAAGGGAATGATGTGACAACAGTTGAATGCTGTGCACAAACAAATAATGTCAATGGTTTCTGACAAATTGTCATCAAATATTCCGTTGAAAATTTGATGGGGAATTTCACTTTTTGCATTTTCTTTGACAGTTTCATGAATGTTCCATCTTCCCAGAGACAGAAACCATCTGATAAATGGACAACTTTCGATTGTTGCAAAGGAACTTCGAAGAGTTTGTTAGGTATAGGGATGTTCCTTTTATATGACTTGTATTTGAAGATTTTCGTTGGTAAACATCCGAAATTTGCGCAGTGACTTTGTTTCAAAACTTTTGTTGTTTCGTCATTGTCGTTCATTGACTCGTGGTATGAGTAGTAATGGAATTCGTTGTGGTGCTCAATGTCCCTCTGGTAAATTCCAAACACTAAATCAATCCATTCGTTCAAATGAAGAGAAACAAAATTGGATTCAAGAGCAATTGCGTTTTTATCAACGAAATCATAGGCGCTGGTACACCACGGTGGAAGATTTACGTTGTTTATGACCTTCCTGTTGCTTCTTTTTCCGAAATAAAAGTTGTTTGAGTTCAATAAAAATTTCGGATTCGTAAAGAACTGAGGAATGAGCTCCCTGTAGTCCGAAATGGAATTATTGACCGAGTTCCATGCGGATCCAATCGAATAGAACAGTCTGTTAGCTTTATCGAAGCATCCGTCTTGTAATCTAATGTGCATCGACGTAAAAGGCTCTTGTCTGATCAAGAAACCGCAAACAGTGGATGGATTGGACATATTCGATCTGTAAAGACACTTTTCATCTCCGACTTCTTCGAGATTATTTCGGATTTGATACAAACTCTCCAATCTCTCTTTATTTAGAGCACCAATTGGCTTGGAAAGGTCTCTAAAGAATGAAGGATCACTCAGATCAAACTTATCTGAAGTGTAGTTTGAAATAATCCAAGGGAAAATTGGATATTGACTGACATCGTTGAAAGATCTGCCAGAAATCACGTTCAAAAGGAATATGTACTCGTAATTAGAGAGTTTTCCTTTCACCCATTGATCGCTGACCTTAGATCTCAACAATAATTCTTCAGCATCGCAGTTTTGAACAGGAATTTCATTGTTTACCAAAGCAAGACGGTAAAACAAGTGTTTATCACCGAAAGAGAACTTTGGTATATTTGGGAAAATTTTGTCCAAAAATTTATCCCTCTCAATTTTATTGGGGAAGTAGAAAATGTAACTTTTCATTGTTTCTGTGTAAATTTCTATTCCGCAATCATCGTGCATGAAGTATCTCCAGAAGATAAATGTTATCTCGTCGAATTTGATACTTTTGAACCATGATTTGTTCTGTTCATTCTGTGGATATTCGATTCCGAAAGAATCTAAAGTACATTTACCGTCAAAAGCCAACGAATCTGATAGCAAATGGATATATCCATCGTAGAAACCATTTAATCTCCTCGATTTACATGCAAAAGCCGTAATTGAAGCCATAATATCTTTTTTGAACGACAAAAGTACCTTTGAAACAGTTTCTACCTCATTCTCGTTATTCTCCTCGTTCTTGTTACCTGTATTCTTATGGTCGCAGAAGTTCATATTACGTCGTTCGAAGATTGGACGCCCTAAAGTGTCTAATTTAATGGAATTACGCCAATACTTCGGCAAGTCAACGGACCATGCACCACCATCTGTCGTTATTGACCTTATAAATGACGTAAATAGTGTCGTAGTCCTAAGTTTGTCGTTGGACATGTTCTGGGAATAGGCAACAATGACATTGTTCAATGTTTCGCTTTCTACGTTGCACTTGTGCTCGCTTTCTTTGTATTTCTGCTCTAATTTTTGTGTTTCTGACTGAGAATTCGGTTTAAATAATTCCAAATTTGATTTGTGGAACAATTTCTGCGCAATTCTCATATCAACTGTCGGAGGAAGTACAACAACAAGTTTGGAGAATATGTTCTCGATCTCGTTCGTCTTTTCTGGGAATTTTGCTTGAATTAATCCACAAATATTCGAAAAAGCCACGAAAATGTGCATTTCGCGGTCTCCAAAGTGCAACATTGTGTTTGGTTCATGTTTTATGCATCTTTCGAACAGCTTTATAATATTCAATAAAACCGATTTTTCCTCACAATTTGTGTAAGCAATGAAAGAACAAGCGAAAGCAAGGGTAGAGATTAGAACGGACTGAGTGATAAGCAACTCCACGAGTTTGAGGCTCTGTTCTTCACCCATTGTTTCGAAGAAAGAAGTGAAATCTCGGCCTCCATCAGCCATTAACGCGTTTAGCATGATTGCAACTATATATTCGATCTGTACATTGTATTTACGGAAGTAGTTAGCCAATAATCTGTAGCTATCATGGAACTTTATGATCTTTTCTATGATAGATTTGTCTAATAAGCTCTGTAGAACGACATCCATCGAACTTGTCGTGAAATTTATATCGAACAAGTAACTTTTGAGTATAAATACTAACAAATCTGAGTAGATCTCGTTCTGACTTGGAGAACTGTAGATAAATATTCCAAAATCATAGAATTTTTGAGCATTATCTGCAGTAATGAACATAGATAACACTTCGAAACAATTAAATATATCTGATTCCTTACAATATATCATCATTAAAGATAAAATCGTCATTGTTTGGTCAAATGACTCAGGATTGTACTTAATCTCTTTGATACAAGCATCCAATGGATGCATGCATTGAATTAAGCCTGTTATGTCCTTTCCTTGATTCAAGATTTTGATCAATGAATCTTTTGCGCATCTTTTAATGTTTGCGTCATGGTAATAGAAGGATACCATGTAGATATAAAGAAATGTGCTCTCTATCGGACATAATAAAGCTATTTTGGCTAAAATTTGCCATTTTTGGTTGATTAAAATGTTTCCAAACTCTTGATCTTCGTCAAACAGCTTGTATTTCTGGAATTCTTTAGCGAAAGTGCCGAAAGTAGCTTCTGTTATATCCTCGAAATCATTCTGGATCGATTCCGTGTTCCAAATTGTGTCAATAAGCAATTCTTCGGTTGTCAAAGTGGTAAAGAACTGCGGATACTGCTCAATTAGCTGCGGAATGGCTTCTCCATACAAAGATCTCTGGAATTCGAAGTCTTTTCCTCTCCAAATTCCGTAATTCAAAATTACAAATCTGACCAATTCGACTTTTGAGTCATCTGACACGTGATTGAACAAGGCAACGATGTCGTGAACAAGGCTGGCTGTAAATAAATTGGGTGTGTACTTTAATATGCTGGCAAATAATCTAAAACCGCCACAATTTCTGAAAAAGCTCTCCATTTTTGCGTCTTTTGTAATCATGGACACAAATAAACCGAATAAACTTCTCAAATATATTTCGCTTTCTTTTCCACCGTGAAGAAGCATTAACGGCAAAGTTAAAGGGAATATGGAATCAAAATTCATCACGCTAACAAAGCTGGATACAAAAGGAATCGGATCTGCCGTAATTTTGGCAATTTTATTATTTTTATTGCTTGTTGCAACGAAAATATCGTTTTCTTTGGCATTGGAAGGTATAAATGCAATGATACTGTTCTGTGGAACATCGCCGATCTCCATTGCTTCTTTTGTTTGTGTAATTGTCAAACTAAATTTTTCAATTTTTGAAATAAAAACGGGACTGATGTCTCCAACCAACGAATTATTATTGAATGCACCAATAAAAATCGTTTGGGAGTCATCAATCTTGATACTGGCCGTTTCTAAGTTATAATTATTTCCATCTATATTAATTAACATGTTTTGCTGAGTAATTTTGATATTAACGACATGCCATCTTGGCGCTTTAGTGGAATTTATGGAAAATGTCTGCATCTTTCCATTCTTTGCGATTGTCAATTTCAATATTCCATCAATATCAACGTAGAATGTAAAGAAATCGTTCTGGTTCTGTGCAAATGATATCAAAGGATGCTTTTTGTTAACAGCCTTCTTAGAAATCCTGAAACAAAATGAGATGGCGAAAGGAAATGTGAAACAATTAACAGGAACTTTGGAATAAATGATACTTGAGTGGCCGGAGAAGTGAAAGAAAGAGGAAGTTGGGAAAATTTCGCATCGTGTAACGAAATCCAAGAAACAATTTGCCATTTGCAGCCTCAAATCATAGTTTTCTGTCTCTTTTAAGGTCTTTATGATATTTCTCATGACCGTGGGAGAGAAGAATTGGCTTGCAATGATGGAAAATATGTTAATTGCTTGAGAAATTACAGAATTCGACAATCTTCGAAGCAAATCGTTCAGTACATCATAGATAAAACACTTGTATGAGTTAGTTACACTGCATGCACAAGCGTCATAAAGATTGGAAAGTACTTTTTCTTCAAATTGTGTTCCTTCAACTAATTTTAAGAGCAAAGAAAGGGCCTGAGGTTCAACAATGATATTTTCTTGGACTGATTCAGCGGATAAAACGCTGTTTGGAGCGTAAATGTAGCTTTCCATCAAATAAATCAGTTCATTATCAGTAAAATCAAGAGGAATTGCTGTTTTCAGGACTTTGTAGATCTTAGGATTATTCTGGGATACACAATGAGGGAATCTACAAGAGAGATATGAAATAATTTTAATTGAAATTTTGAATAAAGCCGAAGAATGGAAATTAGCGGCTGTTTGAGCAATTATCTTAAGAACCTGGGACTTAGAGATGATATTCGTTGGGTCTCCTTTGACTTTATGCAATCCATGGAACAAAGAAATCGAAATTGAAATTGCAACGCTCAATAAATCAGCATCGAAGCCAATTTGACCCAATACAAAACTAGTATGGTTAAGTAATGTTGTCAAATATTCAGGATTTTCATCTGTATTGTGGATATTAACAATTTGAAAGAAATGATCAAAAATTGGTTGGTAAAGGTCATCATATCCTTTCATTAACAGTATAAGGATTGTTAATATAACAACATTATTCGATTTTATGAACATTTCATCGGTAAATTTTTGGCAAACTGTTGCATAGAAAATAATTAAGTGATGACGAGTCGTATCATTGATTGCAACCTGTCTGGACTTCGATTTGGTCAAGTAATCTCCAATAGTAATGAAAATTTGGGACTCTAAAAATTTCAAATTTGAATCTAAAACGAAAGACCTAAAAAGAGGAATGAATTTAACAACTCTTTCGAACTGGTCACCTGCAAAGAACGTAGTAATGAGATCAAACAAGTTTTCATGGTGTTGTGGATTATTTTGAGAGAAAAGATAAAGAAAATTCAAAAAAGCGGTTTGGCATTGGCTCAATATTGTGTCTCCTTCAACACCAATAGGGAAAATGATGTCAATTTGGATTTCATTTACAAAATCTTCGAAAGTTTTGAAGTTTGACACTTTTACTTGGGACAAAGCTAGTAAATATGTCAATGTGAACTTGAGTTTCATTGAAGGATTGGCGTTTTGGAGGTTTTGAGTGACTAATTTCATAAAATCTTCAGATTTTGGACCAAGTTTTGCAATATAGTTTCCCATCTCTTTAAATATTGTTATATATGTCGGATCGAATATAGTGCAACCTTTTTTTGTTATGATATTCGTTGAAAAATACTTCATTGAAATTTCTATGTTGATTTCTTGTTCCAATTCATTTGGAAGTACTTCAATTGCAATATTTGTGAACTGTACAAGCAGTACAATAAGCAAATCATTAACAATTGATATGACATGTTCTCTATCGGAAGTATTATCAATAACTTTGGTCAAAAACTTAAAACTCGGGACAAGTAACTGGTAGTAAGATAAACTATTCATACGTCCGGATATTAAATACTGTATAATTGAAGATATGTCAGAAATCAACAAACCAATTTGACTTTGCTGGAATCCTTCAATTATTGAATGCGCAGTATTCAAAAACGCCGACGTAAAAGTGATGAACGAGTCCATATATTCGTCTTTTTGAAATACCGAAACCCAACAATGAAAGAATTCGCCCAGAAACACGATAGTATTGTAGCTTTGGTAGAGCTGTTCTGTCTTGCAGTAGGGCGTGAGGATATTTGCAATCTGAATTAATGATTTTCGTAAATTCTCATTTATGTTTGGATTAAATATCGCGTTTAAGTTGGGAAACGCCTCATAAAAATATTGCAATAGATTGGATATGTCTTGTATTGAAATAGATTCGAGGCAAAGTAAAATGCTGATGACTTCTGAGAGCAAATTCCAGTACACATCGTGAACTGCTGTATTGCTGGCTCCGTGAATAATCTCGTCAACTGTTGAATGTAAATAATATGAAATTATAATGAAACTACGAATGTAATAGTCTTCAATACAGAAACGACTGTTTGATTGGTTAATTTCTGCGTTCGATTCGAACCAGGAATGAAAAAATATGAGATGATTTAGTAAAGGAACAGTTTCAAATTTGAAAAGTTTAGCGAAAACAGCAGTTACATCTTCGTCATTTGGTTTCTTTTTTAATGCTGTTGCGATATCTTTAAGGTTTGTTGGCGTATAATTGAAAGAAAAAATAAAATTATCAACTGCTGTGGAACTCATTATATCTGAGACCACAGAAGGTGTAGGTTTTGAGAAATATACCACCCATAATTTATGGTATGGGTGGCCTCCTAATGAATCAAGGAGGCCACTAATTGTATCCATTATTTAGAATTTTTTTTTTGAAATTTGAACGGCGAAATTTTATATATAAATTACGGTTATTGAGCACATACTGGATCTTCATTTTATTTACATAGAGTGTCAATATAAAATGGCAAACCCAAATTTTAGCTAAAAGTGACAGAAAAAAAAACGTTTAGTATTAAAAAAAGACCGATGAGAGCTTCGTTCGAAATATAGAGGGAACTGAGAATGTGCAACCATTCTCAGGGAATATTGGATGCTATTCCCGTTCCCTCTGTATGGAAAATTGAGGTTTTCAAAGGGAGTTAAAATAATATCAAATTTATACTAATTTACTTCAAAATACAAAAGTATTTGACAGCTAAAATTAGTTACTTTAGCAAGCCTATCAATACCCTTTTACGATTATTGTTACTTTTTCGAAATAAAAGTAAAAACAAATTTATACTAATTTACTTCAAAATACAAAAGTATTTGACAGCTAAAATTAGTTAATTTAGCAAGCCTATCAATACCCTTTTACGATTATTGTTACTTTTTCGAAATAAAAGTAAAAACAAATTTATACTAATTTACTTCAAAATACAAAAGTATTTGACAGCTAAAATTAGTTAATTTAGCAAGCCTATCAATACCCTTTTACGATTATTGTTACTTTTTCGAAATAAAAGTAAAAACAAATTTATACTAATTTACTTCAAAATACAAAAGTATTTGACAGCTAAAATTAGTTACTTTAGCAAGCCTATCAATACCCTTTTACGATTATTGCTACTTTTTCGAAATAAAATAAATTTATTATCAAAAACCTTTTTTTTCTTAGTAAAAATAAACGAAATTTTTTACCTTATGAACTTTTGATGGAAATATGCAAATTTAAAATAATAAAGAAAGCCGCGAGCGAAGCGATCGGCTTAGTTCGAAGATTTTGATTCAAATCTTTGCTGATCTGTAATTCGCGGAAGCCGCGAGCGAATCGAGCGGCTTAGGTCTAAGATTTTGATTCAAATCTTTGCTTATATTCCTTAAATTCTTTATGAAACTCGCAACAGTTCCATAAAAAATTTTAAATTCTAAACTGTCGAAATTACCGATCGGTAATCACACCCTTCACATGTGTCACTTTTAGCTAAAATTACCCCTACTCAATATAAAATTCCGAGGGAAAACGTGACATTGTCCTTATGAGTTCTCCTTCAAAAAAAGATAGAAGACCTATTTGTACAATAAGATCATGCATGAAAACTCCTGTAACACAGCCACTCTATGTATGCCACACTTGTAAATTTAAACAATACGAAACAATTTGTAAAAATTGCGCAGAATTTTGCCATGTAAATCATGACGTTGGGTTTATTGGTAACAAAATAGGCTATTGCTGGTGCGGTTATGGATGTAGGAACTGCCATTGCTTTTTGGAGCATCCTGTTGATGGAGACATGTCTTTGCCTCCTGACTGTCCCAGACAATGTCTATTCAACCAATATGATGGCAATAATGCCGATATGGAAGGTCATCAATGCGACCAATGTGGAATTTCTTTTAGAAGTTACTGTTGCACTCCTTGTTTCCATATGTGCCATAAAGGACACTCAGGTTTAGATCCAGATGGATCTAATAGCCATACTAGCCAACCTTGTTGTTGTGGTGATCCTTCAGGAGATTATCCTTGCAAAATAAAACCTCCAAAAGACGTTCCAGAACCAATACCTTTGTGCACATACGCAATTTGTGATGCTGAATATATAAGCCAGAAAACATACATTTGCTTGACTTGCAATCAGAAAGATAACACTTGTGTTTGCGAGTTCTGTGCAAGAGTATGTCATGCTGGCCATCAATTAGTTGAAATTAACTACATTTCTTCGTATTGCGATTGTGGAGCGCATTCTCCAGCAGCACACTGCCATTGCAAGTTAATGGACTTCGAGCCCGCTCAATAGAATTCTGTTTTTATGTATGAATTTAATAAAATGATATATTTATAGAGTATTTAATTTTCAATAATTTTTTTTACTGAGTTCTTTCTCTTAACTCTTTAACTTTTAATATAATTTAAGAACATATAACCAAAAATCATTCATATTTTCCTCAATCTCAGGAATATTATCTGAATTGATATGCATTAATTGAATATAAGTGATGGATAGAGCATTAGATTTGAAGTATCAATTAATGATTTCATCAAGGAATATGCACATATGTATTTAAGATGAGTTATTCAATTTATATTTGAAAAAAATTAAGAATTTTCTTCATGAAAATATAATGGTTTCAGAATAACAGTAACTAAATATTTATATAAAGAAAGTATTTTTTGTTTACATAATAAAATAACAATTTTATATCTGAATTTAAAGAACAGAAGGCGAAGAGTTCGATTCAACCCATATCTTATAGTCTCTCTTCTTCTTTCTAGCAGATATAAGCCACTGAACTCCAAGCGCGATGATGATAATAATAGCAAGAATTCCAAGAGCGATAGATATTGTTCTTCCGATCGGCAATTTAGACTTCAAAGATACATCTGCGAAATAGTCAATATCACAGTATCCGCTGATAAAATCATTGTAAATATCAACAGTTGCTTGGATATCTTGAGGTTTGTAAGTTACTTTAGACTTTTGAGTAAAATTGTACTCTTTGTATCTAAATATTTGGCGTGGATCTACGTCAAAATAAGATTTTGTGATATTTAGAATAAGGCTTGATGCATATTGAATAGAATTGACTGCTACAACATTAGATTTGAAGTAGCACCCAAGTAATGTCACGTTCATTCTTCCATTTTTCGATGAATAAACTGTAATCGGAATGAACGAAAAATTGTTTGAAACAATGATACAATTTCGTAAAAACGCGACTTGTCGGTCTTTCACATCCTTTAAAGTAAATATGTGGTGGAAGAAGGAAATAACCGTATTATTAATAACTTGGCAATAATTAACGTTAATGGTAGCTCCTGGGTTAGTAAAACTGCATAGTGAAGCTTGCATTTGAATATAATTATCCGTTGAGTTAATATAGTTGACTTGTTGGCCAGCTGAACTGAAATGAAGGCTGAAAGCAGCGGATGGGTGCTTGATGGAGTCATCATAGCATAGAGCACTGAAGACTACTGTATTATTTATGCCAGCTATCGAGTTTGTCATAAGAAGTACTGTTTCAAATTTATTCGTTGCCGTACAATTCATAAAACATGAATCAGAAATGAATAAATCATATTTTAACGTTGTTTCGACATATATGGCTCCGCCTTGTTGGGCCATACAATGAACAAAACTACAATGTGAACATTTAAGGGCACTGTCTTTAATATATATAGCGCCACCTTGATAGCCTAAGTCCACACATTTAGAAAATCGGCAATTAGTTATTTCAACATTTGTATTTGGTGTAGCTTTTAATTTGTTTGTGTAGTTTTTATCGGCAATGATAAGTCCACCTGATGTGATTACTCTTTGATATGAATTTTGGAATACCGAATTTAAAAATGCAATGTTTTGGTTGTTTGAATTGAATACAAATAACTTATTTACAGATTTTGAGACTGATATCCTTGAGAATTGAAATGATCTAAATGAAGTAGTTGGTGCAGTGTTGATTAAGGTATCTTTAACTCTTGATAAAGATAAAAACGTAATAGAATAATTCATGTTAAATTTTTATGTCAGAAAAATTGACAAGAGAAAATTCAAAAATTCAATGGCAAACGAAAACCTTAAATCAAGACAATGTTGAAAAAAATACTCTATCTAAATAGGTGATCATTCCGTACGATCAGTTTTTGAATTTATCCAACAAATTATTTTTGATTTCTGCGAACGTTTTTTCAAGGTTTAATACGAAATCTCAAAAGGAATCAACGAGTTAAATCAATTGTCTGTTGTAAACAGAAATTCATCAAAAGTGACACCTCAGAAAAGCTAAAATATTGAATTTTTGGAACTTTTGATAGAGCACGTTTTTAAATATTAATTAAAGTAAATGTATATTTTGTAAAGATTCTTTTTAATAAAAAAATAAAATTTTGAAGAAGAACACAAAATCTTCTGAAAAATAATATCACATAAACTCATATTATTTTCTAATATATAACTATTTTATATAAAAATCAAATTCAATGATCTTAAAAGCGAAGGATAAACCTCAAAATTTACGAATATAATGCTTATCTATCATAGAGTGGGGGACAAACTCGCCCATTGTCACTTTTCATTAACCTTAAACTTGTAATTTTCATTATTTTTAATTAACCTTATTTCTTTCTCAATTCCTGATTTAATAAAATATAATACCCAGATTTGCCTTACTTTTACCACCTCTCTAAAGCTGGGGACACCGCCTATCGTTGAGGGTAGCTATTAAATAGAACCACCAAGGGTATTTTTCGAACTGCCTGTGTACTGTAGTGGAAACATCCGACATAATGATTCATTATGCCAAGGTTTGATTCTCATTTAGCCAATTTTTTTCTTTTTTGGATCATGAATTTTTTTTGGGTCACTATAAGATTTGTTTCATGTTCTAAATCTGCTGCATATGTAATCTATTTTTATTTACCTATTTTTTAAAAATCTATTGGATTGCCAAATTTGAATATATTTAAAATCATAAAACTCCAAAAAAACTATAAATATATGTTTTATGCATAGTGCCGATACTCAAATATCAGATTACTTAGATCCATGAATAATATCCGAATTTTTTTTCTTAAAATTAAACTTCAAAACTTCTTGCAATCTTATTCTTAATCAATTGTAAATTTTTAAAACCATTTTTTAAAATAATTTTGCGTAAATTTTATTCTCATGTTGTTTTAATCGAAAATTGATACATTTTCAAAAAAATAATATTGACTTATGAAATTCATTTTTAAGGTGAAATAGTATTGTTTTTATTAAAGTATATGAATAATATATAAAAAATTAATGAATAATATAAGCAGATTTTTAGTTTACAAAACAAATATGAGCAATGCAATTTCAAACTTTTGCTGGCAATTTCGATATTGCTCAAGTTTGTAGTATTTGTGATACCTATAACATCGGCTTAATCAAAATTCGATTTTTTTTATGAGTTATTGAGAAAATTTGATTGCAATGAGAAGGATTTCGACGTTTTTGATAAACTAAGAGCTGAGCTTTAGGGGTTCAGTTCATTTATGGCTGTAGTTTGATGCGTAGATCTCTTTTTTATTGTAAATTCTTTCAGCATGGAGATCGAGAATGAATCTTTTGAGAACTTTATGAGTTTTTACACCCGTAAAGAGGTCCTTCGAGGAAAGATAGTCCAGACTACATGAAGATGTGGGTTAACCAAAAAAATCCGATGGTTTCCCCATATTCATGTAGATCTTCGAAAAAATGAGCACCAAAAAAGCCAAAAAAATAGGCTTTTTATTGGATTTGTACACTAGATCAATAATCTATTTAGGATCTGACACTCTTTTTAGCCAGAGATATGAGGTCCTTTCTAGGAAAACGATCTATTCATCCATAAAAAAAATGAATTATCGTTTTCCCCAGAAATTACATGGGGAGTGGTAAAAGTAAGGAAAATCTGGGTAATTTATTTATAGCATTTTTACTATACTGTAATAAAAAATTAATTATAATAAATTAAATGTTTATTAAATCAAATGTTTTCTTTGCAATAATATTTTTAATGTTGAGTAAACAATGTTGGGATCAAGTGTATCATTTTTCAGACCTTTCTGAACAGCTTCAAGCATACTGATGCATTCGACTTTTTTAAATTGTGTCATTTCTTCGAAATCTCTTGTGACTTTTTTGATAACTTTAACACTTCTCTCTGAATCCAGACCTTTAATTTGCAACTTAATCAGGAATGAAGGAACAACACTGGAATATAACTCGATGACAAGTTCATCGAGTCGAAGATTTTGCCTTTCTGGGAAGTACTGGTGCTTCAAAACCTTGAAATGTGATTCCGAGATGTTGTTTGTTCCATCTCCTTCATTTCTATAGCGAAGCATCCACCTGTCAAGATGATGGCGCCACTGTCGGTCAAAGTATTCACGGGCAGCAGGTTCCTCATTTAAAATTTCTTCTAAATTGTTGTAAACTTCATCAGGATCAATTTCTTCCTCTTCAGAACCAAAGACCAATAACTTCATTAAGTTATAGAAAGTTTCGAAGTTGGAACAATCTTGAAACTTTTCAGCCTTTCTCATGACAGCGCGCAACACATGAACGCCACACCAAATGATCTGGCATAAGGGGATGGCTGTTTCAACAGCATTTGTGATTTGAGGTGCGCAGTCCATTGAAAAATAAGATGGTTCGCGATTGATGGAGCCAAAATATGCTGTGAGACAAACTTGTATATTTTCACTTGTGTCGGGCCAAACGAAAAAATACAACAAAAAAAAACAATTGATTCCGCGAATTTGCCAGTGACGGCATAAAATGGTATGCGAGAGCGCAAGAGCTTATAAGTGGAATCAATGTGATAAGTTTGTATTTGATGTGAAAAAGCATTTGCTTCGAATGGGGCGTAATAGAAAATCATACGATCTGGCTCGTGAATAAACTCGATGAGATCATCCGGAGAATGACTCTTAACCATGTCGACAAAAATTGCAAGAGATGTAACATCATCCACTGAGAAACGGGTATTGATTGCATGAAGGCGTTTAGAAAACTTTTTTAAAGCATCTGTAGATTGTTGAAACATTTCCGGAATGATCCCACTATCAAATGGGATATTAAGATCTTTGAAACACCTTAATTGTGCGTAAACACGGTCTTGATTTGATTCAAAATATCTTGTTAAATAAGATCTATAAAAATATGATGTAATTTGTTGTGATTTGTTTGGAAAAGGGGCAGAATGATTGTGGGTGTTAATACATTTTCGTATGTGGTACTTGTCATCAGGAAGTGTATCAACAAGGAATCGACATGGACAATTCGGCCACTTACAATTAAATTTGATTTGATTTCTTTCTTTCCTAGTTTTATATGAATAACTACAACCTGCTTGGATTTCTTGTTGCACTCCATACTTAAGCAACTCGATATATGTGAGTTCGTGATCTTGGATCTGCATTAAAATGAAATGATTTGAAAGAATAAAGAATTTTGAATATATTGGTCTTATTTTGATAAGCTTGGTCGTGTTTTGAATAGCTTGGCCATCTAATTCAATTATGATCTTTGAAAATTAGGTGAAATAAAACTAAACATAAATGTAAAACTAGGGATATGAAATTTTGGTTGTACACCACTTGTATGTGCCGGATACCATTGTGTCAAATTTTTTCTGAAATTAACTTTAAAAGTACTAAGTAAGATCATGAGATATAGCAATATATGTTTAAACCAACTTATATTTTGGTTGTACACCACTTGTATGTGCCGGATACCATTGTGTCAAATTTTTTCTGAAATTAACTTTAAAAGTACTAAGTAAGATCATGAGATATAGCAATATATGTTTAAACCAACTTATATTTTGGTTGTACACCACTTGTATGTGCCGGATACCATTGTGTCAAATTTTTTCTGAAATTAACTTTAAAAGTACTAAGTAAGATCAGTTAGTATACATAACAAGGGTACGACGGCACTGCGTTCCACCGTACCCCTGTTATGTGAATTTGACACTTTATGAAACCGTTAACGTATATTTTACAACACAAACGACAACACTAACTTAACCTTAAATATTTACAAAGCCGCCAACCACTTCACCTCACTAACGTTTTCACAAACCACTTCACCTCACTAATGTAAAAATAAACGTTCTCACTTACAAAAGTATTGCAACTCCTCCCATTGCTGTGCTTCACATAACAGCTCATAATCTTCTGACTCACTTTCTTCTTCATATAGGTCAAAGTCACTGTCAAAATAAATGTTAGTAAGTTTTGACAAAGCTAATGAAACACGCTTACCGTTTGTATCATATGCTTGTATAAACTTTCCATTATGCTTGTAGTCATAAACGCTCAAACTAACTTTACCCTTTCTCCCTCGTATCTGATAGAATGTATTTTCACGAGGAACGAAGAACAAATTCTTGAACTCATGACCGTTGTAGTTTGTTATCTCAATAGTTTTCGTCATTACATCCAAATAAAAATTTTCAGTAAAAATAAAACTAACGTTAAAAATTTCTCATAACATAAACGTTCTCATTACTTTATAACTCTTCTAGCTTCTTCTTAAGTTCAGCAATGTTATCCTCATGAAGTTTAATCTTTCTCAAAATTCCTTCTTTATCTAATGGTTGCTTTATCTTTCTAAACTGAACTCTACCATCCTTCATAGTATGAACGTAAAAACCTTCTGGAATCGCTCCTGATTTAATGTATTCTACCAAAAACTTTTGTTTCATTGCTTCAGTGACTTTAGTCGTCATTTCAATCAAATAAAAATTTTAATATTAAATAAAAATAACGTTATTTTTTCAGTAAGGAAACGCAGGAGTTTTACGATTTATTTGAGGAGTAGGTTCTGGTTTAAATGTTGGAGTCGGTTTAGGAGTTGACTTTTGAACAGGAGTTTGTACTTTCATAGGTTCAGGAGTCATTGAAGGTTTTGCTTGTGAAGGCGTTGGAGTTTGTTTAACTTCAGCTACTTCAGTATTATTTACAACATTTGCTTTGTTTCTTTTCAACATCATAACTGCTCCTGCTGTAGCTAGCAAACCTAGTGGGAGACCATATCTTATATAAGGACTTGACCAAATGCTATTTTTGACAGGAGCTGGTGGAACACCTAACCTTGGTGAGACTGCTCTTTGCCATTGTGCAGCTCGTAAGAAATATTCAATAGGTGCTCCATAATCGTTTGGTAAAGTTTGTTTCATAGATGGTGAAGGTTCGCGAGAGCTTGATGAAGAACTCATTTATAAGCTTTAAAAATAAACGTTCATCCTTTATTCCTCACTGTCGTCCGTGGCTAAGTTATAGTCATCTAATCTTATTATGGGGATGCCTGACTGTCTTACCTGAATGGCAAAGCAACAATCCCTCATAAATCCAATAAGTGGCTTTGGTACATTTTCAGTTGCTAGTTCAATAGGTCCTTTAACAGACAATTTGTATGTTATTGGAGCAGTAGATGTTTGACCTTGCTGGAAGCAAAAGTCCACTTCTGTTGGAAAACCACATAAGAAATGTGTGTTGTCATAGCTATCCCATTTATGTTCCACACTACCATCATCCACCAATGACCTCATAACATCTTCATTAAATCCTATCATATCATTGTTTGTATTGCAAGCGTTCGCAACCATTTCATAAAATACAGGTCCATATGATTTTTCGGGTTCTGCAGGCATATTTCCATAAGCTCCCATGGAAAGCTGAAGATATTTAAACTTAGGGTTCTCAAAATTAACATAATAGTTGTCTTTCTTTCTAAATAGTGCCCAAATACTTTTAACATTAATAGGCGTATAAGCTGCTGTAAATGTTGCACTTGAACTATCTGTATTCTTGAGAATGAACCGTCCATAGGAATCCAATCCATAACTTTAACAGGAAAACATAAAGCCTCGTTTGTATAATGTTCTACAAGTTCTGTATAAATGTTAGGGTCTAAAGAGAATGACTTTGGATGAATGAAACATTCATTAAAATCCATCTTTGTTCGAAATAGTTGCTGGTTTACAGTTGTAATAGTAACTGTTCCACTAGCTTCTACTGCCTTCGTTATCATAGTGAATGGTTCATTCCATGGAACAAATTTATTTGTCGGTGGATTTGAATCTGAAGCAAATGCAACTTTAAGAGTTGGATTGAAAGCAATGATATCATTTGCAGATATAGATGTGCATTGTAAGGCGTCGCTACTGAACTTTACTTTAAGCTGAATGTTTCCTGCAAAAGCTGGAATAAATCGAATAGCTTCTAATGGAAGGAATCTTCTAACAGGAATTCTTAAACGAAGCTTAAATCAAATGATTTTCCTGCTGTAATTGGACCACTAACAATTTGTCCTGTTCTGCTGCATGTTCCCGAATGACTCCATACATCTTCATGTCGAGTCTTTGAGAAAACATCTACTTTCTTTATTTGTTCGGTAGTTTGTGAGTTTGAAGTTATATATGCTTCTTCTCTTGCGTTGTCTTGAGAATATACGATACGACCATTTGCAAGGATTTGATATCCAGCAACTGCATAGAAAACGTCATCGAAACCAATCCAAAATCCTGGTGGGTTTGTTTTATTGGAACCTGAACAAATTTCTTTATCTACAATAAATTGACCTTCCATTTTATACGTAATGAATGTATTGTAAAGGTCCAACATATTTTCACCAGGAGGTGAGAGATTGAATGTTACCCATGTGTTATCTTTAGCAGTTCCAGGTTGTGATGGAATCTTTGCGTCAGAATATTTTCTATTAGTGTCACCAATTTGAACTGCATTGTCTATGATATCGAAATATGAGCGAATCTGATGAATATGCTCTGCTGGAGTAAATTCGTTTAGCTGTTCGTTCTGCATGTATTTACTTCAGATAAAAATATCTATTTACTTCATTATTCTCACTCTTCTTCTTGGCATTCGTGGTGGAAGTTGTTTCTTGACATTTTCATGAACTGTACATTCTCTTTTGTCTCAACTTCTTTCACTGGTGGGTCAGGGTTCTTTGACTCGGTTTGTTTTTCAATGAAATTCACGAACTTTGCAATAAGCTCTTGGTTCGTTATTGAAAGTACATCTGGCTTCTTTTCTTCTGGTTCTATTGACTTTTCAGTTTGAATAGAAGGCTTTAACATGGGTTTCGTGGACTTCACCCTTGCCATACACCTTAATGTTGTCGCTTTCTGCATTCGCTAATGGAACCTTTCTTTTTCTTACGTATATTTTACCATCTTTACTCTGACTTACGTAATAGAAAGGATGTTGTATTCCTCTTGCGTCATTTTAATATAATAGACTCTCGCTCTTGATTTTGACAAGCTCATTTTACATCGGTTAAAGTTTTAATTTTTGTTTTTTATCTGCAGTCAAATGACTCAGACAAGCCCTACGGACAAGACCCAGGGGGTCATAGATGTTGAAGCATTGAAGAAAGAAATTCGTGAGCAAATTTTATCCGAAACTGAAGGAACAAAAAACAAGAACAAAAGCCAGAGAGACCAAAGAGAAAACTTAGTGAAAAACAACTTGCTGCATTAGCTGCTGGAAGACAAAAGAACCCAAGACTACTGGCGAAAAAAGCTAGAGAAGAAGCTGAAGCAAAAGCTAAAGAAGCTGAAGCAAAGAAAGAGTAAATGGTTTATTTTTATCCGAATTAAATGTATAGACAAATACCTTTATCTGTTGCGTTCAGTAGTGAAAACCCTGACGTCAAAATAAAGGGGAACAGAGTAACGTTTAAGTTTCCAACAGACTGGATTGTGAACATAAATGAAGAGAAGTACATTGGCATAACATCTATGTATATAACACGTGCTTTCAGAAAGGTTGACTTTATACTTCAAGTCGAGATAGAAAATGACGAACAGTCTTTAAGCGCCCAAAACATTCACATATACAAATACTTCAATGACAGTACGACGTTAGAAGACTGTATAATTACATTTTACGAAAATTTTCAAAAGAAGTTTAACATTGAAGTACAAACTTTACAGCCTTTACGTGATTTTCTTGCAGAACTGAAAGAAGAAGGAATTGTAGAAAGATTAATAGCTTTTCATTACGAGTTTGTAACAAATGAAGATGGAACACATGACTGTCAATTCATTGTATTCTCACCATTCAATGAAGTAGCTAAAAAGAAAAAAATCCATTACGTATAAGATTTCAAATCTCTGAACCAAGTGATGATTTCAAAGAATGTTTTCAATTATGATGCAATGCTTCCGAGGAAAAATGATTTTTCCGAAATTAGATTTCCAGGCATTTGGGATAGAAAGCAAGCTATATTATATTCAAACTTAAGTAAGGGAGTTGAAAATGAGTTCATTGGTCATACAAGAACTTCACCACTTCCTAACCCTAAATACTATAAATTAACTGGCTTCAATCGTGAGTTTTGGATAGACATGTTCTCCACTCATGACCATAACTGCCCAGTGTTCTTACCTCCAGACCATAAGGACTGTCTCTACATTGAAGCACAACTCTTAAACTCTACCTCGCAGTATTGTAAATGACCACATGGGCTTCGCCCTTGCCGCTAGTTTTATTTTTATCACGAATGACCTCATTGCTGACAAAAATAAATGACCTCATTATTTTTTCTCATTCATGACCTCAGAACTTAAGCTTTCTTATGAATGAAGTCTTAGTCTGAATAGAAAAGTTAAACTTCTCTTCAAAGCAAGGTTGACATGACTTACATAAGTCAAATCCAATCTCTTGACCGTCATAAAGTGCTTTGTAAAGTTTCATTAAACTGAACTCAGAGTCTTTGTCATATGTTCCTTGCGGAACCATTAAACCTTTATCTTCATCATAGAAACACTGAACAGAGTCAGGAAACATTTCATTAGCGGTTAAAGCAATAACATCTTGCTTCACGCCTTTCATTCTGCAGTGAAATGCAACTTCATTTAAATCGTTCGTGAGTAAGTCTATGTAAGTCTTCTTTCCACAAAATATTGACTTGTATGCTAAACTTTGTTTTCCAGGTGTGATTTCTGCAAAGTCGCTATGAAATTGACCAAGGTTTTTACCAATGAGAACTCTTCCATAACGTTTCTCAAACTCTTCAGCTAAACGAGGGATATCTTCATTGTAGAGATGCATACTGTCCGTATCGCTATAAAAGATGTCCATTTCCTAAGTCCTCAGCAGTACAGAATACTTCACACATTATTCTCTTCGACATAGACAGAATGTTAACACCAAGTGGACAGAAGTTAAAGTGTCTGCAAATGCTTTTCGTTAGCTTGAAAATAGTTTTATCTGAACCATCCAAACCTTCGAACTTCACTATATGGTTGTAGTTTCTGATGGCATATCTTATAGCATCTTTGTCATTTACTATGGTTATTTTTGACTCAATAGGAGATAGAATAGTTTTTGCCATAAATACTGTTCAGAATGAGCTTTATATTTTCTTGCAAAGGATTTCCTTCTTTCTTATACTTTAACCTTAACTCAAACAACTTCTTTACTTCATCTCTTATTCTAATATCTCTGTTTCCATCGTAATAGTATCCTTGCAACACTTCACATTTGACACATTGATATTTTATGAGGTCTTGTAATGTTATATGGTCAACATACATTAAACAGCAAGTGTTTGAACTTCTGGGAACGTTAAGTTCCGGATTTAGTTCAGGGTCACAAACTATTAAAGGAAAGTGTCTATGTATTCCAATCTCTGTTATCTTAATGAGAACAAAGAAGCCAGACATAAACTTTTCACCAATGGGTTCCTTTTGGTCGTCATCGAATAAATGTCTCATGAGATACTCTGTGCTTAACATTTCTTTCTTCATAACCTTTGGAATACCTTCTAAAGTATAAAGTCTTGCTATAGCTGATGGATATAATGAAACAGCGTCGAAATCAGCAATGAGTTTCTCTTTACTCTTTTGTTTCATGTTATCTGACAACATACATCTTCCACCTTGAATGCATCTCGAAATAAATTCTCTTGGTTTATTTGAGAGGTCATATAAATTTCCATTCGGGAAGTACACTCTGTTCTCAAATAATTTGTTAGCAATTGAACAAATACTAACGTAGTCATAAACGTTTAAATCAAATTCTTTCAATATGTCATTGCGGAACTTAACAAAACCTTCTCTTAAAATTCTTACATCTTGTTTGCAATAAAATGTGCTATACTTTTCTAAGTCGAAGTGGTTCTCATCTATTCTGCAACCTTTGATGGAATCTATGTTTTTCATGAATGTATCTGCATCCCGGATAAATTTACATGCTTCAGAAATGACACCAGTTCTGTTGTCATTTGCTAACAAAACACTGCTGTAGTAGTTATATGGAAATACTTCTTTCGGTCCTGTTTGTAAGTTAAACATAGCAGGAAATAGTTTAAGCTTCTTATTTATAACACTGTAAGAGTCTTTTATAATAATTGTCCTTCCTTTATATAAGCCAGTTATTTGCATTGTTCGTGAACCTTTAATGATGGGAGTTCCTTTCACTTCTGTCATGTGTCTTAAGATGAAGTTTATATCATAACTGAGGTTATGGAAATATATTAAACTCTTGTCAGGAAGTCGCTCCAAAAATTCTGTTGCACAGTTCTGACCCCAAATGCTTTCACTCACTGAACCATCTTCACTGTCGTAACATATGTTAAAAGCTTTATGAAAGCCATCGGTACTGCACTCAAAGTCAGCAAAGAAAACGTGCTCAGGAATGAACTTGCACTTATTTTTATTTACTTCTTTTGACTCGGCTTTCTTCTTCAGTTGTACACAATACTTTGGAGCATATGTCAAATCTTTAAATGGTGCAAGGTTCTGTTTATATAAGTCAGTCGTATATGTGAAAAGTTCTCCATAAGAAATAGGTTCGAAATATTTGCACTCCCACAATGTTTTCATAACATCCCATAACGGTGTTGTTCTATCATAACGAACTACATATTTATCTTCTCTCTTTGTATAAATCTTCATTTGTTTCTCAATGTTCATTCCACCACAAGCTTTGAGAATTTCTATATAGTTGCGAATGAAATATGTTGTCATTGGTAATCTTTCGTTTAGCATGTAGTGGTCTTCAACAAGAAGTAAGTCAATAGTTCTAACAGTTTCACATTCTTTTGGTATATATCTCTTTATTTCATTATGTCTTGAGTCATTGAAATAACCAATGGTAACATTAAATGCTATACCTGTTGCGTCAGAAATTTCTTGTACTTTACTTTGAGGAAAGTCTCTAACACGAATGACTTCTCTCATGTGGTCAATAGTCGAGTGTGGTAGAATTTACGAAAAAGTGACACTTAACCTTAAATTTCCAAACACTATTTTTTGATTGTATTTTGTTATTTATATATTTATATATATATGTATATTTATATATGTATATATTTATATATGTATATATTTATTAGAAACTGCTTCATGCTGTGTTGAGTATTGTTGAATAATTTGAAGTAGTGGTTTTTGAAATCAGCACCCCTATGAGAGCGCTGGCGACCGAAACACCACTAGTAAGATTGTGTATTAGAAACTGCTTCATGCTGTTGTTGAGTTAAGCTTCGATGTCTTTGTAGGATAGCTTTCTGAGAGCGAAACAAGATAGTGTTGAAAAAAAATTTGAAAATCTGAGAGACTGTGCAAGAGCCAACGACCAAAACACTACCAGTAAGATACAGCAGTAGTAGCTGCTTCATGCTGCATTGAGTATTGTTGAATAATTTGAAGTAGTGGTTTTTGAAATCAGCACCCCTATGAGAGCGCTGGCGACCGAAACACCACTAGTAAGATTGTGTATTAGAAACTGCTTCATGCTGTGTTGAGTAAGCTTCGATATCTTTATCAGACCACCTTTAAATTAACCACTCACATTCTCACTGTGGTCCATCTAAAATTTGTAAGCTTTATGACATAAAATTATATTATATGCAGGATCCCACCTATTACTTAATCTTTTTGGAATAAATGTTTTATAATATTTATCGATTGATTGTAATTTTTTGTATAAAAAAAGTTTTTTATTTATATTAAAAATATATTCGGTTAATGATATTATCTTATAATTTGTAAATAAATCTAGTAATAAAATAACTTTAATAGTTGGTGTCACTTTTTCGAAAATTCTGGTTTTTTCGTCAATAGTCTCTCCATCTACTCCAGCCTGAATGCAAGCATAAACGAAACAATTGTCTTCTGTCATAAGTGCTGCAGTTCTTTGGTTCAATTCATTGAAGATTTGGTAGCGCTCAAGATTTATAGGTAATGTGCAAAGATACTTCCAGAACTGACCGCTTCTCTTCTTATAAAACTTCTTTTCACCATTATCTTTCCAAAAGCTTTCTATAAGTGCTGGGTTTCCTGTTTGCTTAAGAGCTTCCAAAATGGCTTTCTGGTCATTTGTCAGTGTGCTTTCATCTCTATATGGTCTCTTTTTTGGTTTGCCTTTCTTTACATCTGACATCGTTAAGCCTTCATATTCTGTTAAATCATACATCTTTATTTCAGTAAGATTCTTTATGTTTGTCAAGAAGAAGTCATAGTGCATTTCAACAATACCTGCAGCATTTGCTTCTATCTCTGATATAAAGTTCTCCTTCAAGAGCTGATGTAGTAATGTTCCAATATTATTGAGGTTTAACGTAGAACATTCATACTTTCCACCAAGTTTATAACATACCATCCATCTCTGTTGTGAGTTTATTTTAATTTTCTCTAAGAGTCTCATGAAAACCTTACCGAAATGTTTGTGTAAGTAGTCTCTGTTTGGTTCATCTAAAGCTTCGATGTTAAAGTCAATGAGTCTATTGCCTGACTTCACATTTCTCTTCCTATTCTCTTCATCTTTCTTTAACCATCTCTCACCTTCTTTTGGTTTGTCGTCAATGGAACGAATGACATCGTTAGCTTTACGAACTTGTTCTATAGCACTTTTAAACATCTCTCTTCTCTGTTGTTTCAGTGTGTCGTCTCTTCTTCTTGTTTCACCAACGTTTGCATTTGTTATGTCAAACATTTCTCTTCTTACTTCATGAGGTACTGAACGTCTATGATATAAGTCAATAGCAACGTCATTTAAAGGAAATGCTATTGCATGGACTTCGTCCTCGCCGCGTTGCGGCTTTATGAACTCATGAATTCTATCATAACTTATTGCACCATTATAGTCATTGAGGATGTCAGCGAGTGCCTTTTTGTTTGTTGCGTAATGCTTTGCAACATCTATATTAGCTTCTGTAAGAAGTTGTTTTATTTCCGAGTGTTCTAACTTAGACAACTTCCGATACATCTTTAGTAGGAAATAAAAAAATATTTTTTGAAAAAATTAGATTAGATTTTTTTAAGTTATTTTTCAAAATAATTTAATATTTTTATTTTAATGAAACACATGCAAGATTGCAAGTTCTTTTCATACAATGCTCTCGCTACTGCCATCAAGAATGAGTTCAATAATGCTTCAAATGTTAATGTTATCTTTAACAAGAAGTTTGTGAAAGAATCTAAGTTTGGTCAGTATGTCAGACCATTAGCTATCGTCATTGACCGCAAACGTTATACTTCACAAGAGTTAGCAGTAGTTTTGAAACAAAAGAGTTTCTTCGTGAATGTCAAAGATACTCATTATACTGTTATAAAGAACTCTAACATTGACTTCTTCAGTATTGTTTTAGATTTATCGCAGCAGAAAGAATATAAGAAAGGTGAAACAAATGTGAAATATTATCCTTCATCTCTGAAGACAATAACGAACAAAGATGTTATACAGAAGCTCCTACCAAAGGTTGAAGAAGCTTCTATTGACATTGACGAAGGAAGTGAAATGGTTGAGGAAATTGACCCTGACGTCATTTAAGCAAAAATATATTTTTGGTTAGTCTTCATATGGATATTTTACAACAATTCCCCAATGTATAAACTTTTCATACGCTTTTGCATAAGCTTTATATACCTTCAGAAATTTTGCATAATCTTTAGAAGCATTTAGATATTGTTTAAATGCTTTGTATGTCTTCAGAAATTTTGCATAATCTTTTACATGTTGTTCGTTCTCTTCTTCTGTCATGAGTTCCGAATATTCTAAATTCATGTTCTTTCATATGAGATAAAATTTTATAAAAAAAATAAAATTAGCTTAGATTTTTTTTATTCTTCCTCTTTGAAGTTATCGAAATATTCTGTTATTTTTTCCTTCAGTAATGTTAAGTCTTCTTTGAATGTAAGTATTGTGCAACCTTTGATGTCATAGTGTGTTTGAGGAAGAGTATTTTTGACAATTTCCTTTATTTGCTCATTCGGTGTCATTGAAATCGGTAAGTTTTCACGATAGAACCAGTTTCTGTCAGATTTGTAAATCTTAGCAAGGTCATAAAAGCTTTTGTTGTTTCTTCTGACTAAATGCAACATAACCATATCTCTGTCTTCTTCTTTCTCCAACTCTTCAGTATATATCATATACTTATAACTCTTTTCCTTTCCTTTTGGTACTGAACGCGGTATTCTTTTCTGTATGCTTTTGTCTTTGGATTCAATGACTTCATCTTTTGCTTGAAGTTTCTTTTCCATCTCTCCACGTTCTGCTTTATATAGTTCATCTAACATCATGAAAATATAACAAACATAACGAGGTGAAGCCCACATTGCTACAGCGTTTACTAAAAGTCTATGAACATAATAACCTTTCAAACCAGGAGCCAAATTCTTGCGATTTTCATACGGAATCTCTTCCCCCGGTTTTCCGAGGGAAGCAATCATATGAGGAAATTCTTCTAAAAGTTCTTTTGTCTGTTGGTTTTCAAACCAATGATATGCTTGCTTTGTAGAACAAAGAGCATTCATTATACTTTGCATTTGGTACATGTCATCTTTGACCGAACGAATGAGACGTAACTGTTTGTTATACTGTATGTACTCGTATTCTTCATTAATGGCTTCATGGACTATAACTGTTGTTGTGTTCTCTGATGTTGACATTACTGTCTTTACATACAAAATAAAAAAATAAATAAAAATAAAACTAACTTTATTTTTCTGTGATAAAGAAATGTTAAAAATTCATGGTTACATATGTGAAAAGAAGTCACGAACAAATGAAGGTCATAAGATTCAGCACATAATTCTGAATTGAATGGTGTGTCATACATGTCAAACCGTCAAGAATTGAAGGAGATACGAGGCTATAAAGATTTTGGATATTTTCTGACACACACCCTGAGGGAAAAGTGACAAAACACGACGATAGAAAAAGTGGCAAAATTGAGAGAAAGTTGTTCCCCGACCAAAATGCAATCATGTTGAAAAAGTGACATTTGTAAAGTTGGACGATAGGATTTCCTGAAAAAGTGCAAGACTTGTCTTGAATCAGGACAAGATTTGTCTTGAAAAAATACAAGACTTGTTCTGAAAAAATACAAGACTTGTCTTGAATCAGGACAATTGTTCTCAAATTTGAGAACTTTACAAGAAAAACAGACTAAAAAGTGCAAGTCTTGTTCTGAATCAGGACAAGATTTGTCTTGAAAAAATACAAGTCTTGTTCTGAATCAGGACAAGATTTGTCTTGAAAAAATACAAGACTTGTTCTGAAAAAATACAAGACTTGTCTTGAATCAGGACAAAACTTTACAAAATGTAAACTTTACATAACCGTTTCTATCGTACATGATATTTAGTTGACATTGTAAACTATCTTCATGTAAAGTATGGCGGTTTGAAACCGTCGGGAACCTTCACTTTTTTGACGAACTTTCCGCAGCAATTTTTAAAATTTGTGAAAACTCAACGGTTTGACACGTGCCATATGTCATTTTACTCAGAATTTTGTGCTGAATTCAGCAAAAATAATGAGTTCATTTACTCACAATATTTTTGTACAAAACGACCCCAAACTTTTAACTTCTTTTCTGCAGTTTCTAATGCTATCTTAGCGAGTTCATATTCTCTAAATTCTCTCTTTAAATCTTCTTGTTCCCATTGGTCTAGTTCGTATTGAGAATCTCTATAACCATAACATATCTCACGTTCATGTTCTAATTGTTTTTCACACATTTTTCTAACTTCTTCAAACAAAGGTTTAGCATTCTCTACTGTATCTTCGAGTTCTTCTTCATCTAATTTCTCATGAACTTTCTTGTCTATGGAGTCCATAATATCTTTGACATAAAATGCATACTTTACAGAGCACCATTCAGCAACAAAATGAACGAGGTCAGGATGTATGTAAATACCTTTGAATTCATTTATAACGCCCTTAGCAAGCTCATAAAATGCTTGTTTTGAGGTTGAGCCACTTTTGGCTCCACCGTATTCTTTCAACCAAAACTCAAGAATTTCCTGCATTTTAGTACTATTGAGAAATCTGTTTAAATGGTTTAACTTTCCTGCTTCTCTTGCCATCTTTGTTGCATTAATGTAACCATCCTTGTCTCTACGTAAGACTTCAATACCGTTATAAGTGCCTTTTGTGAATGTTTCGCCATTAGATTTGTTCGTGAATGTTTTTGCTTCGATTGACATTTCTGTTCTTACATACAAAATAAAAAAAATAAATAAAAATAAAACTAACTTTATTTTTTCTATCTTAAGGAAATTCATGAAAATTCACGAGGGTGAAAAAACATGTGAAAAAAGAGGTGAAATCTCACCTCTTCACCTAAACATTATTTTTGTCTGATTTACATCTAATGAAAAAGTTTAGAAGAATTTTCTTATTCTTTCTGGCATATTTTTGTCTTTCCAGTACTCCCGCTCTAATGGTCCCAGATGTGTTGGCTTTGACTCTCTCAAGTTCTTAGATGGTATAACATCTTCAACACCTCCTTCATATCTTACTTTATAAGTGTCATCGTTTATGTTGTAGCCAAGTATTTCAATAACCACTCCTCGCTTTGCTTCGTCAATGGTTTCAGCAAGTTTGCCATTGCTACTTTCGACTAATTTATGTCGAGGATAAAACGCAATAGAGTCGTCAGCAGCTTTTATAAGATATCCATTACCTTGCGTAGAGTCTACGATATAATAGTTTCTACTTAACCTTAAACGTTTCTTTGTCAACGGTTTGTCGTCAAGAACTGCACGAACTTTTGTACCAGGAATGAGGGTAAATTGTGTTGAATTTCTGATATTTTGTGTTTGGCTTCGTTTCTTTTGTATATACTTTTCTTCTTGTTGTTGTGTCATTGAATTTGGTGTATGTCCTGTTGTAGAATGTGTTGAGGAATTATATACTTCGAGAAAATGTTTCATTGTTTCTTCGGTAAAGTCTCGCTCTTGATTTAAATCTCTGAGCGTTCTTATGAAGCGGTTTATGATGCCGAGTATGTTATGGTTATGGTCTTCAGTAGTGTAGTGAGTTATGTTATGCTTAATGAGAAAATCTGTGATTTCATTGCTGAGATATGCACTGTCTTGGTCTGATGTTAAAGTACTTGGGCTATGTTCTGCTACAAACTTTTGTAAAACTCTTAACACTTCACGAGTTCCTTTATTTTTCATTGGATATGCATATGCTTTACGAGTGTTAACATTAATGAAGATGAGGAATGGTTTATGTCCTCCTTTCTTACTCTGAACGAGAGTGTCAAATTGGTATGCGTCAGGAGTGTTGGAGTAAATTGGTAAAAAGTAGTCGTAAGGGTTTATTTTTGTTTGATGTACAACATTTTTGTCAAAGAACCTTTTCACTTCAGCTCTGTTAGTAAATCCCCAACTCTTTGCAGCTTCATTGAATTTCTTAAATGACCTCCATGGATGTTGTTCGAATACTTCTTTCAAGCTCATTTATGTAAAGTTAAAGATTTTATTCAAGACGGTAAGCCCGCAAAGCAGGCTCAAGCGCGTTCATTGAACGCGGTACCATGCAAATACAGTCACAAATGGTGGCATGTAATCTGCACCCGAGCCTGTTGGATTTGTTGTGAAAGTATGGACATGATTTCCTGCGGTTCAACAGAAAATACCTGCGCTTGAATCTACTGGGTCACTTGAAATATCATATCTATGCATTCCCTGTCTATCCGAACCTGCTGCAAGATTTGTATAACCTCTTTTTGTTATTGAATGTGAATGACTACCTGTTGTGTTTGTAGTTCCTGTATGAGTGTGCGGTGGAAGGTTTGCTTCAATAATTTTCTTCGAACCTCCTGTTTGCTTTGAAGAGTTAGCACAGTATAAGAATTTGTCTACAATCTGCTGCCATGTACCAAAACCTAAAACACTTGCTGGATTTGTTGAGTTCATTGACGTATAAATAGAGCCTATAGGATATAATGTTTGAAGTATTTCAGTCTTTAATGTTTGAAGCTCTGTTTTGTCTGCTTTCTTATCTAACATTGCTGGTAGTTCATGTGTTTCAAAGTTTCTGACATGACCTTCGATATTCATACATTTGTTATTTAAGGAGTTTAGTGTATCTTTTACGCTTGTACTTGGATTCTCTAAAGGTGCACTTGAACCAAGGGTATAGTTCAATATTATGTCGTCTGCTCTAACAGTAGTGAAGGACTTATGTGTATGTTCTTTATCTGCTTTTTTATCTAACGTAGCCTGAAGTTCATTTATATCGGAGATATTGTGTTTATGAGATTTCAAAACTTTGTTCGTTGCGTCGAGTTCTTCTTTCTCTGCTTTACTTTTAATAGCATCTTCAAAAGTTATTTTTGCCTTAACTCTCAATGTAAATCTTGGTTCAACTAATACACCGTTAACAAAGAAGTATGAAGCATAAATTTCATTGTTATAACCAAATGTTTCTGGTGCTTTACCTGTGTCATACTGTACAGTACAGTGTATGTCATAACCTTTAGCACGAATGAATTTATATCTTCTTTCATTAACATCTTTCGTCTTCACTTCTTCATCCTGTGTTAAATATCCATGGTAGTCCGTTATAATCTGTTCGTCTGAACTTATATAATGAACATGGTTTTTATCTGCTTTTTCGGCTAATTTCTCTTCTATCTCATTTATTTCAAGTTCATGCCTACCACCACCTCCTTCAGAAGTATTTTTCTTCAGCTCTTGAAGAACGTCCACTTCGCCATCTTTGGTGTCAATAATGAGACTTTGTGTTAAAACCTTTCCTGTCTTAATGGATGTTTGTAAAACTTCTTCTTCACCGTGTTCGGGGTCATGGTCGTCATCATATCTTGTGAAATCAGAGATGTTGTCATACATTAAGCATATCTGTCTCAAAAGTTCTGCTATTTGAAACTGGAACGAAAGATATACAGAACTTTCATCATCTCCTAAAGTCAAGTCTGCTTTCTTAAGTATTTCTTGAATGTATGCAATGAGAACAGAGTACCTTGGAAAATATTCGAACAATATTTCATTAGCTGTTGGTTTTGGTGGAGTTTCTGCATCTCTTGACTTCAATGCTCTTGCTCTCAAAGACCTAAATGTTAGAGCACCAGGCTTTACAAAGGACTTTATAAATGCTTTAATAGTTCCTGGTAAGTTATTGTTAGCATTAAGTAAGTTCCTTATGCTTCCATCATGTACGTCCATAGCACTATGTAAAAAATCTATACTTTTCTTGTAGTCAGCAATAGACTGACTGTGATTTTTTAAAGATTTGTCAATACCTTTAAGCCAATCTTCATGCATGTCTGATACTGAGCCAAGAATATCATTTGCTTCCTTTAGTGTATTTTGTGCTTCTCGTAAAGTATCCAATCCAGTACGTGCATTGTTTGCTATACGTCTTACAGTATCTATTTGACTCCTTGTTTCTTGCATCCAACCAGATAAATTTTAATAGTATCCGAACCATTTGAAATGAAGTTCAAAGCATTTTTAACGTCATCTAAAGCTTCTTCACCAAGTACCGCCCATATCTTTCCGATTTGGTATTGAATAACTCCATATGAAGCAGCTGTTAAACCAGTATTTATAAGGTCCCATATCCATGATTTAGCAGTTTTTCCATCCTTTCCATCCTTTCCATCCAAACCGTTTTCGCCTTGAGGTCCTTGAATTCCTTGAATTCCTTGTATTCCTTGTGGTCCTTGAGGCCAGGTCACCCTTCTCTCCTTTCAGTTCATCTTTATGTTCGTTATAATATTCTAATGTCATAAGGTGTACATCATTACTGCTACCAGCAACGCCGAGAATTTGTTTTCTCATTCATGACTAAATTCTTTAGGCATTTAATGTTGTCGTCAAATCGAAAGCTCTTTAACAATTCAATGAGAACATTTAATACTTTCACTAATGAGGCATCTACTGTAGAATTTATATATTGCACCGTTCCATCATTTATGATGGGAACTTTACTTATTGTAATGAATGGGTCATAAGTGTTAAAAGTATCGAAATCAATGACTTTTTAGTTTTTCCATCGTCAATGACTAAATCATTGCCTTCAATGGTTAAAGTTGAGTTTTCGTTTACTAGTTCATGTGCTCTTCTTGCTTCATTTGTTTCATACGCATATGCAGCAATAGTCATATTTTAATGAGAATAAAATGTTGTTCTATTTGCAAAGTACAGACCCAAACGAATATGGAACAGTAAAGCTTCAAACAAACTTAGGTCTTCAGAATGAAGCACTTGCTTTCAGAGTTGTTGACTTCAATACTATCGCAACTTTTGTCATAACAGATGAAACAGATTTCATAGAGATTGAAATAGATGACAAAAGAAGTTTTATAACATTTCCTAACAGAGCAGAGTATAGAATAGATAAAATTGCTGGAGTCATAGATACTCTCATAAATGAAGAAACTATTGACAACATAGATGTCGAACTCTCTTCTGAGGGAACATTGAAGTTCAGTAGCAAGAAAGAGTTCAAGATAACACGAATGAGTCATAGAGTTCAACTTCTTTTAGGAGCATACCATATGACATTTCCTTTGAAAAGTGTTGACAAAAACGATTGAGATGAAATCTGTTCCATACGTATGTTATGGCAATTGTTTATACATTGAGTCTAAAATAGCTAATGTCACAGGCATTTCAGGATTAATAGTAAAGGTTCAGTAGAGTATAAATCTTTCTGTTATGAAGTAAATTCAATGTTCATTCCAAACGTTCCTGTCATAGCAACTCATTTAGGTAAATGGGTTCGCATTAGTCCTCATAATTTGAAAGACATGCAATTCAGACTAGTTGACTTTCAAGGCGAGCCTGTAGAACTGAAGGCACCAGTGCGAATGACTGTTGAAGTTGACTTTTTAGAAAATATTAAATGCAACAGCTTACAAGAGAACTCAGAGCTAAAAATATAAAGTATGAATGTTATGTATTAGGTCATGAACTTTGGTTGTTGCTGTTTGATGAAACAAATGAGTTAGTTATGTCAGTCAAGAGAACAGAAAAATATTGTGTTAGTGAAAACTGCACCAAGTCAATAAGATTAGGTTTGCATTATGAAGATGAGTTCGATACTGTTGAAGAAGTTTTGGATAGATATTACAAATTGCTAACTTGAAATTTTTTTGACTAACGGCGCAAAGCGCCAAGACCGAAGGTCCTGACTGCTTTAATTTACTAAAACATATTTCAAACAAAGCTTATATTCTGTTGAAAGTTTTGTATATTCATTCGAATATTTATACTTAAACTCAACTCCTGTAGTTCCTGGTGTTTCAATGATGCGGATGTTACCTATTTTCATGAATAGTGGAGTTTGACCACAGCATTCGATTTCAGGGTCGAGATAGTCAATGACACATTGTTTCCCTGTTATTCGTGATATAACATTTTCAAGGTCCTCCTTTGTTAGAATTATTTGGTTCTTGCTTATAAGATTTGTCAAAAGCTTCTTATCGTCTTTGAGTAAGATAGTTTGGTATAACTGAAGAAGGTAATGGTCTACGTTATCTGAAGGATTTGTTTGAACATTTGTGTAAGGGTTGTCGTTGGCTTCTCTTGAAAGAATTTGGTCCAGTGGTGGATACTCTAACTTAACATCTGATGTAGCGTTAGCGTTTGAAGCTGAGTTTAAATTCACCGACTTAAGTTCTGGTTCTTTTTCTTTCAAACACTCCGAACTATAGTTCTTTATGACAATATTGTTTGTCGTTCGTGAGTCAACATTTGATGTTGGTTCAATTGGAACATTAACGGCACCAGCTAAGATGGATTTGCTTCTCATTTCATATAGAATAAAAACCTTTTATATGTATGAAATGAACAATATACTCGACAAGGGTTTGAATGTAAAGCTAACGAATGAAAATATTGTTGAATTCACTGAGACAGGTGCTGTGTATAAAGATGTAGAACTACTGAACAAAAGAGCTAAGGGAAGAAGCAGGAACATGAACAAAGGGTGGAAGCCTATAAAAATTTATGTCAATGATGGCTCAGGAGGTTCAAACATAAAGTATGCAGAAAGTTATAGAGTTTATGCTCTCAAAGGTGAAAAGCCTTCATTTAAGAACAGCTATTCTAAAGCATATCCTCAAAAGCTAACGGATGGGGAAGTGGATGATATGAATGACAGCAAAAATATTAACAGAAATGGCGACAGAGATGCATGGAATTTGTTTACCATCAGTCAATTGAAGGTTAAACTTTAAAACAATGTTGGTCGTTCCCATGGAATATTTTTGACTTTAATGGTATTAGTCATGATATGAATCTCAAGGTATGAACGAGGAGAGATGAGAGACTTATATGCTTCCCAAATTTCTTCAAAAGGTAATGTTATACCTGACTGTTTCCAAATGAGTTCAATATCATAGCGTGAGAAACCTTGAAAGATAACGAAGTCAGTTATGAGACGTTTTATGTTTAAAGCTAAAAACCTCCATGTTTGCATAAGTATTGCTACAGTTAAGTGGTAATGTCTGACTTTAGTAATGATGTTAGCTAATGGTGAGTCAGGCTTTGACACTAAACCTTTTCCGGCGAAGTCGTCGCAAACGAGCAGAGTGTTTGAAGGATACTTTTTGAAGGGGTATTTTGAAAGTTTTGACAGAATGTAGTTTGTAAGTCGTTTCATATCGTAAACTCCTGAGTATTGACGTAAGTGGTGTTTGTCAATAATTCTTTCCATCTCTTCTGAAGTCTTTTGCATTCCTGACTGTATAAATTCAACGATGGCATAATATTTCCTCTTACGTCGAATGTAACGTTGAAGAAATTCAATGAGTTCACTGTCTGGAACTTTAACGACAGAGGCTTGAACTTTTGACATAAATGTTTTCGCTGTTGAGTCCATAGAGTCTGAAGTTGCTGATATAATGATTTGGTCATAATATGAGTCATTTCCTAAACGTTCTGTTATGAGTATATGACGAATGAGGTTAAATGTCTTACCTGAACCCATCTTTCCACAATAGAAATAAACACCATTTGAACAGAACTCATAGTCCTTACTGAAAGGAAGAATGAGAGAAGAGTTAAGTTTGTCTGTAGTTTCATTCATGTCTTCATCTACGTCATGTATTAAATGCTTCATTTTATCTCCATTAAAAATGCAAGTCAGAAATATTCAGAACATAGCACCGAGTCTAACTGACAAGAGTATAAAGATATACTATGAACACGTTATGATGAAACCTACCAAAATTCAAGAAAGTCAGTATACTTATGAATATCCAAGACACTGGGTAGAGTATGTAGGAGGTGAGAAAGCTATTGAAATCAGACAGGTTCGAAGTATTCCAGCAGGAAGAACAATATTATTGAAGAACTTTAATGTTTTGAGATATAATGATGAAACAAAGAAGCAAGATAGTTTTCCTGTTGCTGTGTATGTGAACCTAGACACAGGAGATGACATGAAAGTTTTTAATACAAAGCTTCAAACGGTAGTGAGAGAACAACTGACTGCGGAAGGGCATCCATTACCTTCAGAAGTTACCATAGCATATAATTTTGAAACAAACTCAATAGATTTTAAAGTCATCTCTGCAAAGAAGTCAGGTTTTACATTTAATGAAGCAGATGTATATTCGAATGAAAACTTCAAAGCTATTACGTGGTTAGATAATGACGATTGCTTTAAGAAAATATTTAAATTCAGTGACTCAACGATGTCAATAGATGACCTTCGTGGAATGTTACCATCGACGTTTACAGTAGAAGGTTCAGCAGGATTGCTTACAAGATTGTCAATTGGTGGTATTTGGTCTCGTGAGAACATTGTTATAAAATCCAGTATAAGTGAATTTGCTGAAGAATCTATATTATGTCTTTCAAACTATATGTATTCGCCGCCGAAGCATTATAGTATAACAAACTTTGTCAGTAAGTTTAACATAAGACTTGTTGAACCTTCTTCAATGAAAGATGTTGTGCTACCCAAAGACGGAAAGGATGGACTCATTATTGAAATGATTTTAATTGCATATTAAATGAGCTTGTTCTTGAAGGTCATTCATGATGAAATAACTGTTGTAGAAGATGTTAGCAATTGTTCAGACATTTTGAAGCGTATAGATGATATAAGAAAGAAGTTAGATAGACCGCAAAGCGGTGAGGGCGAAGCCCGTGAGAACGCTTATGTTTCATTGACTTTCTCCAGTAACGAGAACTTTTATGAGATAATATTGAAGAGAGATGATTTTAATATGGTGTAAATGGTAGCTTGGGCAGCTTTAGGCGCAATGGGAACAAAAGCATTAGCATTTGGAGCAAAAGCACTTGGAGCTTATGACGCAGTAAATAAAATGAGTGGAGGAAGGGTTTCGAAGACATTAGATGCAAATAAAGGGAAGATTGGAGGCTGGGTTGCAAAGAAGTTAAGATTAAATAAAATAGGGCTCATAAATAAAGCATCCAATTTGGTTGCGACTGAGTCAGAAAATGCTTTAGGAAAGGACGATGAGTTTGCAAAACACGCAAAAGACTTTAATGACCAGATGAAAGGTGAAACAATGCATTTAAATAGAGTCGATGGAACTAAAGAAAATGTTTCTTCTCCACCAGTAGTTCTTCCGTATGGTCCCTATGGAATGTATGGAAACCCTTACGAAAGACCATTTGACCCATTGACTGGTGGAAGTAACTGGTATCATTACGGACGAAGAAGAAAGACAGTTAAGCTGGAGACAGACGTGAAGAAAGCAACTAAAAAGAAACCAAGGAAGAGAGTTATAAAGTAATGAGAACGTTTATGTTATGAGAAATTTTTAACGTTAGTTTTATTTTTACTGAAAATTTTTATTTGGATGTAATGACGAAAACTATTGAGATAACAAACTACAACGGTCATGAGTTCAAGAATTTGTTCTTCGTTCCTCGTGAAAATACATTCTATCAGATACGAGGGAGAAAGGGTAAAGTTAGTTTGAGCGTTTATGACTACAAGCATAATGGAAAGTTTATACAAGCATATGATACAAACGGTAAGCGTGTTTCATTAGCTTTGTCAAAACTTACTAACATTTATTTTGACAGTGACTTTGACCTATATGAAGAAGAAAGTGAGTCAGAAGATTATGAGCTGTTATGTGAAGCACAGCAATGGGAGGAGTTGCAATACTTTTGTAAGTGAGAACGTTTATTTTTACATTAGTGAGGTGAAGTGGTTTGTGAAAACGTTAGTGAGGTGAAGTGGTTGGCGGCTTTGTAAATATTTAAGGTTAAGTTAGTGTTGTCGTTTGTGTTGTAAAATATACGTTAACGGTTTCATAAAGTGTCAAATTCACATAACAGGGGTACGGTGGAACGCAGTGCCGTCGTACCCTTGTTATGTATACTAACTAGATCATTTATTTTTGCATAATATAATGCCAATATGGTTTCTTTTGATTTTATTTCATTTATAAGCAAATCAGATTTACCCAAAAACTCCACTCCATAAGCATTCATTTGCTAAATTAAAAATTGACAATGGGCTAGTCTGTCCCTTTCTCCTTCTTGCGACCAAAGATTTGAATAAAAGTTCAAAAAATAAGATAGCTTAAAAAATAATATACGGTAGTGTTTACTAATAGATGAATAGTATATAAATTCTATTAAAATGGATTTGATCCAAAAAAATATATAAAATTTGATCATAAATAAAATTGTTTAGTAGTCATTTAAAATGATGTAATTATTCAAATTTTGCTAAGACCCATTCGTCTTTGATATATAACTCCCATTTTTGCATTTCTGGCTCGTACCAAAATTTTGAAACGAGAAAGGGACAGACTAGCCCATTGTCACTTTTTAATTTAGCAAATGAACGCTTATGGAGTGGAGTTTTTGGGTAAATCTGATTTGCTTATAAATGAAATAAAATCAAAAGAAACCATATTGGCATTATATTATGCAAAAATAAATGATCTTACTTAGTACTTTTAAAGTTAATTTCAGAAAAAATTTGACACAATAGTATCCGGCACATACAAGTGGTGTACAACCAAAATATAAGTTGGTTTAAACATATATTGCTATATCTCATGATCTTACTTAGTACTTTTAAAGTTAATTTCAGAAAAAATTTGACACAATAGTATCCGGCACATACAAGTGGTGTACAACCAAAATATAAGTTGGTTTAAACATATATTGCTATATCTCATGATCTTACTTAGTACTTTTAAAGTTAATTTCAGAAAAAATTTGACACAATGGTATCCGGCACATACAAGTGGTGTACAACCAAAATATAAGTTGGTTTAAACATATATTGCTATATCTCATGATCTTACTTAGTACTTTTAAAGTTAATTTCAGAAAAAATTTGACACAATGGTATCCGGCACATACAAGTGGTGTACAACCAAAATATAAGTTGGTTTAAACATATATTGCTATATCTCATGATCTTACTTAGTACTTTTAAAGTTAATTTCAGAAAAAATTTGACACAATGGTATCCGGCACATACAAGTGGTGTACAACCAAAATATAAGTTGGTTTAAACATATATTGCTATATCTCATGATCTTACTTAGTACTTTTAAAGTTAATTTCAGAAAAAATTTGACACAATGGTATCCGGCACATACAAGTGGTGTACAACCAAAATATAAGTTGGTTTAAACATATATTGCTATATCTCATGATCTTACTTAGTACTTTTAAAGTTAATTTCAGAAAAAATTTGACACAATGGTATCCGGCACATACAAGTGGTGTACAACCAAATCTTCGACTCGATGAACTTGTCATCGAGTTATATTCCAGTGTTGTTCCTTCATTCCTGATTAAGTTGCAAATTAAAGGTCTGGATTCAGAGAGAAGTGTTAAAGTTATCAAAAAAGTCACAAGAGATTTCGAAGAAATGACACAATTTAAAAAAGTCGAATGCATCAGTATGCTTGAAGCTGTTCAGAAAGGTCTGAAAAATGATACACTTGATCCCAACATTGTTTACTCAACATTAAAAATATTATTGCAAAGAAAACATTTGATTTAATAAACATTTAATTTATTATAATTAATTTTTTATTACAGTATAGTAAAAAATGCTATAAATAAATTATTATATTTTATTAAAATGTGACTTTTAATAGTAAGTGAATAAAATAAATCAGAAATTGGGAAAGAAATAAGGTTAATTAAAAATAATGAAAATTACAAGTTTAAGGTTAATGAAAAAGTGACAATGGGCGAGTTTGTCCCCCACTCATTTTGAAACTTCGAATAATTCGTTAGGAGTGTAATTACTATTCGTTTTTGGATTAATATCGAGAGATAAATTTGGTGTATTGTTGTATTTTTCAATGAACTGCTGAACTGAGTCCTTGATTTGTTGAATATCATCCAACTCGTCTGGCAAAAACTTTTCTAAGCTTGGCCACAGGCGCTCCACCTTGCCGTTCTGTCTTGGCATATACGGCAAGTTGTGCTTCCAAACTATTCCGTTTTCCTGCATAACCTAGCCAAATTCACCGCGGTTTTCACTGCCGTTATCGGTCCAGATGCAGTAAGGAATAAACTCCTCTAAAAGTTTTCTTAAAACCTTCGCTGTTGAGTTGGAAGACTTGTTTTTCAATAATTTAGTTTTGGCAACTTTACGTGTCATATCATCCAATATGGCAAAAAATGGAAAAGAAACATTACCGTGAAGGTAATGAATATCGCAGTGCCATATCAAATTCTTTGATATGGCACGATATTTGGTAGGTGGATCTGCTGGTTTGTAATCTCTTTTTGAAGATAAACCTGATTCCATCATAAATTTTTCCACTTGATGATGCTTTATTTTTTGTAAATTGTCAAAAATTTGATCTTTTGTCAAATCTTCTATATTTTCAAATTCTTTTGCAATTTCTTCTTTTTCTTTCTCACAATCGGGATTTTGAGCAATATTTTGAAACCTTTTAATCAATAAATAAGTTTTTGAAATTCCTCCTTTATATTGTGAAACACAAGAATTAATTAATTGTTTTTGCTCAAATGTTGGTGGATTTGGTTTTCTGCCGCGACTAACTTTTGGTAATTCGATTTCTTGAAGTTGAAATGCTCTTCTTATTGTATTTTCGGCAATATTCAATTTAATTTTACCATTTTCCAATTCAACTTCCTTTCCCACACTTTTGTAAGATTCACCTTATTCTATTCTTCTTTTAGCTTCAAATAGCCATTCTCTGCTTATAGATTTGGCAGTAGTCATAAAAGTGGTCCTTCTTTTGTGATAAGATTCAAATTTGAATGTGGATGATAAATAAAAATCAAAAATAATTGTTATAATTTAAATGAAGAAGTAATTTAAAACGATTTTATTTATGATCAAATTTTATATATTTTTTTGGATCAAATCCATTTTAATAGAATTTATATACTATTCATCTATTAGTAAACACTACCGTATATTATTTTTTAAGCTATCTTATTTTTTGAACTTTTATTCAAATCTTTGGTCGCAAGAAGAATTGCATGATAAATAAAAACATTTAATCAAAGTCAATTTTATTTTTCATATTCAAATGGACTGAGTGTTAACATTTAACATTTTTTGCTAATTGTCGTCAAAAATTAGGCGTAAAGCAAAAATTGATATTTCATATGGTTTTATGATAGATAAGCATTATATTCTCACTCATTATATTCGTAAATTTTGAGGTTTATCCTTCGCTTTTAAGATCATTGAATTTGATTTTTATATAAAATAGTTATATATTAGAAAATAATATGAGTTTATGTGATATTATTTTTCAGAAGATTTCATTCTATATGCCTATGAAAAGTACTCTCAAAACTAACTTTTCCCTAATTATAATTAAATCTAGAATATTGTATTATGCTTAGTATTATTTCATTTTTCTCATTCAATTTAGAATTTACAAATGTCAAAAAATTGAGAGCTGTCACTTTTGATGAATTTCTGTTTATTACAATTGTCCAATCTTTAAATCTCAAAACGTTCGAAATTGAGTTTAGAATCCGAAGTTTTGATAAAAAGTGACAATATTTTATACCATTTTTTTCCATATAAAAATGATTTGTTATATCATTTTAAAACTCTTTAATTTTGAATACTTTTTTCAACGAAAATTTATAAACGCACGCTTGAATTTTGTTGAAAAATGGGGGACTTCAAGGAGAATTCTGGAAATTTAGGACCTAATATTTTAGAATTCGGCATGAAGTCCCAAAAATGCATGCAACATCATAAAAAGAGAATTCGTTGTATTTGCAAATTAAAAGATGATATGTATGCTTCTTCAGATGGAACATATCTAATGATTTGGTCGCCTACAAAACTCTATCACCAAATGTTTCTATCATGTATTGGGCTCGGATACATACCAGAATTTAATCAAATTATTGCATACGTCGAAAATTCAACTCAATTACACTTCATCAAAGTAAAACCACCATACAAACTTGTTGTACACAATCTGCCATTCTCAAATAAGATCATCACCAATTTATTTTACTTTCCAAAATCATCTACGTTAATTACTTCAGGTCAAGGAGTGATGTTTACAAAAGTTGTTTCTCCATTCTCTGTTTCACACTCTACGCCTCAACCAGAAACATTTGAATTTACGAAAATCTGCGAAAAGTACGAATCAGAATTATTTTCAATAAAAAGACATCCAATTCCGATATTTTCTTTAGAATACATAATAGTATGGCTAGGTAATTCAATTTACATCCATAATTATGATGGAGAACTGATAAATAGTCTAATAAATATTACAACAACTCCAATTTCATACGTTTCATATTATCCAGACTCAGATCTAATAGCATTAGCTGAAGAAAACGGAAACACAACAATCACACAGTCAAAATACTCAGTTGTAACAGGTTCTTCCAAATATCACATTATAGATTCAACAATTATATATTGTTGCATGTTTGATAAGAATATGATCGTTTGTGTATCGTGTACAGGATTGATTGTGATATACTGCATTAGAAGTTTATCAGTTATTGCTCAATATCAAATTGATGACGTTCCTCGTCAAGTTTTTTCTTTTGGAAACATATTGTTTATACTAACAAATCTGAATGTTATACTATATGATATTAATATATTCATAAAATCCTACTTTTCTGGCTCATCTTGGACAGTTAACCTTCAAAGAAAGCCATCGTTAAGTGAATCAGCTTGCATTATAAATTTTACAATAGATGGAGCATTTTCTATATTTGATCCAGTTGAAAAATCATCAGTTTTTGGAATTGAATCAAAAGATTATGCAAAACCTATCGAGAAATACATATATTTTCGCGATGTTTTAATAGATGGAAAGGATTATATTAAATCAGACAAAGTAGAAAAGTTCCTTTTCCTAATAAATGAAAATCTGATCACAGTCTCAAGTTCTTCTGAGAAAATCTCAAATGAAAAGGTTTTAGAAATGTTCAACTCTACAATCAAAAGAGATTTGTCTGAATACAAGTTTGATTTTTTACAAATTCCTCCAAATAAAAATGCTGCATTAGTTCAAATTTCAGAGAATGAAGCAATGATCATCCAGAAGACATCACATTGCCATATATTCGATATCAATACAAATGAAATCACAGAAAATTTATATCTTGGAATTAATGAATTAGTTACTGCAACAGCATGCTATAATCTTAATATTATTATCATTGCAACACGTAGAGAGTTGTATTTATTTGATATTAAGACAAGAAGAGTTCTCCAACATAAAGTTGCTCCAAATATTATAAATCTTTTGATGATTGATCAAGATACAATGGTATGTGCATTATCAGATGCAACATTAGAGATAAGGACAGTACCACAATTAGATGTAATTAATAAAATCAATCCTCACACCGCAATTAGTGATTTATCAGAAAAAATCGAGATATTAAAGATAGATTATTGTCCAACTAGAAATGCAATACTATGTTTCTTATCAAATGGAGAAATATACGTATATTCAGAGTCTTTCGATTTAATTTCAATGTTTTCATTTCCATTTCAAGTTACAGCAGCTGCGTTTTTTGATGGAGAAGGAACAATTATTATAAGTGCATTTGAATCCCTCTTCTTAATCGACTCATCTCATGTTTTTAATTCAGAATTACCAAAAATTAAAACAGATTTAGATCATTTTGACCTCAGAAAGAACAAAATCATAGAAAAAGAACTCAAGGAAGAACATAAAAAGAGAAAGGAGAAGATAAATGATTCACAATATACAAGTAAAACGTTTCAACTTGTAAAATCAAAGAAAGTTGATGATTTTAAAGAGGAAAACAAGAGACAAGTTCATAACACAAAGAGTCAATACTTTGTCAACATTGTTTATAATCCATTTGATGAATTAGTTGTAGATCAGGATGATTTTCCAAAAAGTTTCTTTGTTGAATCAAGGAAATGGGATGGAACATGGAAACCTAAGCCGAAACAAACATACATCACTGCATCACCAAGTTTCAACAGCATTACATATCATGGTGTAAGTGTTTTATCAAATGAATCAGAACAAACACAAGGAAGCAGGAAATCAAGAAAATTTGGTGTTCCACAAGCAGGAAGCAACTTAGTTTTTCCGAAAGCATTTCTTCTTAATGATGGACCAGTTATTAAATCATTCAATTCACAAACTGGTCTTAAATTACTCAAGAGTGAACCATTAAATCCAGAAGACGTCAATGAAAGAAGGAAAGCGGCTTTTCAAATGTTTGATAGTAATAATAAACAAGGAGAATTAGATTCATCTAGATCGAAGAAGAGTAATAAGAAGTCTAAGAAGAAAGGAAGGAAACAGTCAAAATCTGTTGATGTAAATAATAAAACAGAAACAAATCAAAAACAAGTTGATGAACCTCAGTCAGATACCGGAGATTCAATTCGAAGAAGAATTTCAAGGAAGAATAATGATAATTCAGGAAGAAAGAGTCTTAAAAAGTCACCAAGAAATAAATTCCTTAAAAATGCCAAGAAAAGAAAAGAAGAAGAAACATCTCTCAGTCCTCAAAGTATTGATCAACTTAATAATAATAAAGAAGAAGGGAATACAACAATTTCCAAAGTTGAAACAAATGCAGATGATGGTTTCTTAACAACACAAGGATCTTCATTAATTAACTATGAACATCCAGTTCGTCCACCAGAACTAACAGATGTTGATATACAGTGTAATGAAGATGAGATTAAAAGTGCTCGAAGATCAAGAAAATCAAGACGATCTTCATCAGTATCAAATTCATCAAAGAGTAGTTCAACATCAAACAAGTCAAGGAGAAACTCAGTATCAAATACATCAAGAGCTAGTTCTACATCAATAAAGAATTCTCTTCTTCCTAAAGGAAGATTGGATCAAAGCTCAAGGAAATCCGAGAATTCTCCTGATGTTAATCTTTATCTTCCATCTGATAAACACAAAGCGTTCAGTACATATTCAAAGGTGAAAGTTAAGAAGACATCATCACGAGCATCATCAGTAGAACCTCCCCCAAGACCAAATTATCCACTTCTTAGAATAATGAATTTTGGACCTCATGAAGAAATGAAACCAATACCAGTTAAATTACTTGACGAACGAACACAACGAATGCTCAAGATATTAGAAGTTCGCTCACCAATGAGAAAAGTTAAGATTGCTGATCACACTGAGCAAGTTATGAAGCGTATAAGAGATGAAATTGCTAATTTTAATTTTTAATTATGTAAAAATATATTTTGTTTGTTGTTTTCTTTAATTTAATCACATACACATTTTTATTTCATCAAATTTATTGCTTTCGTTCAAGATTCACATTATTCCAACTTTTTGTCTGGAAGGAGCAATATTATCCAAAAATTTTGCTTCTAATACCAAACAGAACACGAATCAAAGCAATAATAATCATCGGTTTGAAGATTATAATCTTGGACGATAATAATTTTTTTTGATTCAACGTTTCGGATTCATTCTCAATTAATTGAATTGAATTCAAAATTAAGAATTTTTTTTGAAGGAAATATTTGCTATCTTTCAACAATCAATGTTTTAATCTTGCCTAAAAATCAATCAGATCCGCAATTACTCCAGATCATTAGCAAAATCAAAAAACGAGAGCCGGACAAATGCTTTTTTATCGAATCCCAATTACCAAGTTGATTTGCTCAAAAATTAGATTGCATTGCTATCAATTTACTTATATTATTAAATAATTTTGTATTACATTTAAGGGTGCACCCGTATGTACGTTTATTTGAGAGGAGGAGGATTACCCTCTCAATTTTGAGGGATTCGTTAGTTTATTTTCTCGATGAATATGCAATAAAATTTGATTTTTACCTTATCAATATACTTCATATAATATACACATGTTCATGTAAAAACTTTTTTCCAAAATCCTCAGGAATTAAGGGATTTTTGAATTTTAAGAATTTTTTTCGAATTTTTTCGAAAAAAAAATATTTTCAGAACAGCCTTAACGGCTAAGATTTAGGAACAATGTTAAGTATCAAAAAGAAAGGAGGTCTGATATAGACAACATATATCGTTGAAGGTTGAAAAATCTCTAATATTTGAGCCCAAAATTTCAAATTTTAATTTTTTGAAAAAAGAGGCCACCCGTATGTACGTTTATTTGAGAGGAGGAGGATTATATTTTTGAAAGGGTGAAACATTATGAATATGTTAATTATATAATAATATGTATTATTATAAAAAAGAAAAAATAAAGCACGTGAAAATTTTTCTTTCTTGATTTTTTACAAAATCTACTTAGAATTATGCAAAATATGACTAAATAATTATAAATTTCAAGTTAAATTTTAATTTTGATAAATAATTTAAATTTCAAAATATCAAGTTCAGTTCGACTATGTATGTAGTAATTCCTCAATAAAGTGCCAAAACCCTATTAAAATATATGAACATTTTCAACAGTTTAATGTTTTTATTTAAAAATTTGATGGAATATGAGCTTCAAACAATTATTATGTAAATAAAAATAATTAAATATATGTATTTATTCGTATTACAACCGTAGTAAGTCGATTCTTCCTTTCTTCTACTGAGGTTTGAATTTGATTTCGAATTGTAAAGAGATTCAAAGGGAAAATACTAGCGGATAAAAACTACCTCCATGAAAGGGTCATAATGGACTCAAGTTGTATTTTTTGATATTTTTTGCTTTTCGAGCCTAAATAGGTAGCCAAGATAATGCCTAAAAATAAGGTTCTAAATTCTGAAGTTTACATGATCCTCTCGTGTGCACCCTTAAAATCATTCCGAATTTCTTGAATTTGAATTTTGCAATACATATATTGTTGAAATGTTTACTCAAAAATGTTAGAAATAGTATACTTTGCTAAATTTGGAAAAAACATTTATTTCGGATCCGCTCGCAAATAATTGAATTTTTTTATGAATAAATACTTGACGGATTTTCAATGAGCCGCCTCAAAAATTGAATTACATTCAATTTAAAAGAGGCTAAAAATTGAAAATTCTTCAAGTATTTCATCATATGTCGGAAATTGAATGAAATTCAATTTCCGACATATGATGGGAATTTAATTAATTTTTTGAAGGGAAATATCGAAATTCATCGAAAATCAGGCCAACACATGTTCATAGGTATTCTTATGACCAAGAAAAGAAGTACTGACAAATAGTTTTTTTATCGAATTCAAAAATTATAAGATGATTTGCTTAAATTTTAACCCATTTTGTTACCAATTTACTTATTTGAATAAATATTATTTATTTTTTAACTGTGTTTTTTCCCATTTCTTTTCTAATTATTAAAATTGCCACTTACATTCAACCTTTCAACCACATCCAAAGGAGAAAATAATGTATATATTGATAACGACAACGAATACACATTTGAATATCCATGCAAATCCACATATGATTGCACCCCATATGAAGTCAATTTTCCACCAGGCAGATATTTACTTGAAGTCTGGGGAGCGAAACAATAAGAATTACCGAAAAAGTGACAAAACATCAAAAACAGGGAGGGGGTCTCAATTTTTATTACTTATATTATTTTACAATATTTATATAAATACTCTTTATAATATATTTTACTATAAAATTATACCTCAAATTCAAATATTTAAAATATTATTTACATAATTATCTCAAAATTATATTTTTATATATTATTTTTCATATGTATAAATCATATAATCTATATCTATGCAAATCTCATCTAAAATTTTTTGAAACAAACCGCTACCATTTTATAATGGTCCATCTTAAATTCATCATAAATTCTGGTACATGTTAGTACCAGAGTCTTCAAATCTCAAACACTCTGGTACCAACATGTACCAGACGCGAGTTTCCAATGCCCTCGTACGATTTTCTATTAAGATCTTCTTGAATGAGAAGGTCTTCATAGAAACTCGTACGAGGGCTTCTCTTTTAAATACTCTGGTACCTGCTGGTATCGGAGTCGACTTTACAGCCCTTTCCCCAATTTTGAAGCTGGGGAAAGTTTTCAAGCAATGAAAGGGAAGCTCTCGCTATGAGGTGAAAATCTAGAATTTTTTACCTCATAGCGAGTAATCCTTTGTTAATTGCTTGAAAACTTTCTTCAAATTATCAAATTTCGAGGAAAGTTTCCTTGCTTCAAAGTAGAGATGGAGCCCTTTGAGCCACTGCATATAGGTCAGTGACTCAAAATACTCCATCTCTACTAGAAATCGCCAAAATTTGGGTCGCAATCTTTGAAATGCGACGCAAGTTTTGGCAATTTCGCGAGGGTTTGCTCCATTTGGTGCATAGATTCACACTCTATGCACCAGATGGAACAATTCTTTCGCTGACAGCTGGGAAACTTTGTCTGAATAGTTTAACATTCAGACAAAGTTTCCCGCTGTCAGAGAGGGAATGGAAGGGTAAGAGGTATATATTCATAATGTATACCTCTTACTCTTCCATTCCCTCAAGAAAGTTTCAAAAACTTGGGTGCAATCAGTTCTGATTGCACCAAGTTTTTGAACTTTATATAAGGAATTGTTGGCTATGATGTACTGATCATGAATCAGTACATCATAGCCAACAATTCCTTCGCAACAGTGGGAAACTTTGTCTGAATAGTTTAACATTCAGACAAAATTTCCCGCTGTCAGGGAGGGAATTAGAGGGTGGGAGATAATAGATAGACTATAAATCTCTCACCCTTTAATTCCCTCAAGAAGTTCAAAAAACTTGGGTGCAATCAGTTTCTGATTGCACCAAGTTTTTGAATTTGTATAAGGAATTGTTGGCTATGATGTGGATAGCCGCTGCCAGACCAAATGAATTAACCGTTGTGAATAACGTTTCTGAATCTTTATTTAAAAAGATAAAATATCACGATTTTGGCTGCGTTAAAAATCAAAGAATTGATGTTTTTGTCAAAAATCTTTTAGAAGAAGTTGCACCCAATTACTTTTATCGTATTAAAAACAATTTACTTCAAATAGGTTTTATTCCTTCAATTAGAATTCGCGAGCCTCGATTGACAGATTATAAAACAAAATTGAAAAGAGAAGTTCAATCACGTTTATACCAAGTATTAAATTTTGTTCAGAATCAAGAAGCCAATTTGAATCCATTAAGATTTTTATTGGAAAATGCTGAAGAAAAACTTTCTCAAATAAATGAGAAGATACAAAATTCAATTACATATTTAAGATCGTTTGAAATTCCAAATGAATTGTTAGATACGTATATGTTAGAAATTAATGAATTTTGTTATAATTCTCCAGATTATATTTTAGAACATTTCGAAGAATTTTTAGATGATTTCAAAGAAAAGAATAATTTAATAGACTAAAAAATTTATTATTTTTATTTATTGTGAATTTTAAATTGTCACTTTTTAAGTGTTACTCCCTATTGAAGGTGTCACTTTTTGGGTGTCACTTTTTCGGAAATTCTTATATACTCTCTGGGGAGCACAAGGAGGAGGTCATAATGTTAATGGTGGCCCAGGAGGATATTCAAAAGGCATCCTTTCACTAAAAAACGAAACAAAAGGATTTTTATATATTGGTGGAAAAGGAACTGCAGAGGAAAAAAATGACAGACAAATTGGAGGATTTAATGGAGGTGGATTTGGATATTATTCTAGTTCTTCATATGGAGGCGGTGGAGGTGGTGCAAGTGATATTCGCCTTGAAAAAGATTCACCATTCAATCGAATAATTGTTGCAGGTGGTGGAGGGGGGGGGTCAGGATACTTTGACATAGATAAAATATGTATAGGTAGAAATTTTTTGGGAGGTTCAGGAGGTGGATACCAAGGGGGAGATGGATTGTACCTTCATAGTTATGCTGAATATGCAGCCTATGGTGGAACTCAGATAAATCCAGGTGGATTAAAATATGGTTCTCGCACAACTGCAAAATTTGGAGAAGGGGGATCATGTACTGGAACATCAACTGATACTGCTGGCCCAGGGGGTGGAGGAGGTTGGTATGGAGGAGCTGCATCTGGAAAATTAGGATTAAGTGCTGCAGGAGGTTCAGGATATGTTTTAACTTCGACTTCTTTTAAACCAGATGGATATCAGTACAAGAGAGAATATTTTTTGATGAAAGCATCAACTAAGAATGGAGTCAGATTTGGAAATGGTGTTATCAAAATCACATTGTTAGATAATATTGATAACGAAAATATTAAAATTCGTGGCTGCGGCATATCAGGTTTTAGTTTTTCACAACTTATTTCATTTATAACATTACCTTCCGTTGTATAACATTTCTTCTTTTCTTTTTGTTAATTTTTCTATAACATTTGAAATTTTGATCTTTTTAAAAAATTTGATTATTAGACTTAGGTATATGTTGAGAAAAATTTTATTGAATAAACGATAAGAAATCATGAATTAATTTCTTGAAAACTTCAAAGTTTTTTAAGATATATTATAGATTTATAAATACAGGGCATGACACATAAAATCCTTGCTCTATAGTTTTTAAACAGAAATTCATTTTCAAAATCATAAAAAATATGAAGCAGTCTTGATACCCAATTAAAAATTCTATACATATTAGAATGATGTTTATGAGAATCTTATATTGAATCAAGTTTATTTTTTTTAATGAAATCGAATGAAAGTTAGTCAAATTTGAATATCAACAGTTTTATTTCGAACCAATTGATAATGATACATGCCAAATTGGCATATCTAATAATAAACGTGCCAATGCACCTATTAATGGAATTTCAATTTCCGGAAAAGTCATTATTCCAAGTTACGCAAGTTAGTATACATATCAAGGGTACGGCGGCACTGCGCGCCTCCTTACCCATGATATGTGAATTTGACACTTTACGAAACCATTAACGTATATTTTACAATACAAACGACAACACTAACTTAACCTTAAATATTTACAAAGCCACCAACCACTTCACCTCACTAATGTAAAAAAATAAACGTTCTCACTTACAAAAGTATTGCAACTCCTCCCATTGCTGTGCTTCATATAACAGCTCATAATCTTCTGACTCACTTTCTTCTTCATATAGGTCAAAATCACTGTCATAGTTTATACCTGTAAGTTTTGACAAAGCTAATGAAACACGCTTACCGTTTGTATCATATGCTTGTATAAACTTTCCATTATGCTTGTAGTCATAAACGCTCAAACTAACTTTACCCTTTCTCCCTCGTATCTGATAGAATGTATTTTCACGAGGAACGAAGAACAAATTCTTGAACTCATGACCGTTGTAGTTTGTTATCTCAATAGTTTTCGTCATTTATATAAAAATAAAATAAAAAATAAAATAAAAAATAAACTTAAAAATTAATGATATCACCACCCTCACACGTATGAAAACATAGCACAAAAATAAATTTAGGTGAAGTGGTGAGATCTCACCCGTTTTCTCACCTGTTTTTTCACCCTGTTGAATTCATTGCTTTATAACTCTCTTCCTTGGTTTCTTTTTAGTTGCTTTCTTCACGTCTGTCTCCAACTTGACTGTCTTTCTTCTTCGTCCATAATGATACCAATTACTTCCACCAGTCAATGGGTCAAATGGTCGTTCATAAGGGTTTCCATACATTCCATAAGGTCCGTATGGATAAACCGCTGGTGGAGAAGAAAAATTTTCTTTAGTTCCATCGACTCTATTTAAATGCATTGTTTCACCTTTCATCTGGTCATTAAAGTCTTTTGCGTGTTTTGCAAACTCATCGTCCTTTCCTAAAGCATTTTCTGACTCAGTCGCAACCAAATTGGATGCTTTATTTATGAGCCCTATTTTATTTAATCTTAACTTCTTTGCAACCCAGCCTCCAATCTTCCCTTTATTTGCATCTAATGTCTTCGAAACCCTTCCTCCACTCATTTTATTTACTGCGTCATAAGCTCCAAGTGCTTTTGCTCCAAATGCTAATGCTTTTGTTCCCATTGCGCCTAAAGCTGCCCAAGCTACCATTTACACCATATTAAAATCATCTCTCTTCAATATTATCTCATAAAAGTTCTCGTTACTGGAGAAAGTCAATGAAACATAAGCGTTCTCACGGGCTTCGCCCTCACCGCGTTGCGGTCTATCTAACTTATTTCTTATATCATCTATACGCTTCAAAATGTCTGAACAATTGCTAACATCTTCTACAACAGTTATTTCATCATGAATGACCTTCAAGAACAAGCTCATTTAATATGCTATTAAAATCATCTCAATAATGAGTCCATCCTTTCCATCTTTAGGTAGCACAACATCTTTCATTGAAGAAGGTTCGACAAGTCTTATGTTAAACTTACTGACAAAGTTTGTTATACTATAATGCTTCGGCGGCGAATACATGTAGTTTGAAAGACATAATATAGATTCTTCAGCAAATTCACTTATACTGGATTTTATAACAATGTTCTCACGAGACCAAATACCACCAATTGACAATCTTGTAAGCAATCCTGCTGAACCTTCTACTGTAAACGTCGATGGTAACATTCCACGAAGGTCATCTATTGACATCGTTGAGTCACTGTATTTAAATATTTTCTTAAAGCAATCGTCATTATCTAACCATGCAATAGCTTTGAAGTTTTCATTCGAATATACATCTGCTTCATTAAATGTAAAACCTGACTTCTTTGCAGAGATGACTTTAAAATCTATTGAGTTTGTTTCAAAATTATATGCTATGGTAACTTCTGAAGGTAATGGATGTCCTTCCGCAGTCAGTTGTTCTCTCACTACCGTTTGAAGCTTTGTATTAAAAACTTTCATGTCATCTCCTGTATCTAGTTCACATACACAGCAACAGGAAAACTATCTTGCTTCTTTGTTTCATCATTATACCTCAAAACATTAAAGTTCTTCAATAATATTGTTCTTCCTGCTGGAATACTTCGAACTGTCTGATTTCAATAGCTTTCTCACCTCCTACATACTCTACCCAGTGTCTTGGATATTCATAAGTATACTGACTTTCTTGAATTTTGGTTGGTTTCATCATAACGTGTTCATAGTATATCTTTATACTCTTGTCAGTTAGACTCGGTGCTATGTTCTGAATATTTCTGACTTGCATTTTTAATGGAGATAAAATGAAGCATTTAATACATGACGTAGATGAAGACATGAATGAAACTACAGACAAACTTAACTCTTCTCTTATTCTTCCTTTCAGTAAGGACTATGAGTTCTGTTCAAATGGTGTTATTTCTATTGTGGAAAGATGGGTTCAGGTAAGACATTTAACCTCATTCGTCATATACTCATAACAGAACGTTTAGGAAATGACTCTATTATGACCAAATCATTATATCAGCAACTTCAGACTCTATGGACTCAACAGCGAAAACATTTATGTCAAAAGTTCAAGCCTCTGTCGTTAAAGTTCCAGACAGTGAACTCATTGAATTTCTTCAACGTTACATTCGACGTAAGAGGAAATATTATGCCATCGTTGAATTTATACAGTCAGGAATGCAAAAGACTTCTGAGGAGATGGAAAGAATTATTGACAAACACCACTTACGTCAATACTCAGGAGTTTACGATATGAAACGACTTACAAACTACATTCTGTCAAAACTTTCAAAATACCCCTTCAAAAAATCCTTCAAACACTCTGCTCGTTTGCGACGACTTCGCCGGAAAAGGTTTAGTGTCAAAGCCTGACTCACCATTAGCTAACATCATAACTAAAGTCAGACATTACCATTTAACTGTAGCAATACTTATGCAAACATGGAGGTTTTTAGCTTTAAACATAAAACGTCTCATAACTGACTTCGTTATCTTTCAAGGTTTCTCACGCTATGATATTGAACTCATTTGGAAACAGTCAGGTATAACATTACCTTTTGAAGAAATTTGGGAAGCATATAAGTCTCTCATCTCTCCTCGTTCATACCTTGAGATTCATATCATGACTAATACCATTAAAGTCAAAAATATTCCATGGGAACGACCAACATTGTTTTAAAGTTTAACCTTCAATTGACTGATGGTAAACAAATTCCATGCATCTCTGTCGCCATTTCTGTTAATATTTTTGCTGTCATTCATATCATCCACTTCCCCATCCGTTAGCTTTTGAGGATATGCGTTAGAATAGCTGTTCTTAAATGAAGGCTTTTCACCTTTGAGAGCATAAACTCTATAACTTTCTGCATACTTTATGTTTGAACCTCCTGAGCCATCATTGACATAAATTTTTATAGGCTTCCACCCTTTGTTCATGTTCCTGCTTCTTCCCTTAGCTCTTTTGTTCAGTAGTTCTACATCTTTATACACAGCACCTGTCTCAGTGAATTCAACAATATTTTCATTCGTTAGCTTTACATTCAAACCCTTGTCGAGTATATTGTTCATTTCATACATATAAAAGGTTTTTATTCTATATGAAATGAGAAGCAAATCCATCTTAGCTGGTGCCGTTAATGTTCCAATTGAACCAACATCAAATGTTGACTCACGAACGACAAACAATATTGTCATAAAGAACTATAGTTCAGAGTGTTTGAAAGAAAAAGAACCAGAACTTAAGTCGGTTCGAATTGGAGCATCGCCGTGAATTTAAACACAGCTTCAAACGCTAACGCTACATCAGATGTTAAGTTAGAGTATCCACCACTGGACCAAATTCTTTCAAGAGAAGCCAACGACAACCTTACACAAATGTTCAAACAAATCCTTCAGATAACGTAGACCATTACCTTCTTCAGTTATACCAAACAATTTTACTCAAAGACGATAAGAAGCTTTTGACAAATCTTATAAGTAAGAACCAAATAATTCTAACAAAGGAGGACCTTGAAAATGTTATCTCACGAATAACAAGGAAACAATGTGTCATTGACTATCTCGACCCTGAAATCGAATGCTGTGGTCAAACTCCACTATTCATGAAAATAGGTAACATCCGCATCATTGAAACACCAGGAACTACAGGAGTTGAGTTTAAGTATAAATATTCGAACGAGTATACAAAACTTTCAACAGAATATAAGCTTTGTTTGAAATATGTTTTAGTAAATTAAAGCAGTCAGGACCTTCGGTCTTGGCGCTTTGCGCCGTCAGTCAAAAAATTTCAAGTTAGCAATTTGTAATATCTATCCAAAACTTCTTCAACAGTATCGAACTCATCTTCATAATGCAAACCTAATCTTATTGACTTGGTGCAGTTTTCACTAACACAATATTTTTCTGTTCTCTTGACTGACATAACTAACTCATTTGTTTCATCAAACAGCAACAACCAAAGTTCATGACCTAATACATAACATTCATACTTTATATTTTTAGCTCTGAGTTCTCTTGTAAGCTGTTGCATTTAATATTTTCTAAAAAGTCAACTTCAACAGTCATTCGCACTGGTGCCTTCAGTTCTACAGGCTCTCCTTGAAAGTCAACAAGTCTGAATTGCATGTCTTTCAAATTATGAGGACTAATGCGAACCCATTTACCTAAATGAGTTGCTATGACAGGAACGTTTGGAATGAACATTGAATTGACTGCATAACAGAAGGATTTATATTCTACTGAACCTTTACTATTAACTCCTGAAATGCCTGTGACATTAGCTATTTTAGACTCAATGTATAAACAATTACCATAACATACGTATGAAACAGATTTCATCTCAATCGTTTTGTCAACACTTTTCAAAGGAAATGTCATATGGTATGCACCCAAAAGAAGTTGTACTCTATGACTCATTCGTGTTATCTTAAACTCCTTCGCATAACTGAACTTCAATGTTCCCTCAGAAGAGAGTTCGACATCTATATTGTCAATAGTTTCTTCATTTATGAGAGTATCTATGACTCCAGCAATTTTATCTATTCTATACCCAGCTCTGTTAGGAAATGTTATAACACTTCTTTTGTCATCTATTTCAATCTCTATGAAATCTGTTTCATCTGTTATGACAAAAGTTGCGATAATATTGAAGTCAACAACTCTGAAAGCAAGCGCTTCATTCTGAAGACCTAAGTTTGTTTGTAGCTTTACTGTCCCGTATTCGTTTGGGTCTGTACTTTGCAAATAGAACAACATTTTATTCTCATTAAAATATGACTATTGCTGCATATGCGTATGAAACAAATGAAGCAAGAAGAGCACATGAACTAGTAAACGAAAACTCAACTTTAACCATTGAAGGCAATGATTTAGTCATTGACGATGGAAAAACTAAAAAAGTCATTGATTTCGATACTTTTAACACTTATGACCCATTCATTACAATAAGTAAAGTTCCCATCATAAATGATGGAACGGTGCAATATATAAATTCTACAGTAGATGCCTCATTAGTGAAAGTATTAAATGTTCTCATTGAATTGTTAAAGAGCTTTCGATTTGACGACAACATTAAATGCCTAAAGAATTTAGTCATGAATGAGAAACAAATTCTCGGCGTTGCTGGTAGCAGTAATGATATACACCTTATGACATTAGAATATTATAACGAACATAAAGATGAACTGAAAGGAGAGAAGGGTGACACCGGACCTCAAGGACCACAAGGAATACAAGGAATACAAGGAATACAAGGACCTCAAGGCGAAAACGGTTTGGATGGTGAAGATGGAAAGGATGGAAAAACTGCTAAATCATGGATATGGAACCTTATAAATACTGGTTTAACAGCTGCTTCATATGGAGTTCTTCAATACCAAATCGGAAAGATATGGGCAGTACTTGGTGAAGAAGTTTTAGATGACGTTAAAAATGCTTTGAACTTCATTTCAAATGGTTCTGATACTATTAAAACTTTATCTGGTTGGATGCAAGAAACAAGGAGTCAAATAGATACTGTAAGACGTATAGCAAACAATGCACGTACGGGATTGGATACTTTACGAGAAGCACAAAATACACTAAAGGAAGCAAATGATATTCTTGGCTCAGTATCAGACATGCATGAAGATTGGCTTAAAGGTATTGACAAATCTTTAAAAAATCACAGTCAGTCTATTGCTGACTACAAGAAAAGTATAGATTTTTTACATAGTGCTATGGACGTACATGATGGAAGCATAAGGAACTTACTTAATGCTAACAATAACTTACCAGGAACTATTAAAGCATTTATATAAAGTCCTTTGTAAAACCTGGTGCTCTAACATTTAGGTCTTTGAGAGCAAGAGCATTGAAGTCAAGAGATGCAGAAACTCCAACAGAACCTACAGAAGGAACTGAAACAACAGAAACTCCAGAAGAACCACCAAAACCAACGGCAAATGAAATATTGTTCGAATATTTTCCAAGGTACTCTGTTCTCATTGCATACATTCAAGAAATACTTAAGAAAGCAGACTTGACTTTAGGAGATGATGAAAGTTCTGTATATCTTTCGTTCCAGTTTCAAATAGCAGAACTTTTTGAGACAGATATGCTTAATGTATGACAACATCTCTGATTTCACAAGATATGATGACGACCATGACCCCGAACACGGTGAAGAAGAAGTTTTACAAACATCCATTAAGACAGGAAAGGTTTTAACTCAAAGTCTCATTATTGACACCAAAGATGGCGAAGTGGACGTTCTTCAAGAGCTGAAGAAAAATACTTCTTCGGGAGGTGGTGGTAGGCATGAACTTGAAATAAATGAGATAGAAGAGAAATTAGATAATAAAGCAGATAAAAACCATGTTCATTATATAAGTTCAGATGAACAGATTATAACGGACTACCATGGATATTTAACACAGGATGAAAAAGTGAAGACGGAAGATGTTAATGAAAGAAGATATAAATACATTCGTGCTAAAGGTTATGACATACACTGTACTGTACAGTATGACACAGGTAAAGCACCAGAAGCATTTGGTTATAACAATGAAATTTATGCTTCATACTTCTTTGTTAACGGTGTATTAGTTGAACCAAGATTTACATTGAGAGTTAAGGCAAAAATAACTTTTGAAGATGCTATTAAAAGTAAAGCTGACAAAGATGAACTTGACGCAACGAACAAAGTTTTGAAATCTCATAAACACAATATCTCCGATATAAATGAACTTCAAGCTACATTAAATAGTAAAGCTGACAAGAACCATACACATGAATCCTTCACTACTGTTAGAGCAGACAACATAATATTGAACTATACCCTTGGTTCAAGTGCACCTTTAGAGAATCCAAGTACAAGCGTAAAAGATACACTAAACTCCTTAAATAGTAAATGTATGAACATTGAAGGTCATGTCAGAAACTTTGAAACACATGAACTACCAGCAATGTTAGATAAAAAAGCAGATAAAGAACATACACATAACTCCTTCTCAACTGTTGCTATAGAAAGTATTGAAGGAACGGTTGGCGGAACTGGTGGGGATGCATTATATTATAAATCTCCTAACTTTCCACAAGGTTTAACATCGAATGAAAACATAACAACGAAGAAAGAAATTAGCTGTAAAAATGTTTATGTCATGGATGATGAAAATAATGTTAAATTCACTGCTCAAGATTTATATGATAAGAAAGCAGACAAAACAGAGCTTCAAACATTAAAGAATGAAATACTTCAAACATTATATCCTGTTGGTTCTATTTATACGTCAATGAATTCAACAAATCCAGAAACAGTTCTGGGTTTTGGTACGTGGAAGCAGATTGTAGATAAATTCTTATACTGTGCTAGATATTCAAAGCAAACAGGAGGTTCGAAGAAAATTAAAGAAGCAAACCTTCCACCGCACACTCATACAGGAACTACAAACTTTTCTGGCGACCATAGCCACTCATTAAGAGACTACCCATTATACAACTCAGAGTATGAAGCTGGCCATGACGTTTTATCTCCATCTTATAACAATTCAGCAAAAAAGACTTTTCGACCAACTGAACCAGGAGGAAATCATTCACACACTTTCACAACAAATCCAACAGGCTCGGGTGCAGATTATATGCCACCATTTTGTGACTATATTCGCATGGTACCGCGTTCAATGAACGCGCTTGAGCCTAGAATAAAATCTTTAACTTTACATAAATGAGCTTGAAAGAAGTATTCGAACAACATCCATGGACGGTCATTTAAGAAGTTCAATGAAGCTGCAAAGAGTTGGGGATTTACTAACAGAGCTGAAGTGAAAAGGTTCTTTGACAAAAATGTTGTTACATCAAACAAAAATAAACCCTTACGACTACTTTTTACCAATTTACTCCAACACTCCTGACGCATACCAATTTGACACTCTCATTCAAAGCAGAAAAAGGAGGACATAAACCATTCCTCATCTTCATTAATGTTAACACTCGTAAAGCATATGCATATCCATATGAAAAATAAAGGAACTCGTGAAGTGTTAAGAGTTTTACAAAAGTTTGTTAGCAGAACATAGCCCAAGTACTTTAACATCAGGACCAAGACAGTGCATACCTCAGCAATGAAATCACAGATTTTTCATTAAGCATAACATAACTCACTACACTACTGAAGACCATAACCATAACATACTCGGCATCATAAACCGCTTCATAAGGACTCTCAGAGATTTAAACCAAGAGCGAGACTTTACCGAAGAAACAATGAAACATTTTCTCGAAGTATATAATTCCTCAACACATTCTACAACAGGACATACACCAAATTCAATGACACAACAACAAGAAGAAAAGTATATACAAAAGAAACGAAGTCAACACAAAATATCAGAAATTCAACACAATTTACCCTCATTCCTGGTACAAAAGTTCGTGTAGTTCTTGACGACAAACCGTTGACAAAGAAACGTTTAAGGTTAAGTAGAAACTATTATATCGTAGACTCTACGCAAGGTAATGGATATCTTATAAAAGCTGCTGACGACTCTATTGCGTTTTACCCTCGACATAAATTAGTTGAAAGTAGTAATGGCAAACTTGCTGAAACCATTGACGAAGCAAAGCGAGGAGTGGTTATTGAAATACTTGGCTACAACATAAACGATGACACTTATAAAGTAAGATATGAAGGAGGCGTTGAAGATGTTATACCATCTAAGAACTTGAGAGAGTCAAAGCCAACACATCTGGGACCATTAGAGCGGGAGTACTGGAAAGACAAAAATAAGCCAGAAAGAATAAGAAAATTCTTCTAAACTTTTTCATTAGATGTAAATCAGACATGAATGAGAACAGTCATGTATTATTAATGGTACCATTTATTTTAACATAAAGACGCAAAGCGGCGAGGACGAAGTCCATGACCAAAAATAATGTTTAGGTGAAGAGGTGAGATCTAACCCGATATCTAACCCGATATCTACCCTCATGAATTTTCATGAATTTCCTTAAGATAGAAAAAATAACGCTAGTTTTATTTTTATTTATTTTTTTATTTTGTATGTAAGAACAGAAATGTCAGTCGAAGCAAAAACATTCACGAACAAATCTAATGGCGAAACATTCACAAAAGGCACTTATAGCGGTATTGAAGTCTTACGTAGAGACAAGGATGGTTACATTAATGCAACAAAGATGGCAAGAGAAGCAGGAAAGTTAAACCATTTAAACAGATTTCTCAATAGTGCTAAAATGCAGGAAATTCTTGAGTTTTGGATGAACGAATACGGTCAAGCCAAAAGTGGCTCAACCTCAAAACAAGCATTTTATGAGCTTACAAAGGGTGTCATGAATGAATTCAAAGGTATTTACATACATCCTGACCTCGTTCATTTTTGTTGCTGAATGGTGCTCTGTAAAGTATGCATTTTATGTCAAAGATATTTATGGACTCCATAGACAAGAAAGTTCATGAGAAGTTAGATGAAGAAGAACTTGAAGATACAGTAGAGAATGCTAAACCTTTGTTCGAACAAGAAGTTAGAAAAATGCATGAAAAACAATTAGAACATGAACGTGAGATATGTTATGGTTATAGAGATTCTCCATACGAACTAGACCAATGGGAACAAGAAGATTTAAAGAGAGAATTTAGAGAATATGAACTCGCTAAGATGGCATTAGAAGCTGCAGAAAAGAAGTTAAAAGTTTGGGGTCGTTTTGTACAAAAATATTGTGAGTAAATGAACCATTTATTTTTGTCATAAAGACGCAAAGCGGCGGGGCATAGCCCATGACCAAAAATATATTTTAGGGTAGATGGGTAGATCTAACCCGATATCTAACCTCATTTCTACCCTCTTGAATTTTCATGAATTTTATATATTAATGTTTTCATAAATTTACACCAAAAATATAATTGAGGTGAAGAGGTGAGATTTCACCTCTTTTTTCACCTGTTTTTTCACCCTCACCGCTTAGCGGCTCAGACCCTTTGGGTCTCGTGAATTTTCATGAATTTCCTTAAGATAGAAAAAATAAAGTTAGTTTTATTTTTATTTATTTTTTATTTTGTATAAAAGATATGATTTCAACAATCGGCACAACAACAATTCAAGCCACGAATGGCGGGACTCTGTCCACAACTACAGCACCAAACTCGCTAGTCATGAATCCTACGTCAATGTTGGTAGAGATGAAAAGCTTTATTCCTTCTTCATATACTTTTGAAACAGAAATCCAGAAGATAAAGCAAGAACTTTTAACAAGTAATTTAGACTGTAGTGCGAAAGATTGAAACCAAATGAACAGTATCTTTATGAAATGGAGGACCTCATCGACCATTTGCCTAAACTACCTGAAATTCAGCAGCAAAAACTAACTATTCCTGAATTCGACGAAATTGAAGTCAAAGCAACTGACTCAGTAGAAATTAAGAAATTCATACGTAAAGTAAATTATGAATTCCTTGGTTTTCATTGCAACCATAAAGTTATGGACAAAGATTGCGACATGGTTTATAAAAATATTTCTGACCTTTACAAATCCGAAGAATTTAAGACATACGATAACTTTGTTTCATTAGTTGCAAAATGTGTATGGCAGATAAGAGATAAAGATAGAAGAGGTAAAGTATGGAATAAACAGATAAAACCAGCAGCTTTTGAGTTAAAGAAAACCATTGATGCCTTAGTTGTTCTAGCTGGTTTTATTTCAATGTATAACGCAAAAATGAATCCGCAATGTTCAAAATGTAAAGCAGCAATAAGAAAATATAACTACTCAGTCAAAGAGATAGAACGTATGAGAAACGACTATGCAGACTTAAAGAAAGAAGCAGAAAGCCAGCAGAAGATAAAATGGATATGTTGACATTTCTTAATAAAAACTATCCAACAGCAGAAGATTTCCTTCTGTCTGACGTCAAGAAGAAATATAAAGAGACTTTCGGCATGATTAAAACATTCGATGTACTAAAAGAAGAAATAGAAGCTACGAAATTGTTTAGGATTTCAAATATACATCGTACAATTCATGTAAAACGCTTGTGAAAAAAGAGGTGAAAAAACAGGTGAAAAAAGAGGTGAAATCTCACCTCTTCACCTAAATTATATTTTTGCTGAAAAATGACCAAATTTCATGAATTTTCATAAAAGATAAAAATAAAGTTAGTTTTTATTTTTTCTAATTTTTTATCTTGTATGTAAGAACAGTAATGTCAACATCAGAGAACACAACAACAGTTATAGTCCATGAAGCTATAAATGAAGAATACGAGTACATACAGTATAACAAACAGTTACGTCTCATTCGTTCAGTCAAAGATGACATGTACCAAATGCAAAGTATAATGAATGCTCTTTGTTCTACAAAGCAAGCATATCATTGGTTTGAAAACCAACAGACAAAAGAACTTTTAGAAGAATTTCCTCATATGATTGCTTCCCTCGGAAAACCGGGGGGAAGAGATTCCGTACGAAAATCGCAAGAATTTGGCTCCTGGTTTGAAAGGTTATTATGTTCATAGACTTTTAGTAAATGCTGTAGCAATGTGGGCTTCACCTCGTTATGCTTGTTATATTTTTATGATGTTAGATGAACTATATAAAGCAGAACGTGAAGAGATGGAAAAGAAACTTCAAGCAAAAGATGAAGTCATTGAAGCAAAAGACAAAAGCATTCAGAAAAGAATACCACGTTCGGTACCAAAAGGTAAGGAAAAGAACTATAAGTATATGATTTATACTGAAGATATGGAAGATAAAGATATGGTTATGTTGCATTTAGTCAGAAGAAACAACAAGAGCTTTTATGACTTAGCTAAAATATATAAATCTGACAGAAACTGGTTCTATCGTGAAAACTTACCGATTTCAATGACACCGAATGAGCAAATAAAGGAGATTGTCAAAAATACTCTTCCTCAAACACACTATGACATCAAAGGTTGCACAATACTTACATTCAAAGAAGACTTAACATTACTGAAGGAAAAAATAACAGAATATTTCGATAACTTCAAAGAGGAAGAATGAAGTCACGACAACATTAACGAAGAAGTCACGACAACATTAACGAAGAGAGAATGAGGTGAAAAAAGAGGTGAAAAAACGGGTGAGATCTCACCTCTTCACCTAAAATATATTTTTGTGCTATATTTACACTCATTTACGAAGAAGTCATGAATCCTACGTCAATTATGTTCGACACTGTAAGCATTAACGATAACATTAACGAAGCATCATGCTGTTCGCTTTCGTACCTGTTGTCAAAATGTCATGTTGTCATCATTTTTAAAAGAAGTTAATTAACCTGGTGACACATGGTGACGTGGTGACACATCAGTTATTCAAAAATATATTTTTGCTTAAATACGTCAGGGTCTATTTCTTCAACCATTTCACTTCCTTCGTCAATGTCAATAGAAGCTTCTTCAACCTTTGGTAAGAATTTCTGTATAACATCTTTGTTCGTTATTGTCTTCAGAGATGAAGGATAATATTTCACATTTGTTTCACCCTTCTTATATTCTTTCTGTTCGGAAAGATTTAAAGCAATACTGAAGAAGTCAATATTAGAGTTCTTTATAACAGTATAATGAGTATCTTTGACATTCACGAAGAAACTCTTTTGTTTCAAAACTACTGCTAACTCTTGTGAAGTATAACGTTTGCGGTCAATGACGATAGCTAATGGTCTGACATACTGACCAAACTTAGATTCTTTCACAAACTTCTTGTTAAAGATAACATTAACATTTGAAGCATTATTGAACTCATTCTTGATGGCAGTAGCGAGAGCATTGTATGAAAAGAACTTGCAATCTTGCATGTGTTTCATTAAAATAAAAATATTAAATTATTTTGAAAAATAACTTAAAAAAAATCTAATCTAATTTTTTCAAAAAATATTTTTTTTATTTCCTACTAAAGATGTATCGGAAGTTGTCTAAGTTAGAACACTCGGAAATAAAACAACTTCTTACAGAAGCTAATATAGATGTTGCAAAGCATTACGCAACAAACAAAAAAGCACTCGCTGACATCCTCAATGACTATAATGGTGCAATAAGTTATGATAGAATTCATGAGTTCATAAAGCCGCAACGCGGCGAGGACGAAGTCCATGCAAGAGCATTTCCTTTAAATGACGTTGCTATTGACTTATATCATAGACGTTCAGTACCTCATGAAGTAAGAAGAGAAATGTTTGACATAACAAATGCAAACGTTGGTGAAACAAGAAGAAGAGACGACACACTGAAACAACAGAGAAGAGAGATGTTTAAGAGTGCTATAGAACAAGTTCGCAAAGCTAACGATGTCATTCGTTCCATTGACGACAAACCAAAAGAAGGTGAGAGATGGTTAAAGAAAGATGAAGAGAATAGGAAGAGAAATGTGAAGTCAGGCAATAGACTCATTGACTTTAACATTGAAGCTTTAGATGAACCAAACAGAGACTACTTACACAAACATTTCGGTAAGGTTTTCATGAGACTCTTAGAAAGATTAAAATAAACTCCCAACAAAGATGGATGGTATGTTATAAACTTGGTGGAAAGTATGAATGTTCTACGTTAAACCTCAATAATATTGGAACATTACTACATCAGCTCTTGAAGGAGAACTTTATATCAGAGATAGAAGCAAATGCTGCAGGTATTGTTGAAATGCACTATGACTTCTTCTTGACAAACATAAAGAATCTTACTGAAATAAAGATGTATGATTTAACAGAATATGAAGGCTTAACGATGTCAGATGTAAAGAAAGGCAAACCAAAAAAGAGACCATATAGAGATGAAAGCACACTGACAAATGACCAGAAAGCCATTTTGGAAGCTCTTAAGCAAACAGGAAACCCAGCACTTATAGAAAGCTTTTGGAAAGATAATGGTGAAAAGAAGTTTTATAAGAAGAGAAGCGGTCAGTTCTGGAAGTATCTTTGCACATTACCTATAAATCTTGAACGCTACCAAATCTTCAATGAATTGAACAAAAGAACTGCACACTTATGACAGAAGACAATTGTTTCGTTTATGCTTGCATTCAGGCTGGAGTAGATGAGAGACTATTGACCACATGAGAGAAGTCATTCGTGTTAGAGACTTTCCTCAAAGTAAAGTACAAGAAATTTCTGACGCAACAGGTATAGCATTTAATGTTACCATTGGTTATTTCAATGACTCAAGACATAATGAAATAAAGAGATACATACCAAAAGAATGTGAAACTGTTAGAACTATTGACTTACTTCTTGTTGAAGACCACTACATGCTAAATGAAAGATTACCAATGACAACATATTTCATTCGCAACTATATAGAAATTCTCAAAGCTTGTGGTGGAATGAACATTGAGAAACAATGAAGATTTATACAAAGAGAGAGAACAAAATATTGTTCGTTATGATAGAACAACACCGTTATGGGATGTTATGAAAACATTGTGGGAGTGCAAATATTTCGAACCTATTTCTTATGGAGAACTTTTCACATATACGACTGACTTATATAAACAGAACCTGGCACCATTTAAAGATTTGACATATGCTCCAAAGTATTGTGTACAACTGAAGAAGAAAGCCGAGTCAAAAGAAGTAAATAAAAATAAGTGCAAGTTCATTCCTGAGCACGTTTTCTTTGCTGACTTTGAGTGTAGCACGACGGCTTTCATAAAGCTTTTAACATCTGTTATGACAGTGAAGATGGTTCAGTGAGTGAAAGCATTTGGGGTCAGAACTGTGCAACAGAATTTTTGGAACGACTTCCTGACAAGAGTTTAATATATTTCCATAACCTCAGTTATGATATAAACTTCATCTTAAGACACATGACAGAAGTGAAAGGAACTCCCATCATTAAAGGTTCACGAACAATGCAAATAACTGGCTTATATAAAGGAAGGGCAATTATTATAAAAGACTCTTACAGTGTTATAAATAAGAAGCTTAAACTATTTCCTGCTATGTTTAACTTACAAACAGGACCGAAAGAAGTATTTCCATACAACTACTACAGCAGTGTTTTGTTAGCAAATGACAACAGAACTGGTGTCATTTCTGAAGCGTGTAAGTTTATCCAGGATGCAGATACATTCATGAAAAACATAGATTCCATCAAAGGTTGCAGAATAGATGAGAACCACTTCGACTTAGAAAAGTATAGCACATTTTATTGCAAACAAGATGTAAGAATTTTAAGAGAAGGTTTTGTTAAGTTCCGCAATGACATATTGAAAGAATTTGATTTAAACGTTTATGACTACGTTAGTATTTGTTCAATTGCTAACAAATTATTTGAGAACAGAGTGTACTTCCCGAATGGAAATTTATATGACCTCTCAAATAAACCAAGAGAATTTATTTCACGCTGTATTCAAGGTGGAAGATGTATGCTGTCAGATAACATGAAACAAAAGAGCGAAAAGAAACTCATTGCTGACTTCGACGCTGTTTCATTATATCCATCAGCTATAGCAAGACTTTATACTTTAGAAGGTATTCCAAAGGTTATGAAGAAAGAAATGTTAAGCACAGAGTATCTCATGAGACATTTATTCGATGACGACCAAAAGGAACCCATTGGTGAAAAGTTTATGTCTGGCTTCTTTGTTCTCATTAAGATAACAGAGATTGGAATACATAGACACTTTCCTTTAATAGTTTGTGACCCTGAACTAAATCCAGAACTTAACGTTCCCAGAAGTTCAAACACTTGCTGTTTAATGTATGTTGACCATATAACATTACAAGACCTCATAAAATATCAAGGTGTCAAATGTGAAGTGTTGCAAGGATACTATTACGATGGAAACAGAGATATTAGAATAAGAGATGAAGTAAAGAAGTTGTTTGAGTTAAGGTTAAAGTATAAGAAAGAAGGAAATCCTTTGCAAGAAAATATAAAGCTCATTCTGAACAGTATTTATGGCAAAACTATTCTATCTCCTATTGAGTCAAAAATAACCATAGTAAATGACAAAGATGCTATAAGATATGCCATCAGAAACTACAACCATATAGTGAAGTTCGAAGGTTTGGATAGTTCAGATAAAACTATTTTCAAGCTAACGAAAAGCATTTGCAGACACTTTAACTTCTGTCCACTTGGTGTTAACATTCTGTCTATGTCGAAGAGAATAATGTGTGAAGTATTCTGTACTGCAGAAGATATGGGACTTCAAATATTTTACCAGGACTGTGATAGCATGCATATTTTCAATGAAGACATACCAAAGCTTGCAGCAGAGTTTAAGAAGAGATACTGTCGCGAACTTATAGGAAAGAACCTTGGTCAATTTCATTCTGACTTCGCAGAAATAACACCTGGAAAACAAAGTTTAGCATACAAGTCAATATTTTGTGGAAAGAAGACCTACATAGACTTACTCACTAAAGATTTAAATGAAGTTGCATTTCATGCACGTTGTAAAAGTGTAAAACAAGACGTCCTTGCTTTAACAGCTAATGAAATGTTTCCTGAAGCTATACAATGCTATTACAATGAAGATAAGAACATTCACATACCTGTTGGAACATATGACAAAGACTCTGAGTTCAGTTTAATGAAACTTTACAAAGCACTTCATGATGGTCAAGAGATTGGATTTGACTTATGTAAGTCATGTCAACCTTGCTTTGCTGAAAAGTTTAACTTCTCAATAACGACTAAAACAAGCTTTATTCGTAAGTTGAAGTTCTGAGGTCATTTATTTTTGTCAGCAGTGAGACCATTCATGATAAAAATAAGCCGCTAGCGGCAAGGGCGAAGCCCATGTGGTCATTTACAATACTGCGATGGTAGAGTTTAAGAGTTGTGCTTCAATGTAGAGACAGTCCTTATGGTCTGGAGGTAAGAACACTGGGCAGTTATGGTCATGAGTGGAAAACATGTCTATCCAAAACTCACGATTGAAGCCAGTTAATTTATAGTATTTAGGGTTAGGAAGTGGTGAAGTTCTTGTATGACCAATGAACTCATTTTCAACTCCCTTACTCAAGTTTGAATATAATATAGCTTGCTTTCTATCCCAAATGCCTGGAAATCTAATTTCGGAAAAATCATTTTTCCTCGGAAGCATTGCATCATAATTGAAAACATTCTTGAAATCATCACTTGGTTCAGAGATTTGAAATCTTATACGTAATGGATTTTCTTTCTTTTTAGCTACTTCATTGAATGGTGAATATATAACAAACTGACAGTCATGAGTTCCATCTTCATTTTCATTAAATTCATAATGAAAGTCTATAAGTTGTGGCCGACTACCTTCTTCTTTCAGTTGTGCAAGAAACTCACGTAAAGGCTGTAAAGTTTGTACTTCAATGTTGAACTTTTTCTCGAACATCTCATTAAATGAAATCATACATTGCAACAATGTTGTATCGTCTTTAAAGTATTTGTATATGTGAATGTTTTGGGCGCTTAAAGACTGTTCGTCATTTTCTATCTCGACTTGAAGTATAAAGTCAACCTTTCTGAAAGCACGTGTTATATACATAGATGTTATGCCAATGTACTTCTCTTCATTTATGTTCACAATCCAGTCTGTTGGAAACTTAAACGTTACTCTGTTCCCCTTTATTTTGACGTCAGGGTTTTCACTACTGAACGCAACAGATAAAGGTATTTGTCTATACATTTAATTCGGATAAAAATAAACCATTTACTCTTTCTTTGCTTCAGCTTCTTTAGCTTTTGCTTCAGCTTCTTCTCTAGCTTTTTTCGCCAGTAGTCTTGGGTTCTTTTGTCTTCCAGCAGCTAATGCAGCAAGTTGTTTTTCACTAAGTTTTCTCTTTGGTCTCTCTGGCTTTTGTTCTTGTTTTTGTTCCTTCAGTTCGGATAAAATTTGCTCACGAATTTCTTTCTTCAATGCTTCAACATCTATGACCCCTTGAGTCTTGTCCGTAGGGCTTGTCTGAGTCATTTGACTGCAGATAAAAAACAAAATTAAAACTTTAACCGATGTAAAATGAGCTTGTCAAAATCAGAGCGAGAGTCTATTATATTAAATGACGCCAGAGGAATACAACATCCTTTCTATTACGTAAGTCAGAGTAAAGATGGTAAAATATACGTAAGAAAAAGAAAGGTTCCATTAGCGAATGCAGAAAGCGACAACATTAAGGTGTATGGCAAGGGTGAAGTCCACGAAGCCCATATAAAACCTTCTGTTCAAACTGAGCCACCAAAAGAACCAGAAGAAAAGAAGCCAGATGTACTTTCAATAACGAACCAAGAGCTTATTGAAAAGTTCGTGAATTTCATTGAAAAACAAACCGAGTCAAAGAACCCTGACCCACCAGTGAAAGAAGTTGAGACAAAAGAGAATGTACAGTTCATTGAAAATGTCAAGAAACAACTTCCACCACGAATGCCAAGAAGAAGAGTGAGAATAATGAAGTAAATAGATATTTTTATCTGAAGTAAATACATGCAGAACGAACAGCTAAACGAATTTACTCCAGCAGAGCATATTCATCAGATTCGCTCATATTTCGATATCATAGACAATGCAGTTCAATTTGGTGACACTAATAGAAAATATTCTGACGCAAAGATTCCATCACAACCTGGAACTGCTAAAGATAACACATGGGTAACATTCAATCTCTCACCTCCTGGTGAAAATATGTTGGACCTTTACAATACATTCATTACGTATAAAATGGAAGGTCAATTTATTGTAGATAAAGAAATTTGTTCAGGTTCCAATAAAACAAACCCACCAGGATTTTGGATTGGTTTCGATGACGTTTTCTATGCAGTTGCTGGATATCAAATCCTTGCAAATGGTCGTATCGTATATTCTCAAGACAACGCAAGAGAAGAAGCATATATAACTTCAAACTCACAAACTACCGAACAAATAAAGAAAGTAGATGTTTTCTCAAAGACTCGACATGAAGATGTATGGAGTCATTCGGGAACATGCAGAACAGGACAAATTGTTAGTGGTCCAATTACAGCAGGAAAATCATTTGATTTTAAGCTTCGTTTAAGAATTCCTGTTAGAAGATTCCTTCCATTAGAAGCTATTCGATTTATTCCAGCTTTTGCAGGAAACATTCAGCTTAAAGTAAAGTTCAGTAGCGACGCCTTACAATGCACATCTATATCTGCAAATGATATCATTGCTTTCAATCCAACTCTTAAAGTTGCATTTGCTTCAGATTCAAATCCACCGACAAATAAATTTGTTCCATGGAATGAACCATTCACTATGATAACGAAGGCAGTAGAAGCTAGTGGAACAGTTACTATTACAACTGTAAACCAGCAACTATTTCGAACAAAGATGGATTTTAATGAATGTTTCATTCATCCAAAGTCATTCTCTTTAGACCCTAACATTTATACAGAACTTGTAGAACATTATACAAACGAGGCTTTATGTTTTCCTGTTAAAGTTATGGATTGGATTCCTATGGACGGTTCATTCTCAAAGAATACAGATAGTTCAAGTGCAACATTTACAGCAGCTTATACGCCTATTAATGTTAAAAGTATTTGGGCACTATTTAGAAAGAAAGACAACTATTATGTTAATTTTGAGAACCCTAAGTTTAAATATCTTCAGCTTTCCATGGGAGCTTATGGAAATATGCCTGCAGAACCTGAAAAATCATATGGACCTGTATTTTATGAAATGGTTGCGAACGCTTGCAATACAAACAATGATATGATAGGATTTAATGAAGATGTTATGAGGTCATTGGTGGATGATGGTAGTGTGGAACATAAATGGGATAGCTATGACAACACACATTTCTTATGTGGTTTTCCAACAGAAGTGGACTTTTGCTTCCAGCAAGGTCAAACATCTACTGCTCCAATAACATACAAATTGTCTGTTAAAGGACCTATTGAACTAGCAACTGAAAATGTACCAAAGCCACTTATTGGATTTATGAGGGATTGTTGCTTTGCCATTCAGGTGCGTGCTAATGGCATCCCCATAATAAGATTAGATGACTATAACTTAGCTACGGACGACAGTGAGGAATAAAGGATGAACGTTTATTTTTAAAGCTTATAAATGAGTTCTTCATCAGGCTCTCGTGAACCTTCACCATCTATGAAACAAACTTTACCAAACGATTATGGAGCACCTATTGAATATTTCTTACGAGCTGCACAATGGCAAAGAGCAGTCTCACCAAGGTTAGGTGTTCCACCAGCTCCTGTCAAAAATAGCATTTGGTCAAGTCCTTATATAAGATATGGTCTCCCACTAGGTTTGCTAGCTACAGCAGGAGCAGTTATGATGTTGAAAAGAAATAAAGCAAATGTTGTAAATAATACTGAAGTAGCTGAAGTTAAACAAACTCCAACACCTTCACAAGCAAAACCTTCAATGACTCCTGAACCTATGGAAGTACAAACTCCTGTTCAAAAGTCAACTCCTAAACCGACTCCAACATTTAAACCAGAACCTACTCCTCAAATAAATCGTAAAACTCCTGCGTTTCCTTACTGAAAAAATAACGTTATTTTTATTTAATATTAAAATTTTTATTTGATTGAAATGACAAATAAAGTCACTGAAGCAATGAAACAAAAGTTTTTGGTAGAATACATTAAATCAGGAACTATTCCAGAAGGTTTTTACATTCATACTATGAAGGATGGTAGAGTTCAGTTTAGAAAGATAAAGCAACCATTAGATAGAGAAGGTATATTAAGGAAGATTAAACTTCATGAGGACAACATTGCTGAACTTAAGAAGAAGTTAGAAGAGTTGGAGAAAGGAAGAGAGTTATAAAGCAATGAATTCAACAGGGTGAAAAAACAGGTGAGAAAACGGGTGAGATCTCACCACTTCACCTAAATTTATTTTTGTGCTATGTTTTCATACGTGTGAGGGTGGTGATATCATTAATTTTTAAGTTTATTTTTTATTTTATTTTTTATTTTATTTTTATATAAATGACGAAAACTATTGAGATAACAAACTACAACGGTCATGAGTTCAAGAATTTGTTCTTCGTTCCTCGTGAAAATACATTCTATCAGATACGAGGGAGAAAGGGTAAAGTTAGTTTGAGCGTTTACGACAACAAATATAATGGGAGATATATAAAAGCAATAGATACAAACGGTAAGCGTGTTTCATTAGCTTTGTCAAAACTTACAGGTATAAACTATGACAGTGATTTTGACCTATATGAAGAAGAAAGTGAGTCAGAAGATTATGAGCTGTTATATGAAGCACAGCAATGGGAGGAGTTGCAATACTTTTGTAAGTGAGAACGTTTATTTTTTTACATTAGTGAGGTGAAGTGGTTGGTGGCTTTGTAAATATTTAAGGTTAAGTTAGTGTTGTCGTTTGTGTTGTAAAATATATGTTAACGGTTTCGTAAAGTGTCAAATTCACATATCATGGGTAAGGAGGCGCGCAGTGCCGCCGTACCCTTGATATGTATACTAACTTACGCATATGATAAAACAAATGCTTATAAAGTCATTAAAACATCTCGATATGCCTTCAGAGATTGCACTTCAATCACTTCTATTATTATTCCGAATACACTTGAATTTATTTCCCTAGACTCATTTTGGAATACAAGTGTTACCGAATTGTTTATTCCTAAATCCATAAAAACATTGGATGACAATGCATTATCAACAATGCAGAAATTAGTAATTGTTATTTTCGAAAAAGGAATTTCATTGACTTTTGGTGAGAATGTTTTTTATGACTGCATAAATTTAAATTCAATCACATTTCCATCAAATATTATTTACCCTCCAACTCTATTTTTTGGGAGAACAAATTTGAGTAGTGTTTTCTTATGTTCTAAAACAGTTATTTTAAATGATAACAATCATTTCCTTGGAGCAGTAAGAAAACCATCAATCTTTGTTACAAAGTCGTATTCAGGAGATAAATTTTTTGGTGTTCCTGTTCATTACATGGAAAATGAAGAATACTTTTGTCCACATAATAAGAACAGCTGCAATTGCAATATAATCTTATATAAAACAAGTTCAATTTACATGGTTATTTTCCTATTAAATTAAAAATTAATTGAATTAGTTTAAATATACATGAATATTTTATTTTAAATAAATAAGAAAGATCAATCACTTACAAATGATGATAGATGTATCAAAAATTGGAGAAATATGTTTGATGTCTATTTGTGAACTTAAAGTTATGCATTCCAAGAACCTCTAACTTTTTTTTGGTATGGTTTTTATCTTCTTGGTTTTCTTCGAGAAGGTAATCCGGGTGGAAATTTTTTATGACCCGGAGACCACCTTCGGTCACGATTTGGATCTTCAACGCGCCATCTTGGTTTCAAAAGTCGTTTTTCTGGATCAATCCACCAATTATTTTCTTCATCGCAAAGTGTTGGAAGATCTTTCTCTGTATATATCGTTTGACTGATATCAAGGGTAAAATTAGGATCTAATAAATACGCAAATCTTGGATCTGGAGGAACAAGTTCTGTATCATTTAAGAATATTTTTGCAGGTTTCATTGGAAAATAATTTTGTATATCATGTCTGCAATAGTGCGTTCTAAATAAATAGCTTTTATTTAGGAAAGGATAATTTGCTTGATCTGTATGAGCGAAAGCTATTTGCTTGCTAATATATAAAGAGTAGTTATTGAAACAATATGAGCAATGTGTTGCAATAGGAAAATTAGGCCATTTCCTCCTCCTATCTCGATACCACATGAATTCATGAGTTTCTGGCGTATATTTAATAAATGAATTCGTATAACAATCACCTCCTTCAAACATAAAGTTTGGGTTTGTATTTATTCCATACATACTATAGTAATCTTCTAGTGGATGTTCGATCATATATCTCATTCCATCTCTTGTTGGAATCTCATCCAGATCGCAGTTTAAAATATAATCGCCGTAATGAGGATTTAAGGTTTTCCAATTCTCAAAAAGAACTAATCTTGCATTTGCATCCAAACACCAAGCATCGCCCCATGGATGAGGATGAATACATCTCAATTTACTATAAAATATTGTCAGCAAACCAGAATCAATATATTCTTGAATTTCTTTTTCAAAAGGCCAAAAGGAAACGTTTCGCTCTATATTCGTGTATGTATTTGTTGATACCTGTACCACAAAATGACTAACGAAAGGCATAAGCCTCCATATTCGAAGCATCAGAATATAAGATTCACCATTATATAAAGTTACATCCCAAATATTTAACTTTCTCAATGAGCAACTATAACGTGGGATATTTGAAACAAGAAACAGAAATATGATGGAAAACATGAGGAGAAAACTGCGCCGAAAGTATTTCATTTAAAAATTTTCATAACCGTCAAACTGAAATTTTTGACATTGTAAAATTTTGAGAGTACCAATTCAAATATAGATGGTTATATCTCTTGAACACCAGGTTATGAACTTTCCAGAAGGTAGTTGTCTTACTAATAAATTATTTAGTTCGCAGTTGCTTTTACGCAAAAAACGTTCAATATCATATCAAGATTTGCAAAAAATTCTTTAAATACTAATAAAACTGTAATAAACAGAAATTCATCAAAAGTGACAGCTCTCAATTTTTTGACATTTGTAAATTCTAAATTGAATGAGAAAAATGAAATAATACTAAGCATAATACAATATTCTAGATTTAATTATAATTAGGGAAAAGTTAGTTTTGAGAGTACTTTTCATAGGCATATAGAATGAAATCTTCTGAAAAATAATATCACATAAACTCATATTATTTTCTAATATATAACTATTTTATATAAAAATCAAATTCAATGATCTTAAAAGCGAAGGATAAACCTCAAAATTTACGAATATAATGAGTGGGAATATAATGCTTATCTATCATAAAACCATATGAAATATCAATTTTTGCTTTACGCCTAATTTTTGACGACAATTAGCAAAAAATGTTAAATGTTAACACTCAGTCCATTTGAATATGAAAAATAAAATTGACTTTGATTAAATGTTTTTATTTATCATGCAATTCTTCTTGCGACCAAAGATTTGAATAAAATTTCAAAAAATAAGATAGCTTAAAAAATAATATACGGTAGTGTTTACTAATAGATGAATAGTATATAAATTCTATTAAAATGGATTTGATCCAAAAAATATATAAAATTTGATCATAAATAAAATCGTTTTAAATTACTTCTTCATTTAAATTATAACAATTATTTTTGATTTTTATTTATCATCCACATTCAAATTTGAATCTTATCACAAAAGAAGGACCACTTTTATGACTACTGCCAAATCTATAAGCAGAGAATGGCTATTTGAAGCTAAAAGAAGAATAGAAGAAGGTGAATCTTACAAAAGTGTGGGAAAGGAAGTTGAATTGGAAAATGGTAAAATTAAATTGAATGTTGCCGAAAATACAATAAGAAGAGCATTTCAACTTCAAGAAATCGAATTACCAAAAGTTAGTCGCGGCAGAAAACCAAATCCACCAACATTTGAGCAAAAACAATTAATTAATTCTTGTGTTTCACAATATAAAGGAGGAATTTCAAAAACTTATTTATTGATTAAAAGGTTTCAAAATATTGCTCAAAATCCCGATTGTGAGAAAGAAAAAGAAGAAATTGCAAAAGAATTTGAAAATATAGAAGATTTGACAAAAGATCAAATTTTTGACAATTTACAAAAAATAAAGCATCATCAAGTGGAAAAATTTATGATGGAATCAGGTTTATCTTCAAAAAGAGATTACAAACCAGCAGATCCACCTACCAAATATCGTGCCATATCAAAGAATTTGATATGGCACTGCGATATTCATTACCTTCACGGTAATGTTTCTTTTCCATTTTTTGCCATATTGGATGATATGACACGTAAAGTTCTCAAAACTAAATTATTGAAAAACAAGTCTTCCAACTCAACATCGAAAGTTTTAAGAAAACTTTTAGAGGAGTTTATTCCTTACTGCATCTGGACCGATAACGGCGGTGAAAACCGCGGTGAATTCGGCCAGGTTATGCAGGAAAACGGAATAGTTTGGAAGCACACCATGCCGTATATGCCAAGACAGAACGGCAAGGTGGAGCGCCTGTGGCCAAGCTTAGAAAAGTTTTTGCCAGACGAATTGGATGATATTCAACAAATCAAGGACTCAGTTCAGCAGTTCATTGAAAAATACAACAATACACCAAATTTATCTCTCGATATTAATCCAAAAACGAATAGTAATTACACTCCTAACGAATTATTCGAAGTTTCAAAATTTTGGTACGAGCCAGAAATGCAAAAATGGGAGTTATATATCAAAGACGAATGGGTCTTAGCAAAATTTGAATAATTACATCATTTTAAATGACTACTAAACAATTTTATTTATGATCAAATTTTATATATTTTTTTGGATCAAATCCATTTTAATAGAATTTATATACTATTCATCTATTGGTAAACACTACCGTATATTATTTTTTAAGCTATCTTATTTTTTGAAATTTTATTCAAATCTTTGGTCGCAAGAAGAATTGCA